GGTTGTGGCTGGAAGGGCATTTGCTGTGTAAAACATATGCTGAAATAGTTGGTGGTTCATTCCGCTGTGGGGACCTCTGAAATAGAGACTAAGTCTAAGGGAAATGAATGAATGAGTTAAACTGAACAGTTTATTCACTGTTCATGCTGCCATTTGTTCTATTATTTTGTTAGTTTTTTATTTACTTTATTGAAAATGCTGTAATATATTTAATAAAGAACATTAATATAAATGACATGAATTGTAATGAAGATGCCATACTATAATACATTTAAAATGTTTTCAATAAATACTGCATTTCGTTTTTATGTCTAAACAAAAATATAAGTACAAAAGTGATTTTTATATGCATCAAAAGCTTTTTTTTTTTAAATGTCAGTAATAAATGTCAAATAAATTGCCTATAGGTTAAAAAAATAAATGAAAGTACAAAATGTTGCTAATAAAAGGGGTAAAACCTAGTGTATAAATGACAGTGACAAAACTGAATTTTAAATGAAAATTAAATTATGTTTTGCCATCCAGAAATTTTTGTTCTAAATACTAAAATGTGTGTCCATATAAAATTTTTAAAATATATTAAGAAATTATACAATTATTAAATATATATTACATTTTGTAACTGTGTAATATTACAAGTATAACAGGGATTTTTATATGCATTAAATGCTTTTTATTAAAATAAAATATTAAAAAAAAGTTTGAAATGTTGCAGAAATAGATTTGTTACGCTGCGTGAAGCTTATTTAAGCTAATTTCAAGAGGATCAAGTGCTTATGATTGACCACAGCTGGTCCTGCAGCCATAAAGCCACATGTCATAAAGCGTGAATAATCTCAGCCTGGTTTCTTGAATATGACAATGAGTTCACTGTACTCAAATGGCCTCCACAGTCACCAGCTCTCAATCCAATAGAGCGCCCTTGGGTTGTGGTGGAACAGGAGATTCACATCATGTGCAGCTGACAAATCTACAGCAACTGCGTGATGCTATCATGTCAATATAGAGCAAAATTTCTGAGGAACATTTTTCAGTACCTTGTTGAATCTATGCCACGAAGGATACAGGCAGTTCTGAAGACAAAAGGGTGTCCAAACTCGTTCCTGGAGGGCCGGTGTCCTGCAAAGTTTAGTTTTAACCCCAATCAGACACACCTTGGCTAGCTAATCAAGCTCTTGCTAGGCTTTCTAGAAACATCCTTGCAGGTGTGTTGAGGCAAGTTGGAGCTAAAATCTGCCGGACACCGGCTCTCCAGGACCGAGTTTGGACATCCCTGTAGTAACGTGTACCATATTCATATACATACATGCAGTATCATGGTGCAATATGAGCTGTGCACTCATGACTTCCACCTGCATGTGTTTTCATAAGTCAAATGCTTATTTCAAATCGTTTATTAACAAAAATTGTCATCCGCATTTGTCACTCACCTCCAAACATTTTTCTACCATTCTCTTTTCTTGTGCAAGACGTGTGGCAGGTTTAGAGGACTCAAATCCCGAGGCTAAAAAAATCTCTGTAACATCTACTGGCACAGAAACTGCACTCTGACAAATTTCTGGTAGAAAACGCATGAATTATTAAAAAGCTCTGGGTGCTTTGCACAGATGTGTTTAAAACCTGCCTCCAGCTAAACTCCTTTACTCAATATCTGGATCTTATTTTTCTCCATTATCAGATAGAAACCCAATCCACCTCTACTAACACCCAAATCCCTTCCAGTGTCTAAGCATATGAAATTGTACGCATGGCAGAAATCGGATGTGAAATCAACATGACTGCTTTCTGGGAATCTGTGCGGATTATACTCCGCTGTGAATCATCCATCTAAATGGCTTTCGCCTGGCGCTTCCCTTCAGAATGAATGAAGTTAATTACTTGGGAATCAGGGACGAGAGAGAGACTATTGTTCTGAGACAATGTGCTCATCTGGTGTGTTTTGGTAAACCGTGAACTCGACACTGCAAACACAAATCGTCTGTGATGCGTCGGCGTGCTGACAACAACGTTTCATTTTGGCTCGGAGCGCTTTCGTGTTAATTGCGATCGCGAGATAATCAATCTTAACCTTGCGTCGCACTCTTCAGATGCTGGATAAGGATGTGGGAACGGAGCGATTTGCAGCTGAGATTGTGTCAGGCAGATTCGTGTCCTTTTTAAAGGTCAGGTGTGCAAGATCTGCCTCACTCGTGGCCTTGAATAAAACACTGACAGAGGTTTAATAATGTAACACTTGATCAGCTGGAGCTCTGGAAGATAGTCAGGACTTTGCAATGGAGTTTGTTAAGGTGTTCTGATCTAAAAAGTCTTCTGCAGTTTCCCCAACCACCGGTCAGTGGATCAATTGGTACAGGCTGCACAAGAAGTCATTAATTTTTTAGTTTTATTTATTATCTGAGTCTGATCGATCTTTTATTTTGAAAAATCTTTTATTTCAAAAAATGACTGTATTCTCTTGGTTACATCTCTGTCTCTTGAGCACCAAAATTTTACCTACAAGCTAGCAAAACGTTTTCATCTCTGTCAGCTTTGCATTTTTGATTGTTTGGCGCCATCTTGTAGCTGAATAATGCGCAGGTTAGTGTATACTCCATCAGCTGTTTTCATTTGTCAACTTTGCATTTTTGACTTTTTGGCGCCATCTTGTGACTGAATAATTTGCAGGTTAGTGTATACTCCATCAGCTGTTTTTATCTCTGTCGCAATTATGTTTTTGACTGTTTGGCGCCATCTTGTGACTGAATAGTGCGTAGGGTTAGTGTATGATTGATCAGCTGTTTTTGTTTGTCAGCTTTGCATTTTTGACTGATTGACGCCATCATGTGTCTGAATAATGCGCAGGTTAGTGTATACTCCATCCTCTTTTAATTTCTGTCACAAATCGCGTTTTTGACTGTTTGGCGGCATCTTGTGACTAAATAATGCGCAGGTTAGTGTATACTCCTCAGCTGTTTTAATTTCTGTCGCAATTGCATTTTTGACTGTTTGGCGCCATCTTGTAGCTGAATAATGCGCAGGTTAGTATATACTCCATCAGCTGTTTTAATTTCTGTCGCAATTGCATTTTTGACTGTTTGGCGCCATCTTGTAGCTGAATAATGCGCAGGTTAGTATATACTCCATCAGCTGTTTTCATTTGTCAACTTTTCATTTTTGACTGTTTGGCGCCATCTTGTGACTGAATAATGTGCACGTTAGTGTATACTCCAACAGCTGTTTTCATTCCTGTTGCAATTGCGATTTTGACTTATTGGTGCCATCTTGTGTCTGAATAATGCGCAGGTTATACTCCATCAGCTGTTTTCGTTTCTGTCAGCTTTGCGTTTAATTAAAGACTTAATAAACTATTACTTCTCAGAACAATATTTTGTGTTTAATTGGTATGTGTTAGGGCAAGTAGTGGGACAAAGTACATCTAGACGGTCTTCAGTCTTATACAACAGTGCTCCGCTTCTCGTCGGGCTCCCTATAAGCCTGTCAGACTTTTTTTTTGCGATAACAACCTCCTGGAAGTACTTTATCCCTAACATATACCTCATTTTCAAGCTGAAACGCAGAGTCAAAATGCGGCTTTACCTTTTTGTTTCAGTTTTTTTTTTTTTTTTGTGCTCAGTCAAGGTCTGTGTTGTTTCCGAGCAGGAGTAGGGATTTGAGACGGTTCTTGCTGATCTGAATCCAGCGCTCATTAGAGTCACAGCGGGTTAGAAAGCGTGACGGAGCTCATCTGTGTGGCTCATCCGTGTCTCGCGCTTTATCACTGTCAAAAAACATCATATCTGAGGCAGCCATTATCTGGAGACAAGACCAAACTGCTCTTTAAACTGCTGACACTTCATTGGATTTCTTTTAAATGAGCGTGTCAACATCAACCTATCACCTCTGTCTTTTTTTTGGAATGTTTGATGAATTGTGAATGAATAATGTAATTAATTCTCAGTAAGTCAGTAAGAGTTTTTTATAGGTCATCATTTAATCCGCCTAATTTAAACACAGTCTCCATCTCTGCTAGTGCTGCTTGAGTCACTGATGAAAACACACCAAACGTTATCGCAAGATGTTTTCCCATCTGTTGTTATTAAAGCAAAGCACACTTTAGAGAATTAATTATTTTGTACCCCCCCCTCACTAAAGCAAGTTTTTTTTATTATTATTTTTTAAATGATAGTAATTAATAATAATAATAATAATAATAATTATTATTATTATTATTATTATTATTATTATTGTTGTTGTTTTTATCAAAAATAAAATTATTATTATTAATATTATAATAATTATTATTAATGATACCAACTACTGTTTTAAAATAATAATAATAATAATAATAATAATAATAATAATTATTATTATTATTATTATTATTGTTGTTGTTGTTTTTATTATCAAAAATAAAATTATTATCATTATTATTATGATACCAACTACTGTTTTATAATAATAATAATAATTATTATTATTATTATTATTACAATGTTATTATTATCATTTATCATGATGATGATAATGATAATAGTTATTATTAAAATAATAATAATAATAATAATAATAATAATAAAATGTTATTATTACAATGTTATTATTATCATTGATCATGATGATAATGATAAAGATAATAGTTATTATTAAAATAATAATAATAATAATAATAATAATAAAATTTTATTATTACAATGTGATGATAATGATAATGATAATAGTTATTATTAAAATAACAACAACAACAATAATAATAATAACAATAATATCATTATTATTAAAAAATCATTATTATTAATATTATTATTAGTAGTAGTAGTATTGGTATTAATAACAATAGTATTATTGTTAATGATAATACTAATAATAATAATAATAATAATAATAATAATAATAATATATTGACAACTACATGGTCATGGAATGTGCTATAATATAATATTGTATACAGTAAAACTATAAAATTGTTTATATTATGCGAAATTTAATTTAGGTTTTTATCTTTTTTTGTTTTTCTCCCACAGATTTACACGAGATATGGGAAATGCTACACGTTCAACTCTGGTCTTGATGGAAACCCACTGTTGACCACTTTAAAAGGAGGAACAGGAAACGGACTGGAAATCATGCTGGACATTCAACAGGATGAGTACTTACCGGTCTGGGGTGACACAGGTAAACAATAGATAAAAAGAAAAAAGGGATTCGCTGTTGACGGATCACCAAACTAAATTTATATTGCATGTGTATACACAGTTGAAGTCAGAATTATTAACCTCGCTGAATTATTAGACTCCTGTTTATTTTTTTCACACTTCTAAACATAATAGTTTTAATAACTCATCTCTAATAACTGATTTATTTTATCTTTGCCATGATGACAGTAAATAAAATTTGACTAGATATTTTTCAAGACACTTCTATACAGCTTAAAGTGACATTTAAAGGCTTAACTAGGACCTGTAGACCATCGGAAAAATATATAGCTTAAAGGGGCTAATAATTTTGACCTTAAAATGGTTTATAAAAAATATTAATTGCTTTAATTCTAGCCAAAATAAAACAAATAAGACTTTCTCCAGAAAAAAAAATATTATCAGACATACTGTGAAAATTTCCTTGCTCTGTTAAACATCATTTATGAAATATTTTAAAAAGAAAAAAAAAATCAAAAGAGAGCTATTAGTTCTGACTTTAACTGTGCATTTATATATATATATATTTAGTTTGAGACAGAAAAGTACATAATGTTCTACCGTGATACTTATATAGATGGATTCAAAATGATTAACCCACCTATGTAATTTGAACTATTTTGCAAATCTTTTTCAAAACAGATTTTTTTCAACTCATTTTTAACAGAATAATTTTAGAAATTTCTATTGCCTCATTTTTTTTGTCTTTTTTTTTTTGACATGATGACTGTGCATAATATTTTATAGGATACTAGTATTCAGCTTAAAGTGCAATTTAAAGGCTTAACTAGGTTAATTTAGTTAATTCGGAAAGTTATGTTATTAGGTGTAACCCACCGGTCCTACTGCACCCAACCTTCCTTGAGCTGGGATCGATCCTGCGATTATTTGCATGGGAGTCAGTTGCTGTACTGCCGAGTTCAGACTGCATGATTTTCTAAGTAGTCGTGTCACAGATGGTTTTACACTGCATGACTATCTGGGCTAGAATTTTGTCGCTGCTGTGTTTACACTGCAAGAATGATGGGCGAAGGGGGGTTTCACACCTCAATACCTTAAAATAGGAAGAATCGCTGACAACTTCGTCCAAACTACATCTTACAACCAAAAACATGTAGTGTATCTTTTGTTATTAACTACATAACAAGAAAGAAGCCTTTAATGGGGTAGAAAATATACATATTTGCTCACCTGGGTTTGAAGGGAATTAGCCATTTTTCCTCTTCTCTTCTTTTTTGACCTGGTTGTGGCTTTGCTCAGATGACACGTCAAGCAGACATGGGTGCTCCTGCCAAATGTACACAGGTTTTTCCTTCATTTCTTGGGTCCAAATAAACTGAAAATGAGCGCTTTTAACTTCTCCCCCGTCCTCCCGCTAGCCTGCAGATACTCTAAAATAGGAATAGGAAATACTGTGAATTTAAATGACACAGAAGGGGTTATAATTTTGCCTTAAACTTTATATACATTTATATGATGCATACATTACAGGTTCCTTTAGTTAATTTATGCTGAAAAAAATGATATTTCAGAAAAACAAGACAGGAGTTATACATCATTTCTGAAGGAAATTTAGAATAGTTTATCTATAAGTGGCCACATTTAAATGCTTTTCGTCACATTAGAGCAATTAAATTCAGAGATAACAAGATTAGTTCTCTCTCTTGGTGTTTTTTCACAAGTTCACCTGCTCCATTACTTCTGTGTGCAGTTTTTTTCTGTGACGCTACAATTTTTCAACATAATCATGCGTAGAAAATGAATCTAAAACCGAAAGAGTCGCGAATACCAAAGCGCAATTTAATCATCTGTACATTACATGCGGTCAGCGTTCAGATATGATGAATGCCAATGAAGATTGCGCATTTATAATCTATTAATCTCAGTTTTAATGGCTCCAGAGGAGATTTTTATGTCTAGAGGCGACAGTAAAGAAGCATGTATTGGCATTCTGGATCAAGTAATTATGAAGTTCATTATAATCTCATTATATTTCTGCCTAGAGGCGATAGGAGCTCGAGATGTGTAAGTAATCTTGGTGATTTATTTATTTTTTTGCAGACGAGACCTCGTATGAAGCGGGAATCAAAGTTCAGATCCACAGTCAGGACGAGCCGCCGTTCATTGATCAGCTGGGGTTTGGTGTGGCTCCCGGCTTTCAGACTTTTGTGTCTTGTCAACAGCAACTGGTACCTAATGCTAAACATATTGCTTTTATCATATGTCCTTATAAGCTTGCCATCCACATCACTCTTATGTTTTTGACACCTGGAGAAAACCAGACTGTTTTTATTTATTTATTTATTTATTTATTTATTTATTTATTTATTTATTTATTTATTTATTTATTTATTTATTATTTTTATTATTATTAATATTATTATTTATTTTTATTATATATTTATTATATATTTATGTTTTATTTATATATTTAGTTGTTTTATTTGCATTTTATTTATTTATGTCTCATTTAGTTGTTCTATTATTATTATTATTTATTTTTATTATATATTTATAATATATTTATTTATATTTTATTTATATATTTATTTATATGTTTTATTTGTTTTTTATTTATTTGTCTCATTATTATTATTATTATTATTAATTTATTTTTAATATATGTTTATAATATATTTATTTATATTATTTTATTATTTATTATAATTTATTTTATTATTTTATTTTACATTAAAATTTTATATATTTGTTTTTTACTATTAATTAAATTTGAATGCAATTTTTAATGACTTATTATTTATAACTTATTCAAAAAATTTTACTTTATTTTATTTGTATTTATTCAACTGTTTTAATTGTTTTTTCAATTTTATAATTATTTATTTAATTTTATTTTGTTGATAGAATTAAACACCTTTTTTTTCATTTTATACTTAAATTGATTTGAAAAATTCATTTAAAAATATTTTAAATATCAAGCAATTATTTTCAATTGACTTCATATAGCATTGCAGCAACTAAAATTTTTTCGTCTTGAATCACAGAAATAAATTACAAATTAAAATATATTAAAGTAGAAAATTTGTTATAAAATTACAGTAAATAGACTTTTAGAATATGAATTTTAAAGTTCAGTTTTAATATTCACATTTTAAATATGTAAAAAAAAAAGTTTAATTAATAGATTTTAAAAATCTCATTATCAAAAAATTCTTTTCATTTTTTTTTTTTAAATATTTACCAGCTTATTTATTTAATTATTTATTTTTTTAAATGCTTGCCCAGTCCTCCTTAGTGTTTATATTCAGTTTAATCAAATGTAATGATCAAGATTAATGATAAAGTTGATCTCAGCTGGGCAGCACAGGGGCTCAGTGGTTAGCACTGCCACCTCACAGCAAGAAGGTCACTGGTTCGATTGCCAGCTGGGCCAGTTGCATTCCTCTGTGGAGTTTGCATGTTCTCCCCGTGTTGGTGTGATTTTCCTCCGAGTGCTCCGGTTTCCCCCACAGTCCAAAGACATGCGCTATAGGGGAATTGGGTAAGCTAAATTGGCTGTAGTGTATGAGTGCATGTGTGATTGTGAGAGTGTATGGGTGTTTCCCAGTACTGGGTTGCAGCTGGAAGGGTTATCAGCTGTATAAAACATGCCGGAAAGGCTCTAAGCCGAAGGAAAATGAATGAATTAATGATCACAGTCATGACAGGCAGTGTTTATTTTTATGTTTAATGTGTATACATGTGTATGAGCGTGCATTTGTGTACATGTTTCTGTGTGTGTGTAAGTGTGTGTGTGTGAGCGAGGTCATGTGACTCCTCAAGTGCATCCCATAGAGTTTCTAGGGAGAACTAATTGTCAGGAGTTGAAGTGGATCAAAGACAAACACGTCTCTAACAGCCCAGATCAATACGTCTCCATTCATCGACCCTCAGCAATAGATCAATTAGCTGAAATAATCAAGTGCTAAAGGCACCGGCACGCTCTTCATCCAGCCTTCAATTTACTGCCCTACATTTTCAGCTTCCTCTTCCTTTTTTAACATCAAAGCTCTCCAAATCCATCATAAAATCTGCCTCATTCTTGCAGTCGACTTCAAAAAGTGACTTCATTTAATGGGAGGATTATCTTCTCTTCTGGTGCCATTAGATATGCAAAATGATATTAAATCCAATTATATTTTAATGCGATTCTTATTAAAAGGCTCTTAAATTTAATCAGAAGGGCATAATATAATTTTAATGACTTCAGAAATGAGCGCTAATGCTGTTTTCCTGTAAGTGAGGCTTTAAGCCCCGCCTTAAAACATCTACTGGCCAATCCTGTCTTGGCAACTGTTGCTGTGCACAGTTAGACAGGTTACTTTGTTGTTGTTTTATTTCTAATGGATCTGTGTTTTGGTATTTTTTGTGCAAATGATTCAGAATTCTGATTAAATAAAAAAACTACCTAGAGTGTGTTCACCTTTGAAAAGATGATTTGCATAATGATGGCAAAATGATGAAGGTTATTATAAAGTCTCGAGTACTTATTAGCTTCAATGAGGAGAAGAGCTGGAATAAAGCACTAGAAAGGATACAATTAAATAAAAAGTGACAGAGGCATAATACATTCCCAGGGATGGGTTGCGGCTGGAAGGGCATCCGCTGCGTAAAACGTGCTTGATAAGTTGGCGGTTCATTCCACTGAGGCGACCCTGGAGTAATAAAGGGACTAAGCTGAAAAGAAAAGGAATGAATGAGAGAGATAATACATTATTTAATTAAAGCTGTTGATTGTGTCTGTAGAAACAGTATATGCACAGGAAGTGAACAGGAAGTTGTGAAAAGTGCTAGTCAAGTTGTACCTACTTTTATTTTAGTTACATTTCATTCTGTTTTATCTTATACGCTTGCATATTCCCACCAATGGATTTTTATTTTTTTTTCATTTTATTTTAAAGTGCACATACATAAATATACTTACTGGCCACTTTATTAGGTACACCTGTCTAACTACTTGTAACGCAAATTCAGCCAATCACATGGCAGCAACTGAATGCATCTAGGCATGTACACATGGTCAAGACGATCTGCTGCAGTTCAAACTGAGCATTAGAATGGGGAAGAAAGATGATTTAAATGACAGGCTGGTCTGAGTATTTCAGAAACTGCTGATTTACTGGGATTTTCACGCACATCCATCTGTTGGGTTTACAGAGAATAGTCGGAAAAAGAGAAAATATCCAGTGAGCGGCAGTTCTGTGGGCACAAATGCCTTGCTGATGGCAGAGGTCAGAGGAGAATGGCCAGACTGGTTCCAGCTGATAGAAAGGCTGAATAGTAACACAAATAAGCACTCGTTACAACCGAGGTCTGCTGAAGAGCATCTCTGAACGCACAACACGTCCAAACTTGAGACAGATGGGCTACAGCAGCAGAAGACCACACCGGGTGCCACTCCTGTCAGCTAAGAACAAGAAACTGAGGCCACAATTTACACAGGCTCACTAAAATTGGACAATAGAAAATTGGAGAAACGTTGCCTGGTCTGATGAGTCTTGATTCCTGCTGCAACATTCGGATGGTAGGGTATGGGATGGTAGAATTTGGCATTTAAAACATAAAAGCTAGGATCCATCTTTCCTTGTACCAACGGTTCAGGCTGGTGGTGTAATGGTGTGGGGGATATTTTTTTGGTACACTTTGCGCCTATTAGTACCAATTGAGCATGGTGTCAACACTACAGCCTAACTGAGGATTGTTGCTTACCATGTTCATCCCTTTATGACCACAGTGTACCCATCTTCTGATGACTACTTCTTGCAGGATAATGTATCATGTAAAAGCGTGAATCATCTCAGACTGGTATCTTGAACATGACAATGAGTTCACTGTACTCAAATGGTCTCCACAGTCACCTGCTCTCAATCCAATAAAGCACCTTTGGGATGTGGTGGAACAGGAGATTCGCATCACGGATGTGCAGCCGACAAATCTGCAACAACTGTGTGATGCTTTCATGTCAATATGGAGCAAAATCTCTGAGGAATTTTCCAGTACCTTATTGAATTTATGCCACAAAGGATTAAGGCAGTTCTGAAGGCAAAATGAGGGCCAACCCGATACTAGTAAGTTGTACCTAATAAAGTGGCCGGTGAGTGTTATTTCTAATTGAGCTTAATTGTATTTGAGCTATTTAATATTTTTTATATTTCTTTCACACTTGCTAATTTACACCCACATTTTTATTTTTATTGAATGTTTTTTAATGCAAATTTACAAACTGATCAGTGAGATAGTTCATTCATTCATTTTTGGCTAAGTCCCTTTATTCATCAGGGGTCGCCACAGCAGAGCTGCGGCCCTCCAGCAATTGAGTTTGATACCTACGCTTTACATGCTCAGGGTTCCCTCCCGGGACAGCATGCCAAACCTGCTAATATCTTCAAGCATTATCTACGTGTGAACTCTTGAAAATAAATATAAAAACAACATTCATTTTTATGTGGCTCTCTATAAAGTCGGAGTTAGAAACAGTAGCCGGTTCGGGTTCACATCTCTGGTTTTCTTCAGGTTTGAACTAACACTGATTTCCAGCATGTTCTCTGCATTCACTGGCTTTTGTACGCTGTGAAAAGTTTCTGATTGCGCTGTGGGTTTTATTATACTCCGCAGTTTGATTGCTGCGCTCTGGGGCTCGGTGTGGTGTGTTTTGATTTGTTATTGAACAGCTTTATCCTGGCAGTAATGAATATGGCTTTATTGCAGCTGCTGTATCTTCCTCCGCCGTGGGGCGACTGCAGATCCGCACCGATGGACTCGGAGTATTTCTCCACTTACAGCATCACTGCCTGCCGGATCGACTGCGAGACCCGATACCTGCTGGAGAACTGCAACTGCAGGATGGTGCACATGCCAGGTGCTGAGGGGAAAACATTCACACGCTTCAACTAGCTATACTGTTTAAATATGTTGGAGGTAGAAGTAGGGCACTTTTATTTCAGGGGTCAATTTGTAATGTTTTTTTCTTAACTGTGTGTTTTTATTTCAAATATGAAGGAGGTTTTATTTAATTAATTAATTTATTTATTTTTCTAATACTTATTCAGACCCACAAAACTTTGTCTGATCTATCCTATTTTTTTGTGATTTTAAATATGTTTTCTGCATTTTATATACTTACTCTGTTGTACTCATTCATTTTTTATTAATTTTTTAAATTTTAAAAAATTTATTAAGTGTCAAGCATAATCAAACCCACAACAGTTTATATAATGAAACTTTTTTTTTTCATTTTAAATATATATTTCGATATTTTATACATTTACTCTGCTGTCTTCATCCATTTATTTTATTTTATTTTTTTCATTTATTTATTATTTTATTTATTTATTTGTTTGTTTGTTTGTTTACTTATTCTCAAACTTATTCAGACCCATAAAAATTTAAATGACCTTTTTTTCATTTTAAATATATATTTCTGTATTTTATACATTTACTCTGCTGTATTCATCCATTTATTTTATTTATTTTATTTTATTTGTTTGTTTATTTATTTATTTGTTCTTAAACTTATTCAGACCCATAAAATAATTTAAATAACTTATTTTTTATTTCATTTTAAATATATATTTCTGTATTTTATAAGCTTACTCAGATGTACTCGTTCATTTTTTATTTTATTTATTCATTGGTTTGTTTGTTTGTTTGTTTATTAATTAATTCATCAATTTATTTGTTCTCAAACTTATTCAGACTCATAAAAATTTATACAACCTATTTTTTTATTTCATTTTAAATATATAAGTCTGTTTTAAACACTCACTTGGTTGTACTCATCCCTTTTTATTTATTTATTTCCAAACTTATTTAGACCCATAAAAGTTTATATTACCTTTTTTTCATTTTAAATATATATTTCTGTATTTTATACATTTACTCTGCTGTATTCATCCATTTATTTTATTTATTTTATTTTATTTGTTTGTTTATTTATTTATTTGTTCTTAAACTTATTCAGACCCATAAAAATTTAAATAACTTATTTTTTATTTCATTTTAAATATATATTTCTGTATTTTATAAGCTTACTCAGATGTACTCGTTCATTTTTTATTTTATTTATTCATTGGTTTGTTTGTTTGTTTGTTTATTAATTAATTCATCAATTTATTTGTTCTCAAACTTATTCAGACTCATAAAAATTTATACAACCTATTTTTTTATTTCATTTTAAATATATAAGTCTGTTTTAAACGCTCACTTGGTTGTACTCATCCCTTTTTATTTATTTATTTCCAAACTTATTTAGACCCATAAAAGTTTATATTACCTTTTTTTCATTTTAAATATATATTTCTGTATTTTATACATTTACTCTGCTGTATTCATCCATTTATTATTTTATTTATTTGTTTGTTTGTTTGTTTGTTTGTTTATTTACTTATTCTCATACTTATTCAGACCCATAAAAACTTAAATGACCTTTTTTCATTTTAAATATATATTTCTGTATTTTATACATTTACTCTGCTGTATTCATCCATTTATTATTATTTTTATTTATTTATTTATTTATTTGTTTGTTTGTTTGTTTGTTTGTTTATTTACTTATTCTCATACTTATTCAGACCCATAAAATCTTAAATGACCTTTTTTTCATTTTAAATATATATTTCTGTATTTTATACATTTACTCTGCTGTATTCATCCATTTTTTTATTTATTTTTTTTATTTTATTTGTTTGTTTGTTTATTTATTTGTTCTTAAACTTATTCAGACCCATAAAAAATTAAATAACTTATTTTTTAAATTTCATTTTAAATATATATTTCTGTCTTTTATATGCTTACTCGATTGTACTCATCCATTTTGTATTTTATTTATTTATTATTTATTTATTTTTATTCTCATACTTATTCAAACCCACATATCTTTATTCATCTAACCTATTTTTTTTATATTTTTAAAAATATATATTTTCATTTTATATGCTTACCCTGTTGTACTCATCTTTTTTATTTTATTTGCTTTTTTATTTAATTTTTTATTTAATTTTTATTTTAATTTATTAATTTTATAAATTTTATTTTATTATTATTTTTTTATTCAGACCAACAAAACTTTATACCTGACCTTACCTATTTTGTATTTTATGTTTTTTTATTAATAGTATTTACTTTTATTTTATTTGCCTGCTAATCACTATTCACTTTGCCTGCTAATTAGGATATTATTATTATTATTTTTATTTATTTATTTTATTTTTTTTTTTTTTTATTTGTTTATTTATTTATTATATTTTATTTAAAAAATTCCCCAATTGATCAGTGACTATTTTACAATATTTCACATAATTTGTTATCTCCATTTTGTCTTTTCATATCTATAACAGGCACCTCAACCGTCTGCACACCTGAGCAGTACAAAGACTGTGCCGATCCAGCTTTAGGTAACACCCCATAGCACCTAATATTACAGTACTTTCTTTACTTCAAAATAACCTGTAAGACCATATCATTATATAATAATGATGTCATTAAAATGCGCTTCATGATTTCTCATGCTAACCTTTTCTTTTAATAATAACAACAACATCACCTTGGCATCACATTGGCAGATTTTCTGGTGGAGAAGGACAATGATTACTGTGTGTGTGATACGCCGTGCAACATGACTCGATACGGTAAAGAGCTGTCAATGGTGAAGATCCCCAGCAAAGCCTCTGCTAAATACCTGGCCAAGAAATTCAACAAAACAGAGCAGTACATCACGTGAGTTCAAAGACAAGACGTTTAAATGCTGACTTAATTGAATATGTATGTATATCTATGTATATACATTTTGTGTGATGATAAAATGGCTAAATATTAGTCTCGTCTTCATTCTGCTTAAAGGGGTAGTTCACCCACAAATTACACTGTACTCTATTTTTGAGCAATTTCTTTTTTAAACATTGTTATACAAATTGACAGAGGTTTAAATTTTTAGTTTAGCAAAACAAGAATAATATATAAACTCAAAATAACTTAATACACTTTGAAAGAAAAAAAAGAGTAATAAAAACAATACAGAAACAACATATTGGTCGCATCTATATCTCTACTCTCCAAAAAGACAAAGAATGTTTTCCAATTAGACCAATTAGCTTTTCAAAAAATAGTTAATCTGTTCTAAGTCAAGCCAAGAGGTCATGCTTTTTATCCACTGAGATACACCAGGACTGTCTTCTTTTAACCAGGAACACACAATTGCATGTTTATATTTATATATTTAATGTGTATTCCACAGGGACAATATACTTGTACTGGATATCTTTTTTGAGGCTCTGAATTATGAGAAAATTGAACAAAAGAAAGCATACGAAGTCGCTGGGTTACTTGGTAAGTGTATGCTATTGTGAAAGTAATATTGTTTTTCTTTTATTGACTTTAGTTTTCTGCTTTAATGTTATTATTATTTTGCATTGTTTCAGGTGATATCGGTGGTCAGATGGGTCTGTTTATAGGAGCCAGTGTATTGACTATATTGGAGATATTTGATTATTTGTATGAGGTTTGTTGTGGATTTGCTTTTTCTACTTCTCCTGTAATGTGCTGATGGTTTTATTATTATATTTTTTATTAATATCTTTAATGGGCGAAGCAGTAGGTAGTGCTGTCGCCTCACAGCAAGAAGGTCGCTAGTTCGAGCCTCGGCTCAGTTGGGGTTTCTGTGTGGAGTTTGCATGTTCTCCCTGCGTTCGCGTGGGTTTCCTCCTGGTGCTTCGGTTTCCCCCACAGTCCAAAGACATGCGGTACAGGTGAATTGGGTAGGCTAAATTGTCCGTAGTGTATAAGTGTGTGTGTGAATGTGTGTGTGGATGTTACCCAGAGATGGGTTGTGGCTGGAAGGGCATCCGCTGCGTAAAAACTTGATGGATAAATTGGCGGTTCATTCCGCTGTGGCGACCCCGGATTAATAAAGGGACTAAGCCGAAAAGAATATGAATGAATAAATATCTTTAATTTCCTTATTCACACTGTTATTTTATTCTTTTTTATTTTTATTTTATTTCTTGACATGCTTTATTCACACCTAAATTTGAAGCTCATGTTTTTTATTTTATTTGATTTATTTTATTTCTTGACATGCTTTATTCAAACCTTAATTGGTAGCTCATGTTTTTATTATTTAATTTTATTTTATTTATTTATTTAATTTAATTTAATTTTATTTTATTTTATTTTATTTTATTTTATTTTATTTTATTTTATTTTATTTTATTTTATTTTATTTCTTGACATGCTTAATTCAAACCTAAAATTTAAAGCTAATATTTTTATTTAGTTTTATTTTATTTTATTTTTGTTATGCAATATTCACAACTAAAGTTGAAGTAATATGCCCATGTTTTTATTTTGTATTTTGTATTTTTATATATGATTTATTTTATTTCTTGACTTGCTCTATTCAAACCTTAATTAGTAGCTCATGTTTTTATTTAATTAAATTAAATTTTATTTTATTTTATTTTATTTTATTTTATTTTATTTTATTTAATTTTATTTTATTTTATTTCATTTCTTGACATGCTTCATTAACACCTAAATTTAAAGCTCATGTTTTAATTTAATTTAATTTAATTTAATTTAATTTAATTTAATTTAATTTAATTTAATTTAATTTAATTTAATTTAATTAATTATTTTATTTTATTTTATTTTATTTTATTTTATTTTATTTTATTTTATTTTATTTTATTTTATTTCATTTCATTTCATTTTATTTCATTTCATTATATTTTATTATCATAGTGTCATAATGTGCCCATGCTTGTAGGAAGACTAATACATTTGTCAACTTTAATTATGTATTTTCTATTATGATTTTTTATTTTATTTTATTTTTTTCTCAGGTTTTGAAGGATAAAATTCTGGGATCTGTTCTACGCAAGAGAAGACCACACCGGAGCGCCAGTGACAATCTGGTAATTGTTTCTCTGCATGACTTTAAAATAAGCTCAGTGTTTTTGTTGGCTAGTTATATGTGTTTTGTGTGTTATATTGTCCTCTTGAATGCTGCATGTGTCTATTTGCCTTTTGTCGTTGGCTCAAATTCTGGGAAATGATTGATGAAGATGGCCTTTCCACAAAAAAATACTAAAAGAAATGTTAAAATACTGACTTGTTTACTTAAATATTAAAACAGAAACATGGGGAAGATTTAGAAATGTGAAAGCTTGCTGATCTTCCTTCGCTTGTGACAAACCTTGCATCAAATTTAGATCTTACCATGATTTTAAACATTTTCAGCAATCAATCACGACTTCTGAGAGAAAGTTTTATGCCTCTTAACCACAGTTATCTGTTTTATTTACAGAAATAGTTTTGCCCTGCAGGCTTTAGAGCAATTGTGTGGATGACCTATTTTATTTTGATTCATTATTTTTTGTTATTATAATATTATTATTACTTATTATTATGAATTATTATTTGAGCACTATTACTTTATTTTTTGGGGGTAGAATTGCATAGTGCTGGCAGAAAATTAGGATCAGGAAAAGTTGATCAAACATGAACCAACAGCTCTATATATTAGAAATACAGTATCTTACTCTAAATGCTGTGTCAAATATCGACAAACCCAACCATTGGTTTAAAACGTATCATTTACATTCAATTTTAAATATCAACCCAATGTTTGTCCAAACTAGATCCAGTATTGCGTTTCAGCAACCCAGAATTTTTCAGAGTGAGATTCAGAGCACAATATTTGAAACTTTTTTCTGTCTATACTATATATTTATACTAGCACAGTTAGTAAATAATCTAGCGCATTTTATTCGTTTACCAAAAATGTTATGTTAATAAAGAAGTCAAAGTGTTGAGCTTCAAGAACATTATATTCATTTTAGAGTTTCCACAAGCCTGTGCTGAAGACTTTTTTTTCTACAACTTTCTTCATTCTGTTTCCATATACACACACGTTTCTGACACACGCCAGCCCAATTTCACAAGCAAATGTAATTATTTTACATTTTTTTCAGTTTCTTAGCGGCTATAATTCAGTCAGTCTATGGCCCCGTTTACCCTAGTGTGTTTTAGTTTTAAAACGGCGTTTTAGAATGAAAACGATCCGCGTCCACATTAGCGTTTCACCTAGCGTTTCTGATTAGCTCTCCGTCTACACTAAAACACTGAAAACGCACATCACGTGACCACACACACACACACTCTGGCATGTGCTGCAGCCTATCTACCTAGAGGAGAGCTGTGCTCGGAGTGTTGATAAAGGATCTCCCGCTGGATCTAATCTTACTATATTTGTTAAACGTGATATTTAATTCATCTTGTTGTCTATATCTAACGACATATTCCCCGATTTTGGTCTTTTGAATCTATTACTTGTTCTCAGGTAACGTGTTTTGGCTGAGCGCAAAGATAAGTTAATAATTAATCTAACCACGTACATTCTGTATATTGACTGATTGCTTGCCTTTATTTCCTATAATGTATAAATTTACTGTACGTTATACTTTTATAATGGCCATTAGTGATTATTAAAACTGATATTCAGCAAAAGAGATGGTATGTTTCGTATTTTCACTGAAAATGTAGAGGCAGTAATGTTATAGGCTCCGTTTTGTTATGAATACGCATACAGTGAAGTTGACGCTCGTATATGCAGCACAACGCCTCAACATTTCAGCTGTCTGTTAAGTTGTTAATGTCAAAATGAAAATAGCAGTTCCTTATATCATGTTTTCATTTTATTATTAAGATATAGTGAAACAACGTAGCCACGATGAAGTGAATGAAGTTATAAAGTACACTGTTCGCTTTGAAGATTTACCGACATGTCCTAGTGAGTTTGTTTTCCATATCAAACTTGCGAAGTCTGAACTTACAAGGAGAGGATGCAGGACTGAACTATGTGTAGGCTACGTAATATTGAGGAAAAAGCCCCAATGAGAGAGCACCGCCTCCGTTTTCGGAAGTCTCCGTTTTCCCCCATCCACACTGAGACGGTTTTCAAACTAAAACACATTAGTGTAAATTGGGCTATGATTGAGTTCAGTCATAGGAAAATGTACTATTTTAAAAGGAGGCGTAGCACCAAACTGCACCCCTAAACTGACCATCATTGGGGGATGGGTTGTGTCCCAGTGTTGGGTCAAATATGGACAAACCATTGGTTTAAAAAGTATTTAAATTTAATTTTAAATATGAACCCAAAGCTTGTCTAAATTAGACCCAACATTGGGTTACAACAACCCAACATTTTTTAGAGTGAGATTCACACAATATTTGAAACTTTCTCTCTCTATACTATATATTTAAACTAACACAGTTAGCAAATCTAGCACAGATGTGCTTTTTTTATTTATTTACTGAAAATTGTTATTTACTGAAAATATTAAACTTCAAAAAGAGGATGTTTCCACAAGCCTGTCCTGAAGAGTTTATTTAATTCTGATGATATTTTATTCTGTTTTGCCATATTCAATCAACTTTTTGACACACGCCAGCCTGATCTCACGAGGAAACGTAACTATTTTACGTTTTGTCAGTTTAATAGCCAATTCGTACGAATTCGAACAAATTAAGTTGTTTAAAAATGTATTTTTTTTTATGAGGTGTGGCATCAAACCGCACCCCTAAACCCAACCAGCTTTGGAGGATGGGCTGTAAGCCAAGGTTAAATCAAATGTGGACAAACCCAACCATTTGGACAAACAACATGGTTACAACAACCCAATATTTTTAAGAGTGAGATTCACACAGCGTTTGAAACTTGTCTCTGTCTATACTAGCATAGTTAGAGAATATACTAGCTCATTTTTTATTTACTAATAATCTTTTTGTTAATAAGAAAGTTAGTTAGTAAGAAAGTGTTGAGCTTCTAAAACGCTGCCTCCATAAGTCTGTCCTGAAGAGTTTTTTCTAAGTAAAAAACTTCATTTAAATATTATATTTTTATTTTCTTAAAGCAACACAGAGCAATACAAAAGACAGCAACAATTATAAAGACAAAAAAGAAAAAGAAAAAAAAAGACACACAAGACAAAACAATTAAGATAAAACAATTATTACACCAGTTCCTCCAGTATTATACATGGGTCAACAATGTTACACATATATATTTAGGCCAGTAGGCGCAGGCAATTTGGTGATCTTGCAGAGGATGACAGGGTTATACCTTTAAACTGTTATTCTGGGCATTTGACAGATAATTAAAAAAGGGTCTCCAGGTGGCTTCAAAGCCGACAGTGTTATCAGAAAGATTGTGTCTTAGGGTGCTTTCACACCTGTGAATCGATTCAGTTGTTCCGAAACAGAGATTACAATTGTTACATTGTTTGTTCGCTTTCACACTGCAAAGTTTCTAATCGGACCAAAAGAGCTAAAACAAGTCACGTGCGAGTAAACTCTCCTTACATTGGTCAGTGTCAGGGTTTATTTTGCAGCGTCGTGCTCAGCTGTCAGGAGAGATGGTGGTTTGGTGGTGATTGACAGGGTGCGCGCGCGCGACGTGTCTGAGGAGAGACGCGGTGGGGAGGGGTGAGAAGTGTGCGCGACTATGCCTATTTGAGGGAGGGAGATGCGAGATTACGGGGAGATCATCACTCGTTTGCGGGCATCCGCAGACTCGCGAAACTTCCCGCCCTACTCATAACTCTCTCTTCATATAGCCATAAGCCTATTACATATGCATAAAACACTGTGATATAACCGCGCTCGGATCGGATCGCTTTCTCACTGCAATCGAACCGCTCCAGGGTTCGTTTCAATCGAGCCGAGACCACCTATATCAAGCAATCTCGGAGCGATTACTTTGGCGCGGAACAGAGCGCGATTGACCTGTTCACATATGCCAATCGAACCGCGCTGACTGGCCAAACGAGATACGTTCCGAAACAAAAGTGTAGGTGTGAAAGCACCCTTAATCTCTCTAAATGTAAAGTGGTAGATAATTCTGAAAGCCAAGATTTAAAAAAATGGTTTTGATGCCTTTTTTCATAGACAAAGAATAATTTGTTTAGCGAACACCATTCCATATTGGACAGCTTTTTTAAATTGATGACTGAACCCACGAAGTGAGTCACACCAACCAAAAACAGCGATTGCTGGATTAGGGGCGAGGTCACAAGAATAAGCCTAGAAGTTGAAAATTTCGCTCGGCATGACCAAAAAAGATGTCCTAAAGAGCCTTCCTCAGATTCACATTTGATATATTTAAAGGAGAATTTATTAAGCTTAACCTTAGAATAATGAACCTGATGGACTCATTTATATTGGATTAGCTAATGTCTGGAGTTAATAGAGCATGTTTTTATGACCTTGATAGATTTTTCCCAGTCCTCCCTGGTAATTTGAATGCCTAAATCTTTCTCCCTGGAATCATTTAAATGTAAGGTAGATATGTCAAACTAATCATTAAAACATGATCATATTTCATCCTGTTTTACAAATTCAGATCAGCTTTTTGACGCACACAAGCCTGATCTCCCGAAGAAACGCTACTATTTTATGGTTTGTCAGTTTAATGGTTAATTCATACAAATTCGTTTGAAAATGTACCGTTTTTCAAAGATAGCGTGGCACTAAACCCCACCCCTAAACCCAGCCGTCATTGGAGGATGGGATGTATTCCAGTGTTGGGTCATATATAGACAAACTTAACCATTGGTTCAAAATTTAATTTTAAATATGAACCCATTTTTTGTTCAAATTAAATCCAACGTTGGGTTACAACAACCCAGCATTTTCAGAGTGAGATTCACACAATATTTGAAACTTGTCTCTTTCTATACTACATAGTTAAACTAGCGCGGTTGTGCTCATTTATTTGAAGAAAGTATTTGTTTTGTTAATGAGAAAGTCAGGTAGTAATAAAGTGTTGAGCTTCAAAAACATTGCTTCAACGACCCTGTTCTGAAGATTTCTGTTTCCCATATTCAGATCAACTTTTTGACTCACGCCAGCCTGATCTCATGAGGAAACAACTCTTTTACATTTACATTTAGTCATTTAGTCATTTAGCAGACGCTTTTATCCAAAGCAACTTACAAATGAGGACAAGGAATAAGAGCAACAATGAATAAGTGCTGTAGGCAAGTTTCAATGTAAAGAAAGTGTAAGAAGCAAAACATTAGTAATTAGTAATTTTTTTGTAGTATATTTTGTCAGTTTAGTGGCTAATTCATTCGAGTTCAGTCGCACAAAATGTTTTAAAAGAAGGCATAGCACTAAACCCAGCCCTAAACACAACCATCACTGGGGGATGAGTGAATCATATTAAAATGTACAAATGAGATTGAACGAATAAACCACTTAATCAAAAAGTCACGAATTGTCATGAGTTAGCCTTATGCCCATACAAAAAGTCATTATTTTCTCACCCTCATGACTTTTTTTTTTTTATAAACGTTATTATTATCCACACAAGTGGATAGCATTCGTTGTATACAAATGTCCAATTTCAGCTTTTTTCATTTCTGAACACTTTTGTAAATATTTAACCCCAAAAACCCCCCACCCATCCCACCCATACATACACATAGCCACTTTTCTTGTAAAACATATAACAGAAGAAGGAGTTAGAAGGAGTAATAGGAAAAATAAAATATGAACAATAAAACAAAAATAATGATAATTGTACAATTTGAGATAAATATATATAAATAATTTCAAATATATAAATAAATAAATAAAATAAAATGAATACATTAGCTAATTATATCAACAATAATGTGCTACCCACTGCTTGGTTATTATGGTTTTAGTTGTTATGCGGTTGGACCAATGCGTCTAGTTTAGGGCATGACAGTTCTGCAGAAAAAATGCTAGTCAAAAAAAAAATTATAATAATTCCGACCATAAAATGATTTCTTAAATAATCACTTCCAGAGGTGTTAAATCATCAAAAATAATTAACAGAGTATAAAACTTGTGAGACGAGCCTCTGAGAGAGAGCTTAATCTCACCCTCATGTCTTATCAAATGTTTTCTTCCTCTTCTGAGATGTTCATGTTTTGTTCCGTAAAGTGAAAGCATATAATCATCAACTTCTCAAGCTCTTAAAAAGTTGGAAAATCCTCCAGAAGTGTCGAGTGGAGCTGCAGCGAGTCATGCGGGCTCTTTTAATACCGGCTGATTTTATGATGTTGTTTCTGTCCTTTTTTTTTTTTTTTTTATGAAAGCGAGTTGCTGCATTCGGAAATGATGACCGAATGTTCATTTCTAGAAGACAGGACATAAAAAAATACCACAACATCAGCATCATTCACCATTATTATATCACATCATATCCTCTCAGAATCCTTCCCAGCATGCAGCAGGGTTATTAAATGGAAATAGTTCACCCAAAAAATGAAGATTTACTGGTGTTTAACTCCATCTAAGATGTAGGGGACTTTATTTTCTTCAGTAGAAAATTAAAGATTTTTTGCAGAAATTCTGGTTGGCGATTGATAAAATCAGAAGTCAACAGCACTTTGAGAGTCAATAAATCACATTAAGATGAAACTGAATGAGTACCTGTGGCTCCTGATGAGACATTGACTACTTATTTTAGGATGCTGCTAAAAAAATCTCTTTTTAAAATTTTTTTTGGAATAAAAATTCACCTGGCGACACGGTGGCTCAGTGGTTAGCACTGTCACCTCACAGCAAGAAGGTCGCTGGTTCGAGTCCCAGCTGGTCCAGTTGACGTTTCTTTGTGGAGTTTGCATGTTCTCCCCGTGTTGGCTTGGGTTTCCTCCGTGAGCTCCAGTTTTCCCCTCAAGTCCAAAGACATGCGATATAGGTGAATTGGGTAAGCTAAAATTGTCCGTAGTGTATGTGTGTGAATGAGTGTGTATGGATGTTTCCTAGTGATGGGTTGCAGCTGGAAGGGCATCCGCTGTGTAAAACAAATATGCTGGATAAGTTGGTGGTTCATTCTACTGTGGCGACCCTTGATTAATAAAGGGACTAAGCCAAAGGAAAATGAATGAACAAAGAAATTCACCTGCACCTAGGATGGTCTGAGGATGAGTAAAGTAACATTGATGTTTCATGTTTGGGTGAACTATCTCTGTTTAAAATATGCTGACAAATATTACTGATTTCAAAATTAATATCTTGATAAGTTTTTTAAATTATAGTAAATGCTCTTTTTATTCTAGATTTTTGTCTTTATTAGTTAGTATTAGAATAATCAGTCCAACATTAGATTGAATTTAAAGTGTATGTTCTAGAGAAACAAGCGGGACCATTGCCTTTTCAGCACTGTATTATTTTGTCATAAATCTGGTGTTGGACAATTCAGTTTCAAACCTTATAAATGGTAAATATTAAAACGACATGGAAGAAAATCAAGACATTGTTTAGGTTTTATATTTGTGTGTTTGGGTAAAATATGATTTTTGCTTCCTTCTGTAATTTGCTGATGACGTTTCATCCACAATTAAAATAAAATGTCATTTACACTGCAAGATTTTTTTAAATCTTACTAAAGTTTTAATTCTAGTCCAAATATCTGAAAATGATCAAATAAATTGGTATTTCCTAGAAAATAAAAAAAAAATTTAGTCAAAACCGAGTTTCTCCCTAAAATAAGCTAAATAATCTGCCAGAATAATTTTAGAACAAGTTTATTTTGGTTAACCCCTTACTTTGCTTGTTTAGGGTGAAACTTGAAAAACTTGGTTAAATTGTCTTGTTTTTCTGCAAACAAGATTTCTTTTTACTTGTCTAGATCACAAGATGCTTATCAATTTAGGAATTTATAAATTAGATATTTAGACTAGAAAAAAGGTTGTATTTTTTGGAAGTTAAACCAGTAAAAAAAAACTATGTGCAGTCTTTCATGGTCATCTATTATTAGGTGCAGAAAAGCAAACCTGTCACCACTCAATATCCCTTAAAACACATTAAATATAACACGTTTGATTAATAAATGAGATGTAATTAATTTAATATATGAATTTTGGCTCACTGAGGCAAATTACCGAACATAATCGAAAAACCCTTGAATGTCAATTTATAATTAGCACCATGTGTGTGAGAATGTTAGTGTATGGGCATTTCCCAGTACTGGGTTGCGGCTGGAAGGGCATCCACTGCATAAAACATATGCTGGAATAGTAGCGGTTCATTCCGCTGTGGTGACCCCTGATAAATAAGGGACTAAGCCGAAGGAAATGAATGAATGAACAAAAAATAAAAAACTTTTAAGTACACTGTAAAAAAAATCCATTATTTTACGTTTTTTTCCAGCAGCTAGGGAACCAGAAAATAAAAAAACGTAGAATAACGGCTGTTGAATTACAGGCATTTACCAAAAAATAACAAACTTTAAATTACAGAAACTTAAATTTGAGAAAGTTTGTTATTTAAAGTCCATTATTTTACGGTGAATGTCTGTAATTAAACGATCATTAATTGACGTTTTTTTCAGCACTCTAACTGCTGGAAAACGTAAATTGAAGATTTTTTTTTTAGTGTATAGACAGATTTTTTTTTATATGAATGACATAATATCAAAAAAGATGCCATTTTTAGACAAACAATACCAATGTTTGAACTTTAGAAGAGTTATTAAAATAACCAGAGTTTTCATCTTAAGAAATGAAAACATTTGTTATTCTGACCAACATTCATTTTCTGAATAAAACTAACAAAAACAATATTTCAATTTTGCATTCGGAAGAAATTTCATCAGACCTTGATCAAATAAAATAAAAAATATAAACATTTTACTCAAACACACACTGAATAAATCCAGAGAAACTGACAATTTTCTAGCGGTCTCTCAGAATGTTTTTCCAAAGCTATATCTGTAACTTGTTTCTAAATGTTTAATGTCCACTGGGTTGGAGCTGAATTGTCCTCATCGTGGGTTTGGTCATCTTCATCTGTTTCCATCATGTTTATTCCAGGATTTCTCCGAGAATCCCACCAGCCCTGGTGTTACGTCTAACCATGTCCCCAGGTAGCGCCGCCATTAATAATATCAGAAGCATTTCATTGTTCACACCATTCAGAGTCTTTCTTCCCTTCGTGACGTTACTGTCAGTAGTTCTAGACGTGCACAAATGTCATTTCTTCGCTTTCTAAGATCCCCTTTTTCAAAACCCTGTAGCTTTCATGATGGAGATGATGTTTTGCAGAAGTTCAGGTAACACCTGTAGCTTTCACTTTTTTTCTTTTGTTTTCTGTTTTCCCCCATAAGGTCTGTTTCTCTTTTTCCCCTAAATGATCTATTGATGAACTATTGAACGATAACTATTTATTTTTAATTAAAGTACTGTCAAACAATTAATGCATTCAAGATAAAAGTTTGCATTTACATAATATATGATTGTGTACAGTGCTTAATTTGTAAAATTGCAAGGTCCCGGAACAGATCGGGGTAACGGATCCGGCATGTTACCAGAGGTGTCCTGCACGAAAGTTGAGAGCCGGAGGTGGGGGGAGGGGTGGATGGTGGTTGGTGTAGAGGATGAGGGGTGTCGCAGACGAAAGTGAGTGGGTTGGGTTGTCGCGGACGAAAGTAAAGAGGGTTGAGGAGTCGCGGAAGAAAGTTAAAGTGAACAGCGGACAGGGGAGAAGGGAGGTTGAGGAGGGGATTGGTAAAATGAGGTGCTGATTAATTTGTTCTGGCACAAATTAAGCACTGATTGTGTACTATTGTAAAAATGCTGGGTTCCACAGTTCCTATGTCGTCCCAACACACATCCATTAAGTTAACTTAATTGAACATAAAACAATTAAGTTGTCCTCAGAAACCTTGAGAATCGTGTTGATTCAGCTCATTATAAATAAGTATTTTAAACAAGCAAAAGTATTTTTTAAATGCTCTGTAAAAATGCTGGGTTCCAAGATTTATGTTGGAACAACATGAAGGAATTAAGTTAACTTATTAGTTTTTACAAATATAAGTGGATTGAACATAATAAAATTTCAAGAGTTCACACTTAGCTATTGCTTAATACTGATTGGAGGTTTGGCATGCTGTTCTGGGAGAAAACCCTGAGCTCGGAGATACTTGAGCCAAGTGCTCCCACCTGGTCGTATAGCATAGAAGGGGGTCAGACATCAGGAATGTCTCGAGAGCTCCCCATGGTAAAGAGGGAGATGGGGTGGATGGGGGATTCATAAAAAATGAAGATAATGGAAGATAAACAAACTGGGCCCTTGATTGAAGGCTTGGACTAACCTGATTGGTTTAATGATTATTGTTATGCGGGACCACGATCAATCATAGTATGATCCTCTGGAAATAAGTTTATTATACTCCACTAAGTTAAAAACTCATTGTGTTGTTTCAGATAAGGTTGCACGATACTGGAATTCAGTACTAGTCTATACTGAAGTTTTAAAAACGGCCATTTGCTGCTAATATTTGAGCGCTGTTAAACAGCGCTAATTTGCCATTGTGTTCACGTGCTCAACAGAAATGACTGTGATGGGCTGTGAAACTCATCAGTTCACTGAAAGCACCGCTGTTTACTGAGCGTAAACACAGATACAGAGACACTGATTTAAGCAGCAATTCATCAGCGGATCGCTCATATGTCTGCTTATAGACAAACCAGCTGATCGCCATGACTTTAACACACTGTTTAGGAACGTGCTCAGTAGCGCTCAAATGTTGGCAGGAAATGGACAATTTTAAAACTTCTAGTATCGATTGGTACCGAATTCCAGTATTATGACAACACTAGTTTCAGCTCATTTTAAATTAGTTTGAACAAACAGCATTTTTCAAGTGTTTGTTTTTGCATAAGTACACAAATTGTACATAAAATACAAGGGAAATTTTCAGTCATAGGAAAAAATTTTTTTTACTTGCTTGTTGAAACTACTTATTTACAGTGAGCTGAAATGACACAAGATAAGCTTTTTGGGGGGGAAACTTCATTGTTTTTTTATTCAATCTACTTAAGTCGCGTTAATTTCACGGATTTGTGTTGGGACATCATGAATGAGTGGTGTTGTGTGGAACCCTGCATTTCTGAACACTATATTTTTAAAAAATAGTCATGTATAGATTAAAATTCACAAAAATATACACAGTATGCAAAAATTATTTTGTAAATATGAACCTTTTTTTAAAGCGATTTATCGTGATTAATGGTTTGACAGCCCTGTTTTTATTGTGTCACTTAATACAGTGATGTTCAAAAGTGTTGGATTAGTAAGATTATTTTAAAAGAAATGAATACTTTTACCTTTAAAGGTTAATTAAAACTAATAAATATCCTTTAGCATTTTCTTGCTTGTGTGGACTTTATAGTCTTCATTGAAATCTAAAAATCAAAGCAAAATTAAATAAAACATTGATTATAATCAGAAACTATTACATTAAATTTGACTGAATTCTAGAAGGTCACTGGAGAATTCAGCTTTGGAACACAGAAATAGATTCTTATATTTTGAAATAAATTCAAACAGCAAACAGTTTTTTTCAAATTGTACTAATAGTTCACAATATCCTACTGTACTTTATCGAATAAACAATTCTTCATATTCATCATATAAAAAATGATCTTACTAACATCAAACTTTTGAACAGTATAGTGTGTGTTCAGTAAATGCACTATACAGTATACAGCTGTAGAAAAAAATGAAGAGATGGCTTGAAGAGTCTCAGTTTGGATTTACGATTTATAAATTAATGTATCTAAGTTCTACCAGATCTTCCAAATAAAAACTGCCATTTAGATCCCTTTTTTGTATACAATTACATAAAAAAATCGCACTTTTTTTATATTGATTTTTAGATCACTCAATAGCAATATCAGAAGAGCTAATGAATCAATATTTGATGGAATAACCCTGATTTTCTTGATAACCTGTGACAACATTTAAAAACGTTATTCTGACAAATTATTTTCTGTGAGGTAAAAACGTGGCAGCAACACTTTATTTTAAAGGCTCATTTTAACAACTCCCCTAGAGTTAAACAATTAAGATTTTCCAGTTTTTAATCTACATTTTAGCTTAGCTTAGCATAGGTCATTGAATCGGATTAGACCATTAGCATCTTGCTCAGAAATGGTCAAAGAGCGTATTTAAATCTTCACTCCTCTGTAGTTACATTGTGTATCAAGACTGATGGAAGATTAAAAGTTGTTATTGTCTAGGGGGCTGACATGGCTAGGGATTATACTTCGAGTTTGGCATAATAATTTGTACCTGTATGTACCATGGCTGTGTAAATGGACTATTTTTAGGCGCTGTATTTTTCCTTCATGTTGTCCCAACACAAACCGATTAAGTCAACTTAATTGTTTTTGCAAATTCATGTAGATTGAACATCAAACAAAATAAATTGTCTCAGAAAAATTGTAATGTTTCAGCTGGTTTACATTAATAGTTTGAACAAGAAGATGCTTTAATTAGGAAAATTCTCAAAACTCAAATCATTTTTGAGCAAGATGCTAATGGTCTAATCTGATTCAATGATCTATGCTAAGCTAAGCTAAAAGTGCTCCCACCAAACAAAAATGGTAAAACTCAACTCTTAGAGACTTGTAAAATGAGCCTACTAAAACAGTTGTGTCCTTTTAAGGTGTCCTTGGTTCACATTTCATGTACTTTCTATAGTAATCTAAAATTAATTATGCATAATTACAGTACATGCAACTAATTCTAAGCCTAACCTGCTTTTTTACCATAACCATACAGAAAGTACATGTTATAATTTATATTATTCAAAGAACACCTTACAATAAAATGTAACCAAGTAAGCTTTATTTATTTATTTATTTATTTATTCCTTAACTAATTAATTAATATTTATACATAATTAATTTTTGTTTGTTTGATTAATTGATTTTTAATTACTTATTTTTATTTTATTTTTATTTATTTATTTATATTTCTGTTTGTTTTATTCAAATTTTAACTACGTATTTGTTTTTATTTAGATTTATTTATTAATATTTATTTGTTTATTTGATTGATTTTATTTTAAATTATTTGTTATTTATTTATTTAATTATTTAATTATTCTGGAAGAAACATTGTCAAACTTTTACAGAATTAAACACATATTCACATTTTAGAAAATCAACATCTAATGAATTCAGTAAATCCAGAGAAATGGAGAATTTACAAGTGATTTCTTCATTTTTTTTCCTCGCCCCTCCTCCATAACCCTTATGTATATACAGTAGTACAGTATACACCACATATGGTCCACAAAAAAGATTAGTATAAAATGATGTTGTTGCAGATATAAGACCTCTCACTTTTAAAGAAATGCAGGATTTTTATAAACACAGGAATTGTTAGTTCTCCAAATAATGAAAAGTGTCATTATTTCTCCGCCTCATACCGATTCAGTTTGGATATAATGAGATTATAAAAGAGTATTTGTGATTTAAAAGAAGAAAAGACACAGTTTTTAAACTCTTTTATTTCTTCATTGATGACAGCAAGGCTTTATTCTTACATCAGCAATGCTCTTTGTGTTCTGTTGAAAGGTTTGTCAAAGTGAAAGGTCAGTATTTAATTCATTTATATTTGCTGGAAACTTGGGACTCTCTCTCTTAGAGATCTTAGAATAGAGGAATGATGAAAAATGATGGAACAAGATAGGTTAAAAGGAAAAGATTATGTGTATATATACAGTTAAAGTCAAAATTACTAATGCTCTAGTGACTTTTTGTAAAATTTGTCAAATATTTCCCAAATTATGTTTAACAGAGCAAGGAATCTTTCACAGTATCACCTATGATATTTTTGTCTTCTGGAGAAAGTCTTATTTGGTTTATTTCTAGAATAAAAGCAGTGTTTAATTTTTTAAAACCATTTTAAAGTCAATATTGTTATCCCCCTTAAGAAATATTTTATTTTGATTGTCTTCAGCAGTGGTCCTCAACTCCCAGGCCACAGATCAAAACAGGTCCATGGATCAATTGGTACCGAGCCGCTTGAGAAATGAAGTTTATTTATAAACTAATTTCAAGAGGATCATGTGCTTATGATTGATCACAGCTGGTCCTGCATTAGCTAACACATGATTCACCAATCAGATAGTTCTTAACTCACTACAAATAACCAAAGTTTCTTATCTTAGATATCTTTGTCTTGAAGAATCCCCCCTTCTACCCCGACTCCTATACTCCCTTTTCCTTGATAGGTCTAGGTGGCCCAGTGGTTAGCTCTGTTGCCTCACAGCAAGAATGTATGACTGGATCAAGTCCTTACCAGACCAGTCGACGTTTCTGTGTGGAGGTCCTCCTCCCATCCAAAGACATGCAACTTAGGTTAATTGTCTAATCCAAATTGGCACCATAGATATACTCCTAGTCAGTAGTTATCTCTTCATTGCAATTTTTACTGGGCCATTAGGGGGCAGTAGGGGAGTTCTTGAGACCTACCTGAGCTAAAACTTTCCTCTCTTCCCTGCAATCCGCAACCCATTTGTCAACAAATTTGGTGAATCCAACATGTCTTTGCAAGAAGATTAACTGCTGGAGATTGCAAATGATGGCGTGAAATCATTTCACATCTTTTATTAATGCAAGTTTGTTATTCCAAGTGGAGGCATGCGGCTTATGCACGCATATTGGGAGCGACGCACTTGAACTTTCCAGGCTTACCCATTTGAAAACATCTCAACCTTTTTCAGAATGCTTTGGATGTTCTCCCTGTGTTTGCATCGAGTTTCCTGTGTCAATGAGTTTTATATATATATGTATATATATATATATATATATATATATATATATATATATATATATATATATATTTTTTTTTTTTTTTTTTTTTTTTTTCAACACAGTTTAGAACAAAACAAACAAACAAAAAAAAAATTTCAAAGGAAGATGGAAACAAAAATTACATACAATTTTTAAAGGTCACCGAAAGCAATCTTATTTACATTGGTATTTATGATTGATAAAATGCCGCTATATATACTTTTATTAAGCGTTGCGTATCGAAAATCAACAGGCTCCATATATATATATATATATATATATATAAAAGCAACAAAATTAAATTTAAATGTTATATTTATTCTCAACAATTTACCCCAGTATGCAGACATTTTATAGTCTTGTTGTCTCAAGGAAAGTGTCAGTACTCACCTACAGATAGAGGATCTTCCTTGAGCCATTTCTTTGTAATGGCCTTTTTGCTAGTTGTTAGTAGTGTATTAAGAAAAATGCATCATATTTTGTTATTTTTGAAGATTAAATTCCCTGATATATACAGTTGAAATCAGAATTATTAGCTCCCTTTTTAATTTTTAATTTTATTTTTTTTATATTTCCAAAATGATGTTTAACAGAGCAAGGATATTTTCACAGTATGTCTGATAATATTTTTTCTTCTGGAGAAAGTCTTATTTGTTTATTTCGGCTAGAATAAAAGCAGTTTTTAATACAAAAAAATAAAAATAAATGTTTTAAGGTCAAAATTATTAGCCCCTTTAAGCTATATATTTTTTCAATAGTCTACAGAGCAAACCATCATTATACAATAAGGGTTGGCTAATAATTCAGACTTCAACTGCAGTTTTAAAATTGCATTTCATATTCAATCCCATTATTGCATTTATCTCTATTCAAATCATGCCAATTGATGTGTATAATATTACAATAGTTCAGCCTTTAAATGTCACTTTCAGCTGAATACTAGTGTCTTGAAAAATCTCTAGTCAAATATTATTTACTGTCATCGTGACAAAGAAGAAGAAATTAATCAGTTATTAGAAATGAAGTGTTAAAAAAATGTCTGTTATACAGAAATTAGGTCAAAATATACAGGAGGGCTAATAATTCCGACTTCAACTGTATATGAATAAACTCTTCCTGTGATTATGCTTTATTGCATGACTACATATGTTTGTGAAATACATTTGTGTGTAGCCATAAACGTGGTTCGAGCATATTTTAGTCATGAGCAATGTGCAGGAATGCTAAGTGAAAAGGAGCCCGGAGCTGCAGATTCATTGGTTTATTTCAGACAGAGCAATTATTTTCACCAAACGACACCTTTCATGAGTCTGTCTACAAGCTCTGGCTTATGAAATATGAAAACATACGCCTGCTTGCCGAAGGAAATACTGCTGCTGTCTGTCTGTGTCAAACTGCTCTTTTATCTTTCTTTTTCTTATCATATTATTTTATCTCTTAAGTGTTGAGTGTGTTTGAAGCATCAGTGATATGTTGATGAACCACTGTTGATTTGAGTCAGTTCATAAATGAGTCCAGTAATGACTTTACAGTTGGGTCAGTTGCATTTTCATTCATTCATTTTCTTTTCGGCTTAGTCCCTTTATTACTCTGGGGTCACCACAGGGGAATGAACTGCCAACTATTCCAGCATATGTTTTATGCAGCGGATGCCCTTCCAGCTGCAACCCATTACTGGGAAACATCCATAAACATTCATTCACACACATGCACTACAGCCAGTTTTAGCCTAACCAATTCACCTGTACTGCAAGTCTTTGGACTGTGGGAGAAACCGGAGCACCCGGTGGAAACTCACATGAACACAGGGGAACATGCAAACTCCACACAGAAACACCAGCTGACCCAGCTGAGACTCAAACCAGCGACCTTCTTGCTGTGAGGCGATCGTGCTACCCACTGCGCCACTGTGATGCCCTCAGTTAGATTTTTGATTATGAGCTCAGTGTACTGGTTTAACTAAACTTGTGGGGACTTAAGCATACTGTCCGAAAGGTGTTTCAAAGATGGTCGCTGAGTGAAATGACTTGCCTTAAAGGGCCATGAAACTCACTCGTTTCAGCAGGGTGTTTTCACACCTCTACTTTGGAAAAAAGTCAGAAAAGTGGGCGTGTCCAGCTCTGTTTAGGGGGGAGTGTCAGAGGAACTAAAGTGGGACGGTGTGGGAGTGTCTATTTGGTCACGCGCGAGTTTCAGAGTCAAAATACACACACACACAAATGGTGGACTTTAACTGCAGTTTGGCTCTTTCATTCAGGGAATTCATTCATGCCCCTCGCGACAAACGAGATATTTGATTCGAGGATCTGCTCTAAGCGTGTATTTTTCTCGCAATGTTTGATACGCACGGCGAATGAGAGAAAAAAAAACCTCCGCATTTCCCGGAAACTTAGATGCACACGGCAGGTAGCGTCAGAAAGCCGCGTGTGTTATTCCGGTCACAAAATGCGGTGAAAATCCTACACGAGGTTAAAGTTTGGTTGTGGTGCTAACATGTTTACACTCGGTGCAATAGTTAACTTAGTTCGATACGAACAAACTAAATAAACAAAGAGCACTGGACGCTCGCTTACCAAATCTGTAGAGACAGGACAATCACCAGCAACTAGAGCCGCGTCTTTATTAAGAGAAGACTACAAGCAAATCCAGATCTCAGCGTTTGCAGATGAGAACAGCTCTCAGGTAAACAATGTTCCTCCTTAGACACGTAAGTTAAGTTATTGTTGTTGAGCGTCGCGTACACTGTTAATCCACACGTGACTCCAGCTGCGCTCTCACAGAGAGAAAATGAAAACAAAACTTAACGGCAGCAAAATATAAAAGCAACACTTCACGCTTGTTTTGCCAACACAACACAACACAACTCTGTCGTCTAAACACTGTGACAGTAATGAATATTCATGAAGTTGTACAATAGAGCGCGCTGATTAGTTTGATTCAAGCTTTACTCTTGCATTAGTGCATCACACTGTAAGACGTAATAAGACACACTCTGGTACAGACGTCCAGTCTGCACGCTGGAATACACGCTATTATGTCATGACCGTGACGCAGCTTCAAAAATTAGTTTCAAACTGGAAGTACGAATTTGCTTGAAATAACGCAAAAACAACCAATTTACACTTTTTAGTTAAATATAGGTGTCCTAATAGTGTTTATAGCAGTGTGGCACACATATACGACTGTCAACAGCTCAAAAAATGTGTTTTGGTGTTTCGTGACCCTTTAAAGGGACTTTGATCAAACACTCACTTTTAGTACTCACACACACACATTTGTTTTGGGGAATAGTGGGTTTATTACATAGGTTTCCATTCATTTTATACTGTTTATACCCTTTATTGTATTGCCCTTACCCCACCCTACCCCCAAACCCAACCATCACAGGAGTCAGTGTCCAGCTTTACTCTCTGATTTAACTCATCCTGTGTGATTTATAAGCTTTTTAAGAAACGAGGATGTCACCAATGTCCTCATATTTCACCTTTTTGTAATACATATGTCATACCCAGGTCATATTACAGATTTGTGTCCTGATATGTCACAAAAACACGTACACACACACACAAATTTACTTAGACATGCACACACACATGCAAGTTCTGAATGAATGTGAATTATGTCCAAGCACCTACCACTGCATTCGCCGATGATCGCAACACTACAGAAACTACTAACAGCTGTTCTTCTTCTCCTTCATCCCTCCTCCTTCCTCCATTAATCCACATCTGACATTGATCATTCCTTCACGTTTGCTTCGGTTATTCTCAACCCTTCTTTATTCCCCTCCCATATTTATTCATATTGTCCTAAACGCACACCTCCATCATGAATTCATCTGATCCCCGTCATCTTCTTTTCCACTTCCCCAAATCTCCCCCTTTTCTCTCTCTCTCTTCCAGAGCACATGCGACACACTCCGGAGTCACTCGGACAGCCTCGGATTCGCGCCGAACGTGTTACCTAGTCACTCGACTATAGGAAACTTCGAGGAGTTCGCCTGTTGATGACGGAGATTTAGCATACGACGGAAAACTGTGAAATATATAAATATATATGTGTGTGTGTGTACGGGATAGACTCCACAAGAAGTGTAAGTCTGCAGAAACGTATGCTTCTGGTCAAAAGTTTGAAATCAGTAGGATTTTTTGTAAAGAAAAAGGTTTTAAACAAAGCGTATTCGGTAACACTTTACTATAAGGTTGTATTAGTTAATAACTAATGCATTTACTAACATTAACAAACATTAAACAATACATTTACTACAGTATTTGTTCATGTTAGTTAATGGAAATACAGTTAGTTTACCTCATGGTGCATTGCTAATGTTAACAAGCATGAACTTGGATGCTAATAATGCATTAGTAAATGCTGAACTATAATTAATAAATGCTGCAGAAGTATTGTTCATAATTAGTTCATATGTTAGTAAATGCATTAACTAATGATTGTAAAGTGGGACCGCTTATTCTGCTCACAAAGCTGCATTTATCGAATTAAAAATGCAGAAAAAAGCTGTTAAATTGGAAAATATTATTACTATTTTATTTTGAATGTCGTTCAAATTAATAATTTATTTCTGTGATGCAATGCTGAATTTTTAGCATTAATACTTCAGAAATCATTTTAATATGCTGATTTGATGATTGAGAAACAGTTAACATTCTTTCACTCATTTTTTCTTTGGCTTGGTGCTTTTATTTATCAGGGGTCGTCACAGCGGAATGAACCACCAACTTACAGTATCCAGCATATGTTTTACACAGCGGATGCCCTTCCAGCTGCAACCCAGTACTGGGAAACTGCCACACACACTCTTTCACACACAAACACTACGTTCAATTTAGCTTATCCAATTCACCTATAGCGCATGTCTACGGACTGTGGGGGAAACTGGACGACATGCGCTATAGGTGAATTGGATAAGCTAAATTGACCGTAGTGTATGTGTGAACTCGTGGGGAGAACATGCAAACTCCACACAGATATGCCAACTGACCTAGCCGGGACTCAGCGGCCTTCTTGCTTTAAGGCGACAGTGCTAACCACTGAGCCACAGCACCATACCTACATTTATTATTATTATTATTATTATTATTATTATTAGTAGTAGTAGTAGTGGTAGTAGTAGTAGTATTGTAGTTGTTGTTGTTATTATTAGTGTGATTTTGTGTTGTCATGATACTGGAATCCGATACCAATCGCTACTGAAATTTTAAAACATCCATTTCCTGCTAACATTTGAGCGCTCAACAGAAATGACTGTGATTGGCCGTGAAGGTCATCACTTCACCGAACTCCTCGCTGTTTACTGAGTGTGGAAACTGGAGCATTTTAAAGCCGCAAAGATCAGCTGGTCTGTCTATGAGCCGACATACAAACGATCCGCTGATGAATCGACTGATCTTTCAGGCTTTAAAGCGCTCCAGTGTCCCTTCATCTGTGGTTACACTCAGTAAACAGCGGGGAGTTTGGTGAACTGATGACCTTCACGGCCAATCACAGTCATTTCTGTTGAGCATGTGAGCACAATGGCAAATCAGCACTGTTTAAGAACGTGCTCAACAGCGATCAAATGTTAGTGGGAAATGGATGTTTTGTTTTTTTATTTCAGTACACATTGATATCAAATTCCAGCATCGTCACAACACTCAATAGATTTACTACTCTTTACTACTTTTTTTAAGGTAAGTGGTTGTAAACATTTAATATGGGCTAAATTAAAACAAACAAATTAAATTTAATGTTCAACTTAACTTGTTTGTTCAAATTCAGCTTATATAAATTGTTTGCAACTATTTTTTTCATCAAAGAAATATAAAAAATAATCAGTGTCCACAATATTATGAAGCAAATAAAAAGTTTTTAACACTGACAATTGTACGAATCACTATTAATGATTATCAATAACGTATTACAAATCATCATATTAGAAAGATTTCTAAAGGATCGTGCACAGAAAAAATGTATTTAAAATACTGAAGTGGTTGTAGACAATTTATGTGGGCTGAATTAAACAAATAAATGAAGTTGAACATTACTGTATTTAATTTGATTTAAATTCAACTCATTAGTAGTTTGCAACAATTTTGCTGATTTTTTTTTGTAATAATAAAAATAAAGTGAAAGTAAATAAATGTATAATTATTGGAAAGATTTCAAATAAATGCTGTTATTTCGCACTACACTGAAAAAAAATTATTCACTGGACTAGGGTAGTCACGATACTGGAAATTGATACCAATGGGTGCTAAAATTTTAAAAACGTTCAATCCTGCTAACATTTGAGCGCGTTCTTAAACAGCATTGATTTGCCATTGTGTTCATGTGCTCAACAAAAATGACTGTGATTGGCCATCAGTTCACCAAACTCACCACTGTTTACTGAGTGTAACCACGGATACAGGGACACTAGGGCCGTAAAGATCAGCTGGTCTGTCTATAAGCTGAAATACTAGCAAACCGCTGTTAAATTAACTGATCTTTGCCAATCAAAGTAATTTCTGTTAAGCACATGAACATAAAGGCAAATCAGCGCTGCTTAAGAACGCGCTCAAAAGCGCTTAAATGTTAGCGTGAAATGGACGTTATCAAAGTTTCAGTAACGATTGATATCCAATTCCAGTATCGTGACCACACTTATTGGATTTACTACTTTTTTTTAAGGTAAGTGGTTATAAACAGTTTTTATGGACTGAATTTTAACAAATTAAATGTAGTAATGTTCAACTTAATTTGTTTGTTCAAATTCAGCTTTATAAACTGTTTGCAATGAACCATTTTTTTCAGTGTATTTTTTAATCAAAGAAATGTAAAAAAGTCAAATGTATCAGTTTACACAATAGTATGAGGCACATAGAAACGTTTTCAACACTGGCAATTGTAAGCATCACTATTAATGATTTTTAATCAATATTAATGAATCATCATATTAGAGTGATTTCTGAAGGATCGTGTGATGCCAACGCTATCTCACGGCAATTCTTAACTTTTTGATTTAGTGGCAAATTCATATAAATTCGTACAATCTCATTAATACAACTTAGTACGATTTGCTCATCCTCTAATGATGGTTGGGTTTAGGGGTGGGGCTTGGTGCCTCCTTTGTAAAATCATAAATTTTCGTACGACTGAACTCGCGTGAATTTATACAAATTGAAAACCTAATTTACAAAATGTAAAATAGTTACGTTTCCTCGTGAGATCAGGCTGGTGGAGCTAAAGACTGCAATAATGATCCCGAAAATTCAGCTTTTAACCACATGAATAAATAAAATTAAACTACATTCAATTTAAAAAAAAAAAAACAGTCGTTTAAAATTGTAATAAGATTTCACAATTTTACAGTTTTTTACTGTATTTTTTATGACAAAAAAAAAAATCATACTGATCCCAAACTTTTGATCGGTAGTCTACTTGTTTAATAGTGAAAAAAACAATTTGACACCTGGATAAAATAGATATTCATCATCATCATTATCATCATCTTCATAATAAAGTACAAAAATAGGCAACACTTCCAAAAAAACGAAAGAAAACGAAACTCAGGTTTTATTAACATCACAGCCACTCGTTTGTTTGACACTGTGGGAAATATTCTGGTAGACTTCATGCCATTTCTTCTTCAAATGTGCAAATACTGTGATGGTATTTCATTGGAGAGATGTTTTGTGCGTTTTTGAACACTGTGGGCATAATTTGATCAAGCCGCCTTAAAAAAAAAAAAACCATCAACAAAAAACGAATCCGAGAAAGGAAAGCGTTTTAATATTGCACAAAAATTGTTATAGATACTGTCGGTTCGGCCAAGGGTTAAATCTTTTTTTTTGTACAATAATCGTGTAAAGCTTTAAACCGCGGTTTGACGGAATTCAGCCCTTCATTTAGTCCTCCAAAAATGTGTAATCATTCAGTACGTTTGTCTCCGTTCATGATTTTTGTGTATATAAGTGCAATAATATGCATAATAACGTGTACCGTATATTACCTTCAAGTCTTAATTATTAGCTGTCAGGTAAACAGAAGAAATGCTTTCGGTACGACCCTGAGTTACCAGCAGTTTGCTTTTCCCGCTGTTTTATTTTTGACACGCTAATGTTGCTGTATTGATTTTCCACGTCCATGTAGTAGGAGCGCGATGAGACTGGACGTCTGTAGTACTTACGTTTACAAATGACGCGTTCTGTGTGTAACGTTTGATTATGAAAGTTAGAAATTCACACAATACAACGCCAATCTGCGTTCCGCAGGAGATTATTTATTATAAAAGTGGCAAAGACTGTATGCGATGCCATGCGTTGACGTCAAAATCACTTCATCAGGATCACCAAGAGTAACGTTTTGAAGCTCGTGTTGTGCTGTGGAGTTAAAATAAATGGAAATTGTGACTTATTTTAATCTGTGAATTCTGGGCTTGCATTTTTGTTTGTCAGAATTGTGGGTTTATGTCTCGCAATAAGAAAGTTGACATCTTCGCAGTTCTGAATATATCAGGATTAGGATTACGACTTTGTATTTGTACTTTGCTTATACGTTTGCGATTTATATTTATACTATTTTCAGAGAGGAAGTTATTTGAGAAAAACCTGAGAAATAGTTGAGAATTTCGACTTTTCTGTCACAAAAGTTAACATTATTAAATTGTGACTTTTTAAAAAAAATTTACTTTGCATTACTTTGTGTTTCTGTCTCGCAATTGGAAAGTTGACATCTTCGCAGTTCTGAATATTTCAGGATCAGGATTACGACTTTGTAGTTTTAGTTTGCTTATACGTTTGCAGTTTACATCTTTTATTTTAAGGGGGGCAAAAAATGGAATTGTGATAAATACTTTGAACTTGAGAAATAGTTTAGAGAAAGTCAGAAATGTGTGATGAAAATGTGAATTTGAGAAAAGTCAGAATTACAACAAATTTGTAATTGTGCAAAAAAAATATTTAAAAAGTTGGAATTGTGAATTTGTATTTTAGTAATTTTGACTATTATTAAATTGTGACTTTTTTTTATTTGGTTTGCGTTTCCGTTTGTCAGAATTGTGTTTATGTTTCACAGTTGGAAAGTTGACATCTTCGCAGTTTAGAATATTTTAGGATCATTGTCAATTTACTTTGATCATACGTTTGCAGTTTATATCTTCTATTTTGAGGACAACATTTTTTTTTTAATTGTGATAAATAGTTGTAAATTCATATAGGTGTGAATTTACAAGTTTATATCTTGACATTTTGAGAGAAAAGGCTAGGCTACAATTGCTTAAAAGTTGGAATTGAAATAAAACCTATAAATTCACAAGTGTGACGCATAAATAAGCCAATTCTCCAAATTCATAATTTGCCGCAAAAGGTCTGCAGATAAAAAAAATATATATTTTAGATTTTATTTTTTTTTACATCTGAATTGCGATTTTGTCTTATTATCGCAGTTTAACACCTCACAATGTTTCTTACAGTTTTGACTTTATAAACACAATTGCTTATAGGTGTGAATTGACAAGTTCATATATTAATATTGAGGGAGAAAAAGCTACATCTGCTTAAATTTGTCAAATTACAGTAAAACAAATTAATTTACAATTGCGAGACATAAATAAGCCAATGCTGAAAAATTTGAAGACAGAGATAAAAATGGAGATTTTCAATTTTATTTGGTTCCTCTGTATTGCGAGTTTATATCTTTCTCTTTTTTTTTTTTTTATTTAACGTCTCACAATTCTGACTTTTTTTTTTTACATTCTGACCGTATTTTTTTTTTTACTTTATAAACTCAAGATTGCTTATAAGTGTGAATTTACAAGTTTATATCAACATTTTGAGAGAAAAAAAGCTACAATTCCTTAAACTGAAGTCGGATCTTTAATTAAATGTATTAATTCACAACTGTGAGGCATAATTAAGGCAATGCTGAAAACATTTTTATAGTCCTAAAGATAAAAAATAAAAAAAACTTGCGATTGCTTACAAGCATGAATTTACAAGTTTATATCTTGAAATTGTGAGAAAAAAGCTGCAATTTCTATAAATGAAGTGATTGTGATTTGCCCCATCAATTTAAATTGCGAGGCATTAATAAGCCAAACTCTTTAATGGAAAATTTGTTAAAAGGAAATTTGGTGGAAAAAAAAAAGTCTGAAAATGTAGATAAAAGTTTTGATTTTATTTTCAGATTGCCTGTTAATATTACAATTCAGACTTTTTTTTCACAGACGCAAGTTCCTGACCATCAAATAAATAACTACTGTATATAAACTGCAACAAACTCAGAAATGCACAATTGTTTGAAAAATCAGAATAGCAAAACAAGAACCCAAAATTGGTAGGTTTTGAATTTGTCACAATCATGACATTTTTTATCATAATTCTGAATTTATAGTTTGCAGTTGGAAACACAGTACTTTTATTTTCCATCTGATTTTATCAGAATTATGGGATAAAAAGTAAAATATTTTAACTCCGTGGCAGAAAGGGGCTTCAATCGCTACATACAATATCATTAAAAATCCCCTCTTGTGGATCAGTTCCCCATATTTAATTCTTTTAGATGAAAACTTGACGTATTACTAATTTTTGTTTCGATTTTTCTGTTACGGGGGTCAGCCTAAAAAATACAGGTGTCCTCCGTTTTCTTGCATGAACCTCACATATATATATATACACACACGTTCAAATATACTCCAAAAAAGTATTTGGACACTTAAACAACATCTAAAAATGTCTAAATGTCATCCATCAAATGCAAAATATCATTCGAACGAAAGCACAAGCACACTTTCAGAGTTTTTGTTGGATGTTAAACGATACATATACTGTGCAAAAACAAGACTTCAAATCTGTTCGTAGTCTGTGCGATGATCTAAAAGAGACACTGAGGCCTGTCGGTTGCAAAATAGCTCGTCAAGTTGAAGTGCACTGACATTTTCAAGTGTCCAGGTATGTTTTGGGAGCTTCACTGCAGTACATTGCAATATGATCAAAGGCGAAATATCATCATCTGTCATGTTCTCCGGCTCTCGGCTACAATGTATTATTGTATGGTTTTATATAAACTACAATGGAATTTCTAGTACAGGTATCACACTTTTAAAACGAAGAGTTGTGACATGTAAATGATCCAGTATAATAAACGATATATTTAACCATCTCTTAACATGATGTGTGTTGATTTTGTACATTGTTGCCAGTGTCGATGTTGTGTTATAATTATGTGCTTGACATAACTGATAACAAACAACTAAATGAAATTCAACTTTAAAAACTAGTTAAGAAAAAACACCTGAAAATATATTAAATATTAATTATATTAATATAAAATATATCCATTCTTGTTTTCTTAACTCTTCTGTACTTTTTTACACTGTAAATACACTGGGTTTTCTAAGCCTTTGTCTAAAAATGTATATAACAATTTATAAATGTGGCATTTAAAAATATTCAGCACTGGTGGAAGGCACACGTTGACTCAAGGTCGCAGGCGGAGTGCCTTAGTGCCCCACCAGTGACGATATACAGCAACATCGCACTGCTACAAGTGTGATATTGCGCTTATACAACAGTTCGATGGCATAATTAAAAAAAAAAATCAAACACGGAGAGTCTCAAAAACCCTTTTGTATGAGGAACTACTTTCTTCCGCCGTTCATTCACATCTGCAGCTGACGTCAGAACAGCAGAAGCCATTACGAATTCACCGACGTCACTTTAGAGCTGGTGTTTGAATGATTCTCTAGTGTAATGTCTAAAGTGATGACAAAACAGGTGATTTTGCTGACATTTTAAGATTATAGGGCTGAACGGCATGAAATGCCATCAGTCTACAGACTACAGAGATATCTTGCAGTATTTCTTTGTTGCAATCGGGAGATCACAATAATGATCCCTGAAAAAGCCAACACAAACACTAGCAGATGACTACAGCACTACAGAATACCAAAGAGAGAGATCGACTTTGAATGTCACTTTCCTGTTTAATAAAGATCAGCTGTAGTTTGAAATTAAAGAGTCTCCTTTAAGGACTTATTGTGTGGTTTCTGTCGCCATCTTGTGGCGGAACGACAACCATCTTTGCTCTGCTCAGTATGACAGGGCTGATTGTCCAACAGCTGCAGGCACGTGCACACATAGGGCTCAAGCTGTGCAGTGCACATGCCCTTTTTAGTCTTGGATAGAAAGTGCCCTTCGAAAATGATCAAAAGTGCCCCCGCGACGCGACACACCCTCCGTCCTGCCCTTCAGTAGGCGCACGACAACACTGATCTTGAGTACGCGCGCTCAACCCCCCCTCCCCCGCTTTACAGTACGCGTGCGCAAAACACATCCCATCCCCTATATATATATATATATATATATATATATATATATATATATACACACACACACACACACACACACACACACACACACACACACACACACACACACACACACACACACACACACACACACAGTTGAAGTCAAAATTATTAGCTCACCTTTGATATTTTTTATTATTATTTTTTTATGTTTTCCAAATGATCTTTAACAGAGTAAGGAAATTTTTACTTTATGTCTGATAATATTTTTTCCTTTGAAGAAAGTCATTTGTTTTTTTGGCTAGAATAAAAGCAGTTTTTCATTTTTTGAAAAACATTTTAAGGACAAAATTATTAGCCTCTTTAAGCTATATATTTTTCCAATAATCTTCAGAGCAAACCATCGTTATACAATAACTTAAGCCTAATTACCCTAACCTGCCTAGTTAACCTAGTTAAGCCTTTAAATGTCACTTTAAGCTGTATAGAAGTGTCTTGAAAAATATCTAGTCAAATATTATTTCCTGTCATAATGGCAAAGATAAAATAAATCAGTTATAAGAAATGAGTTATTAAAACTATTATGTTTAGAAATGTGTTGAAAAAAAAAATCTTCTCTCCGTTAAACAGAAATTGGGGAAAAGAATAAACAGGTGGTCTAATAATTCTGACTTTAACTACACACACACACTAACAGTTCTGTCTGGTTCTCGAATCTGATTGGCTGAAAGCTGCATCAACAGCACTCATCCAGCCTCTTCACCCTTCTGTATTACTCCACCCACATAGAGTGACAGCAGATGAATAAACTCACTACAGTTTGACAAATGTTGCAGCTGTTGGACTACATAATGGACTTTTTAAGGCTTTTCGGGCAAGAGTGTAATCATTTAGATTGCAACTATGCAGTTTATTTAGAAGAATTGTGCGTTTTTAAAAGTTTTATAATTTTGGAGATTCAGCGCTTGGGAGATGGGACTGAAATATGGGAAACTCCCAGGACAAATGGGAGTGTTTGCAGGTATGGCAATATTGAAGTCATAACAGTGCGATATGGCTCAATATCGTCACTGGTGGGACACTAAGGCACTTCAATTGCTACGAGTGTGATATTGCTTTATATATATATATATATATATATATATATATATATATATATATATATATATATATATATATGCATTCATTCATTTTCTTGTAGACGTAGTCCCTTTTTTATCCGGGGTCGCCACAGCAGAATGAACCGCCAACTAATTCAGCAAGTTTTTCTTTTACACTGCGGATGCCCTTCCAGCCGCAACCCATCTCTGGGAAACATCCACACACACACACACACTCATACACTACGGACAATTTAGCCTACCCAATTCACCTGTACCGCATGTCTTTAGACTGTGGGGAAAACCAGAGCACCCGAAGGAAACCCAAACATGCAAACTCCACACAGAAAAGCCAACTGAGCCATTGCTCGAACTAGCGACCCAGCAACCTTCTTGCTGCTACCTACCTGGTGCACTACCTACTGCGCCACTGCTTCGGCCTCTATATATATATACATATATATATACAGAGAGAGAGAGAAAGAGAGAGAGAGATATAGATAGATAGATAGATAGATAGATAGATAGATAGATAGATAGATAGATAGATAGATAGATAGATAGATAGATAGATAGATAGATAGATAGATAGATAGATAGATAGATAGATAGATAGATAGATAGAAAAAAGAAAACAAAGGGAACACTTATGTAATATAATATATAATTTTTTTAAATGTATACTTTGTTCTCTTTTTAAAAAACCCAAACAAAAGCATGTAAATAATTATTGTTTTCAAGTGTATAGCAACATAACTTTTTAGAAAATGTCTGAAATGATACATCGAGACTCATCAAAGTTTTGGTATGGTTTATTTTTCAATAGTGTTATTTTCGATCAGACAAAAAAAAAAAAAAAAAGATTCAAAATCCAACAAAAAAGATAAATATCCAAAACCGATTAAATATACATATTTATAGCACCTGGCACAGTCCGATCGCAAACTGTGTGAACTGAACATTAAGAAAACAGAGCTGTAAAACAGTGTGTTTCACTTGCGCACTTCAGTCTTGCGTGGAAAAACTCTCCGATTTAGACCACAAACACACACCATCACATCGTTCGTTCAATAGCGTCACTCCCGCAACAATAAATACTGTACACATGCGCTCTTAATGTACACTGAGAGGTATTTCAGTGGCATTGATATCGATGCTTTTACCTTTATGAACTACAACATCCTAGCTCTCTAACATCCATTTACTGCAGTATTTCAAGTAGATGATTTGTGAAAGTCACAGTTCCGCGTGTCACATGGTATAAAGTCTCAAATAGCATGTGTGAACTGTCAGAAAGCCCTCAGGCTGTGGTGATAGTGATAAATTACACAGACAGAGCTTCCACAGAGCACTTTCATTAAAAACTACTTCTTCTAGATAACAGTTTGGAAACTGATTGAGCTTTTACTGCAGGCACGACACAAAACCCCTACACTTCAGTTTTGGGTCTACAATGACTTGCACATTAAAGGAACACTGTCCAATTTTTTGGAAAGAGGCTCATTTTACCGTTCCCTTGGATGTAACTGTTGAGTTTTACCCTTTTTTTAATCCATTCAGTTAACTAGCTTTTAGCATATCTTAGCATAAATCATTAAATCGGACTAGAACATTAGCATTTAGCTCAAAAAACATACAATGTTTTGATCAATTTTCCATCTTAAACTGCGACTATTCAGTAGTTAGGTCATGTACTTCGAAAGTTGATATTAAAAGTTGCTATTGTCTAGGGCGATATGTCTAGGAACTGTACTCTCATTCCGGCGTAATGATCAAGGAATTTTGCTGCCGTACCAAGCTTAAAACAGTTATATTACGCAACACCTTAAAATAGTCCCTAAGTAACAGCACTGCATAATATTATTGCCCCTGCTTCAGCCATGGTACAGCAGCAAAGTTCCTTGATTATTAAGCCAGAATGAAAATTTATTTCCTAGCCGTATCAGCCTAGACAATAGCAACCTTTCATTTTCTGTAGTACATATAATGTGAAAACAAAATAGTCATGCTTCTTGTAGGAAAACTTTTTACATTTCTTGAGCAAGATGCTAATGGTCTAATCAGAATCCTTTATCTATGCTAAGCTAAGCTAAAAGTGCTCCTGCTAGACCTGGAGATCGACTGAATGGATTAAAAAAATGGTAAAACTCATCTGCTTAACCCTAGTAGAGCGGTCATGTATCAAGACCAACAGAAAATGACATGTTGATATTTTCTTAGGCTGATATGTCTAGGAACTATACTCTCATTCTGGAGAAATAATCAAGAAAATTTGCTACTGTACCATGGTTGAAGCAGACACAATGATATTACACATCCGCTGAAAATAGTCCCTAGGTAATAGCACTGCATAATATCATTGCCTTTGCTCCAGCCATGGTACAGCAGCAAAGATTATTGATTATTATACCAGAATTAAGAGTATAGTTCCTAGCCATATCGACTTAGAAAACAGCAACTTCATTTCCGTTGGTCTTAGTACACAATGGAAATACAGAAAACACACTTCAAGTAAAAACAAACTATTAAAACGCTTTTTTTGTGCAAGATGCTAATGGTTTAATCTGAATTAATTATTTATGCTAAGCTAAGCTAAAAGTGCTCCCACCAAACCTGGAGATCGGCTGAATGGATTCAATAATTGTAAAACTCATCTGCTTAACCATAGAGGAGCAGTCATGTACTAAGACCAACAGAAGATGACAAGTTGATATTTTCTTAGGCCGATATGGCTAGGAACTATACTCTCATTCTGGAGTAATAATCAAGAAAATTTGCTACTGTACCATGGTTGAAGCAGACACAATGATATTACACATCCGCTGAAAATAGTCCCTAGGTAATAGCACTGCATAATATCATTGACCCTGCTCCAGCCATGGTACAGCAGCAAAGATTGATTATTACGCCAGAATGAAGAATATAGTTTATAGCCATATCGACCTAGAAAATAGCAACTTATTTTCCGTCGATCTTAGTACACAATGTAGATCCAGAATAGTCACACTTCAAGTAGAAAAACTATTGAAAAGCCTTTTTTTTTTTTGCAAGATGGTAATGGTCTCATTCAAATTAATTATTTATGCTAAGCTAAGCTAAAAGTGCTCCCGCCAGACCTGGAGATCGGCTGAATGGATTCAGTAATTGTAAAACTCATCTGCTTAACCCTAAATGAGCTGTCATGTACTAAGACCAACAGAAGATGAAAAGTTGATATTTTCTTAGGCTGATATGTCTAGGAACTATACTTTCATACTGGAGTAATAATCAAGAAACTTAGCTGCCGTACCATGGTTGAAGCAGGCACAATTATATTACACAACACCTGAAATAGTCCCTAGGTAACAGTGTAATATCATTGCTTCTGCTTCAGTCATGGTACAGCAGCAAAGATCCTTGATTATTAGGCCAGAATGTGAGTTTAGTTCCTATCCATATCAGGATAGGAAAGTAGCAACTTTTCATTTTCTGTCTGTCTTAGTACACAATGTAAATACAGAATAATCATGCTTCAAGTGGGAAAACTATCAAAACTCTTTGACATTTTTGAGTGAGATGCCAATGGTCTAATTCGATTCAATTATCTATGCCAAGCTTAGCTAAAAGTGCTCCTGGAGATCGGCTAAATGGATTCAAAAATGGTAAAACTCATCTGCTTAACCCTAGAAGAGCTGTAAAATGAGCCTACTTCCAAAAAAGTAAGTAAAATATTTTAACTATGTAATTTCTTGATTATTTATATTGATGAATTGTCTTTTTTTTTTATCTGTCCAGTGTGTGATATTTATTTCAACACACTGGAAAAGGCTGGGTACAAATTCCAAACCAACCTTCAAAACACAACAATCAAAATGATTTAAGTTTAACGTTTAATAGTCGACATTTAGATTTTTTTCGATTAAGTGGTTAAAAAGGGTTATGTGGGTCTTGTTCTGATGTCTGGCATTTGGTTTTATTCATTTAATGTTGAAATAGCTCAACAAAAAAAGTAAATCTACTATTAATTTATCTCAGGTCATCCAATACATAGGTGACTTTTTTTTTCTTCAGTAGATTTTAGCTGAAACTTTGGTCAATGAACAACAGCACTTTGAGAGTCTAAAAAAGCACACACACAAAACAAAATGAATACTTTAGCACTCAGAACTGTTAACTCCAAATATGCATTTTAAAGGTAAAGTCATAAATAATGTTAAGTTTCTTTCACAAGGTCAATCGCTTTCCTTCACAAGACCTCAATGTACCATCAGAAGCCACGAATATTAATTTTATTTTGCTGGTATGTGCTTTTTTTTTTTACTCTGAAACTCCCAGTAGCCACTGACTTTCATTTTATGAACACAAATGAACAAACAGATAAAAAATCTACTTTAATGTTGTAAGTCACCTACAACATGGATGAGCTAAATTACCAGCAATTTAAAACCTAATTTAAAATATAGCTCATCATTCCTACACCTTTAGCATCATGTAAATAGCAAAACTCCTTAAATAATGCAGTCATATGGTCATGTAAAGATTTTTTAATAAAGATAAAACTAGCATATTTGTTGGTGTAGATGAAGCGCATTTATTACAGAACTACTTTATAGGCATACCACAAAAATAAGACTTTTTTTTTTTTAAAGAACTTTGTTTTGCTGCAAATTATAGTGTTTTTTTAATTAAGCGAGAATTATTTTATTGCTAAAATATGTTTTTATTATTATTTGTTTTATTTTAGACTAAGAGTCTACTGTTATGATCTGTCAAAATGGGAAAAAATGTAAACAAATGGAATTAGCCCCAAATTAATTCTATATATTGTATTTTCTTTAAAGAATGTGATAAATGGTACATCTTTTTTTCCTCACGAGGCAACTGGTATGAGTTTACATTCACTGATATTTTCCGTCATCAAAGTTGAAAGTATCAATACTGTGATGCATTTTCATCCATCGAAAACAAAGGCAGCGCTTCAAACCTAAAAACACACCGCCTGCATGACACGTCTTTACATCAGACACAGAAAACATGACTCCAACCCAAAACGAAACAAATGTTGCATGAAATGGAAATAAATACTGTAAAGCAAGTGTCATCCTTTTGTGTCATGTACAAAACAATAGCATACACACACATACACACGCAGCAGTCCTTATGTAAATGTAGTTGTGAAGTGACAGACGTACTCTTGCAGTTGATTACGTCACAGATCCTCTGAACTGAAGGAACGGCTCCATGAAAAGCCTGATCCGTGTGGCGTCATGACATGCTTGATCAAAGGCTTTCAAACCAAGGTAAGGCCACGACTCCCAGAAATGAACACAAAAACTGCCAACAAGAAAGAAGGAGATGATGTTGATGTTAAATATATAGCTACGTGCTAATGTGTTTGAGTCACTTTATTTGAAAGTAGCCTCACAAGCCACCCAGAGTTGGAGAGTCGTGTTTTACTATTTTTGAATCCCTTCATCCCTTTTCCGGGTCTAGCGGGAGTATTTTAGCTTAGCTTAGCATAAATCATTAAATCAGATTAGACCATTAGCATCTCCTAGACCAGGGGTGCCCAAAATCGGTCCTAGAGGGCCAGAGTCCAATACATTTTTGTTCAACTTGCCTCAACACACTGGCACGGATGTTTCTAGATAGCCTTGTAAAAGCTTGATTAGCCAGCCCAGGTGTGTCTGATTGGGGTTGGAACTAAACTTTGCTGGACACCGGCTCTCCAGGACCGAGTTTGGGCATCCCTGTCCTACACCATTAACATCTTATTAAAAAAATGACCAAAGAGTTTGGATAACCTTCCCTATTTAAAGCTTGATAAATTTTTGAGGAAGATGCTAATGGTCTAATATGATTCAATGATTTATGCTAAGCTAAGCTAAAAGTGCTTCCATCAAACCTGGAGATCGTATTCAAAGATGGTAAAACTGAACTGTTAAACTATAAGGGAGCTGTAAACTTAGCCTATTTCCAAAAAAAAGTGGAGTGTTCCTTTAAAATGTATTCGTCTAGAACAGTGTTTCTCAACCACGTTCCTTGAAGACCATCAGCTCTGCACATTTTCCATTTCTCCTTAACCAAACACGCCTGATTCAAATCATCCTCTTATTAGCAGAGACTGAAAGACCTGTAACGGGTGTGACAGACAAGGGAGACATCCAAAACATGCAGTGTTGGTGGTCCTCCAGGAAAGAGGTTGAGAAACACTGCACTGAAATAATGCACATTATTAGGTACACCTGTTTAACAACAACTTTTTGCAAATATCATATGGATGGATGGATGGATGGATGGATGGATGGATGGATGGATGGATGAAAAAAGATGGACAGAACAATAGATAGATATAAAGACAGATATAAAGACGGATGGATGGATAGATAGATAGATAGATAGATAGATAGATAGATAGATAGATAGATAGATAGATAGATAGATAGATAGATAGATAGATAGATAGATAGATAGATAGATAGATAGATAGATGCATTGATATATGAATAGAATGATAGATGGACAGACGGATAGACAGATGGAACAATAAATGGATAGAACAATAGATGGATGAACAGAAAAAAATGTATGGATATGAAGACAGACAGATATAAGGATGGACGGACGATAGATGGACAGAACAGTAGATTGATGTATATAGAATGACAGAAATGAATAGATAGATGGATAAAACAATAGATAGATGGAACAATAAATAGATGGAAAAAACAACAGATTTATGAATTGGATGGATGGATGGATGGATCGATGGATGGATGGACAGAACAATAGATAGTTATAAAGACAGACAGAAATAAAGATGGATGGACAGATGGATAGATAGATGGACAGAACAATAGATAGATGTATAGAATGATAGATGGATAGATGTATGAATAGAACGATAGATAGATGGACGGACAGACAGATGGAACAATAGATAGATGTATAGAACAATAGATGGATGAACAATAGATTGGTGGATGGATATAAAGAGACAGGTATAAGGATGGATGGATGATAGATAGATAGACAGAACAGTACATGTATAGAATGACAGAAATAAATAGATGGATAAAATGATAGATGGATAAATGGACAGATGGAACAATAGATAGATGGAAAGAACAACAGATGGATTAGATAGATGGACAGATAGATGGACAGAATAATAGATAGATATAGACATATAAGGACAGATGAATAGAATGATAAATGGATGGATAGATAGACGGACAGAACAATAGATAGATGTATAAAATGATAGATGGATAGATATGTGAATAGAACGATAGATGGATAGACAGATGGAACAATATATAGATGAATAGATGATGGATGGATAAAAGACAGGCAGATATAAGGATGGAGGGACAGATGGACAGAACTGTAGATAGATGTATAGAATGATAGATGGATGGATAAAACGACAGACAGATATATGGATAGAACGATAGAAGGACTGACGGGCTATCGGTGTGTACCCAGTAAAATATCCAGTGTGTGTGTGTTGTGAATTAGCAGCTGAAGTGCTGATGATGACTCACGGTCCAGGTTGAAGGCACTTCAGCTGCTCCCTCTGCTGGTGTGCTGGAGCTCAGGGTTGCTGTTGATCTCCTCTTCATCCCCCTGCTCCTCCTCCTCTTCCTCTGCCCATCCACCCAGACGGCCTGAAGTGTGCGGCACCAGAGTGACCGTCTGAGGAGCTGCAGTGCAAACACAACAGCATTATAGCAGGTATGTGTCATTGACCAGAAAATTCCACTTCTAAGCTCATGGATCACTGTTTATTTAATGCAAAGACCTGAATGAAGAACTCGTCATGGACCATAATATGAAAAGTAATATATTAGTCCAGTTTTCTAGTAAAGCCACTGATGTTTTGATGAGGTTAAAAACAAATACGTCAGTTTAACAAACTAGCATTATAAATAACTTTTAGAGTGTTTATTAATATAATCTACATAAGCTAACACTGAACATTTCAAGTATGAGTGGACTGATTTAATTTATTACAGTTTTTTCCAATTGTTTACACACATTTTCTAAGAGCAGGACTCATATTGTCAGAACTCTACACACAAATCACAAAACACACACACATTGGGCAAAACTCTTCAATTCTTCTACAAAATGAAACTCTTCGTTCAAAACAATGTGATTTCTTCTCAAAATGGTCTTTGATTTCAAATGACACACACAAACCATCACATGAATAGACATTCATAAGATCAGTTGAACACTGATGTGCTCAATGTAAAACACGATGACTTCTTCTCCATTCATCATTATGACTTTCTGTAAGCCTTTTTTGTTCAGTGTTACACTTTACTAGACAGTAGGCCTACATAAGTGCACTGTAAAATATTTCAGAATATTGTTTTTATACAAAACAAACAAATATCAAATATATTTTACCCACAAATACAGTGTACACAGTGTTCGTCACAACCAACACAACGTTGCAGATAACGTGGTCTACATATACCATCAACAGAAGTATTTACTGAATACAGTCACAGTAAAAAAACAGCTATACTGCATTCTCTTTTCTGTTTTGGTCTGGCCAAGCAGCGGGGGAAATGTCACTTTCCAGCCACGAAAAGCATCAACTGCTATAGCTTGGAGAAAAGGGTATACGTGTGTGTGGATTTCGGTCATACACTTTACATCTCCACGCAGAAAAAAAATCCTCAATAGGTTTGAGGAATGGAGAATATGGAGGGAGATAAATCACTAAAAATTGTGGGTGGGAAGTGAACCAGTTATGATCCAGATGAGCTCTGATTTCTAAATTGAAATTCTGTGAGACAAAAGTTTACTCATGTGATGAGTTAGTATGCTAAGTAGGGCAACTGACTTTACAATTGTGAATGACAGTGTGTTCCTTGTGAAAACAAAAGATTTTTCTGCATGAAAATTGTGCAAAATGCAGAGAATTGTGTGTAGTATTTTGAAAAAAGTGTGTTGTAAACCTGCAATTTGAGTGTAAAGCAGGAATTGTGCTTGTAGTTTAGCAGAATTGATTCAGGGGGTTGGTGCATCAGTTATATGTTGCAGAAATTGTGTCTGTAGTACAAGTAATTGTGTGTAAACAACTAAGAAAAACTGTAATATTGATTCAAAATTAGCATGGCAACCCATTCACTAAAACTTTCGTCATAGAACCTACTGGACCCCACTTAAAAGACATCATATCAATGCCTTTTAGTCCATTCTGTTATAAATGTCCTGACCAGGAACTTGCATCTTTTTTTCACATGATGTGGGAATGTGGAAAAATACTAAAGTTTTGGAATAAGGACTGTGCTATTTTGTCTAAAAGTATTAAATATCCTGTGCCAGTGAATACTTCCATTCTATTACTGAGCGTTGATTCTACGTTGAACCTCACCAAGCTACAAAAAGCTGTTTGGCTAGCTGGCTGGCTTAACTTCTGCAAAAAAAAAAACTACTAGCCCAATATTGGCTGCCTCTACATAATTTGGACACATACAAGTGTTTGGTACAACTTTAGGACATTATAATGTTGGAATTACCCACACCCCGAGTGAACTTGGTACAAATGAGTACATTAAACATCTGGACATGAGCTGCTGACAAAATCTCCATGTTTATTGCACAAAACAATTACCAGGATCCAGAATGATCACCTTACTTTGTATAGTTGATACTGTATTTTGTTTTTCTGTTAACTTCTATTCATTGGATATCCCAGTTTTTAGAAAGGGGGGAGAGGTGGGGGTATTTGAATTGATATATTTCATTCATTCATTCATTTTCTTGTCGGCTTAGTCCCTTTATTAATCCGGGGTTGCCACAGCGGAGTGAACCGCCAACTTATCCAGCAAGTTTTTACGCAGTTTTCACCTGTACCTCATGTCTTTGGACAGTGGGGTAAACCGGAGCACCCGGAGGAAACCCACGCGAACGGAGGGAGAACACCAACTGAGCTGAGGTTCGAACCATCGACCTTCTTGCTGTGAGGCAACAGCACTATCTACTGCGCCACTGCTTCGCCTTTAGATCCATTTCATTATATTGTTTTTTCAACCTGTATGTTTTGTTAAAAACTAATAAAAAAAATAGCATAGCAAAATAGTACATATTCATAAGTTAAAAGTATAATATTGTTTTATTCAAACATTGATGAAAAAATAAATGGATTAGCATAAATTAATTGAATCAGATTAGACCTTTAGCATCTCAAAAATGACCAAACAGTTTCCATAATTTTCCTATTTAAAGAATTTCCTAGGCTAATCACAATTTTTTTTTTGTGCGAGATGCTAATGGTCTAATATGATTCAATGATCTATGCTAAGCTAAGCTAAAAGTGCTTCCACCAGACCTGGAGATCAGCTGAATAGATTAAAAATTGTAAAACTCAACAGTTTACCTCAAGTGGAGTCGTAAATCCCAACGGCGACAGTGCGCTTACCACACACCAGCTATAGGTGGAGTGTAGAGACAGTGATAGAGCCAATTCGGTGGATCAGGATGATTGGGAGGCCATGATCGTAAGGGCCAATGGGGAGAATTTGGCCAGGACACCGGAGTCACCGGGGACTCTCCGATTTTTAATGACCACAGAGAGTCAGGACCTCGGTTTAACATCTCATCCGAAAGACGGCACCCACTGACAGTATAGTGTCCCTTTCACTTTTAGGGTGCTTTCACACCTGTGAATCGATTCAGTTGTTCTGAAACAGGGATTTAAATTGTTACATTGTTGCTCTTTGCTCTTGGAGCGGTTCGCTTTCACACTTAAGTTTCTAATCAGACCAAAAGAGCTAAAACAAGTCATGTGTGAGTAAACTCTCCTCACATTGGTCAGAGTGTCAGGGTTTATTTTGCAGAGTCCCGCTCAGCTGTCAGGGGAGGTTGTGGTTTGGTAGTGTTTGACATGGTGCGCGCGACATGTCTGAAGAGCGAGGAGAGATGCGGTGGGGAGGGGTATGAAGGGTGCGCGACATATTTGAGGATCGGGAGGGAGATGCGAGATTACCGGGAGATTATCACTCGTTTGCGGGCATCCGGGAGACTCCCGAAACTTCCCGCCCTACTCATAATTCTCTATGCCTATTACATATCCATAAAACACTGTGATATAACCGCGCTCGGATCGTATCGCTTTCTCACTGCAATCGATCCACTACAGAGTTCGTTTCAATCGAGCCGAGACCACCTCATTCAAGCGATCTTGGAGCGATTGATTTGGCACGGATCCTAGCGCGATTGCTGGTTTCACATATGCCAAACGAACCGCGCTAACTGGGCAAATGAGACAGGTTCCGAAACAAAAGCGTAGGTGTAAAAGCACCCTTACTGGGGCATTTGAGGACTCAAGTTGTGCGCCCCCTGCTGGCCTCTCTAACACCACTTCCAACAGCAACCCACTTTTCCTATGTGGTCTCCCATCCAGGTACTGACCAGGCCCTGCTTAGCTTCAGTGAGTAACCGTTTTAAGCTCCAGGGTGATATGGCCATGGTATAATATAGATTTTAACTAGCTAAAACATTAACAAGGTGTATACATGACAAGAATAAACAAAGAAAAATAGCACTTATTTATTCATTAAGTAACATTACTATTTATTTGTTATTTAATAATCATTTATAAATTCATATTCAAATAATTTATAAATCCTGTAAAACCGCTGTTCATTATCAGTCTGTAATATCTCAGGCATTAACTCGTGCTAACAACTACTAAAAGAACAATATTTTTTAAAATTTATTATCATTTTACATTCATTCATTCATTATTGCCACAGCTGAATGAACCACCAACTATTCCAGCAATTGTTTTATGCAGCGGATGCCCTTCCAGCCGCAACACAGTACTGGGAAACACCCATACACACTCTCATTCACACACATACACTACGCCTAATTTAGTTTATTCAATTTACCTATACCGCATGTCTTTGGGCTGTGGGGGAAACCGGAGCGAAGACAAGAAGAACATGCAAACTCCACACAGAAAGGCCAACTGGCCAAACCGGGACTCGAACCAGCGACCATCTTGCTGTGAGGCGATAGTGCTAACCACTGAGCCACATCATTTTATCGGCATAAAATATAATATTTCTTTTTTCAAAGTGAATGTACAGCAGTAAAATAATTAATCATAATAATGAGAGGCTTGCTTTGAGTTCTAACTGGTAGATGTGACTCATTTGAATGTTAGTTTAAATGTTGATGCTGTTAACTCACCACTGGCGCTCATGTCCCTCATTGGCACAGGGGCCTGAAACTGTCCAGATGCATGATGGGTCTTCTGCTGATGCACCTGGGATTATCACCATGATTAGAAATAGCACTGTTTCTCAACCACACTCCTGGAGGACCACCAGTTCTGCACATTTTCCATGTCTCCTCAACCAAACACACCTGATTCAAATCATCAGCTCATTAGCAGAGACTGAAAGACCTGTAATGAGTGTGACAAACAAAGGAGGCATGCAAAACATGCAGGCTGTTTCTTAATATGCGTTCTTTAGCTGTCTTGCGTCCTCGTGTTAACGTGTAACGTCATCATCTGCCGCCAAAATTCAGTTCGAATACTCAAAACCGCAAGAACAGAGGACGCGTGAAAGTTCCCGGATATGTTCTTGATGTCGAGGACACACCGATTCAGACTTGAGCACCGATCTCGCTTTAGAAGTCCCAGAAGTCATTGCGACTGGAGGTGGGAAGCGCAGCATTTTATTTAGGTTTATTATTAATGTTCAGAGATATTGCTTATTTACCTAAGGAGTTTCCCAAAACAAAACAGTGAAAGTAAACATTACCATGAACATCTTAATAAAGGAATGAACACATTAAGGGTGTTTGTTTGCTGAAATTCATATTAAAATCTGTTTTATTTATATTGTGCAATGTATATTTATAATGTTTTTATGCAAAGTATATATTTTGAAAAGGAAAAAAAACAATAAATAGTTGTATGAATGCTGTACTGTTTGAATAATTTTCCATTTAAAATGTGTGACGGTCACGTGACCATCAGGAAGAACGCATCATCTCATTTCTCACAGGAGAGTTCGTTCTTCCGAGGACGCCCGGCAACACTGATCTCCACAAAATCGCAAGTTCGTTCTCTGCGTTTTTAGAATTGAGAAACAGCCACAGTGTTGGTGGTCCTCCAGGAACGTGGTTGAGAAACGCTGATATATAGTAATATAAAGCGTTTATTAGTGTCATTGTGTGTCCTCATTACTCACCTCATGCATGTATATTGCGTGCAGACTCATCTCTGCAGACGCAAACTCTGACGCCAGCGCTGAACGAGACTGACTGAGCATCCTGGGGTCACTAGCGGACATGCTAATGAAAAGATAACATTCATTAGGCGTGTACACATTTGAATCGAAGGCTACTGAGATGCATTTTGCATGATCAGGTCAAAGAGGGAGGCATATTTATTCTTTATTTAATTAGCTTCAGTCACTTGTATTCAGATAAATGAAAACGCAAGATTAGTTAGAGGTACTGCATGGAAGTTTTTAAAGCAGAAAAAAACCATAGTGTGTTTGCAGAGATATTCAAATTCAATTCAAAACTATTTGCACTAGTGCTGGGCGAAGATTAATCAGGAATCATGATCAATCGCATTAAAATTTAAAGTTTGTTTTGACATAAGATATGTGTGTGCATTATATATATTTATTATATGTAATGCATACACTTAGGTAAAACTATACTATACTGCTTCTGCTTTCTTCTGCCCATCTGCCACAAGGTTCGATATGTTGTGGGTTCAGAGATGTTCTTCTGCATACCTCAGTTGTAACGAGTGGTTATTTGAGTTACTGTTGCCTTTCTATCAGCTGGAACCAGTCTGCCCATTCTCCTCTCACCTCTGGCACCAACAGCCATGCCACGTTCAAAGTCACTTAAATCACCTTTGTTCCCTATTCTAATGCTCGATTTGAATGGAAGCAGATCATCTTGACCATGTCTACATGCTTAAATGCATTGAGTTGTTGCCCTGTGATTGGCTGATTATTGAGCAGTTGGACAGGTATACCTAATAAAGTGGCCGATCAGTGTATTTATAATACATATACACAGTCCACATACATATATTTTGTCAAAGCAAACTTTTATATTGGATGCAATTCATGTTTGCCCAGCACTTATTTGAATAAATAATAATAATAAATAATTATAAATCACATAATATAAATAAATTATTAACAAAAAATGACTCAAACATGCTTTTAGCGTTTAATTTGGATTTAAAAAAGCAAGTTAAGGCACTGGGAGTGGCTTTATAGACTGTTTTGAGGGGTTGTAAACAATAACAGTGGTCCTAATGTATTTCCTGTATTACATTTTTAATTTCCAAATGCTTCCAAAAATCCAAAAAAGGTCCAGATATTGATAAAGAATGTTATGGCAGCCATTTTAACATTATTATATATATGATTAAATTGCCTCCTGTTACAGTTATGAAACAGTTTGGCAACAAGCAGGACATGTTCTTGGGCCAGTGACATCACCCCATTGAAATAGTTTATTGCAGTGGTTCTCAAACTGTGGTACGCAGGCTTCCTTCTAGTGGTTATGTGGAGGAATCGTGAATAATTAAAGTAAAAAATGAACACACTTTTAACCCTAGCATACGATAACACCGCTGTGATCAGTAAACTGATTTTAATAGGCGAAACCTTTTATTTTATTTTCAATTTTCTAACGTTTGTTATGTATTCTGTCATTTGAAGCTAATTTCCTTCCCCTATTTTTAACGATTGTTGGGGTGTATCCTGCATTTTTTGTCCTAATGTTGACAGTCGTCCCTTGCTTTTCTGACAAACAAAGACTACTCTAACTTGCAGTAAACACATTTAATTTCTAATTTAAATATGTAAATCCAATTCATATACAGTTTCTAAGATACAAGTTAATGTTTAGATTTTAAAGATATACAAATGAGTCATATACACATGTGTTATATATTTCAAAATTTATCAAAAAGCATTGTCATATTGATGTCATATCGCTTATATCAGGGCTATTCAACTAGATAGTCAAGGGGGCCAGCTCATGAAAAGCATCCCAAATTAGGGCCCGGAGAGATATGACTTGCAATATAAGTGATGTCTATATTAAAACGGTAAAATATGTTGTATTTTGATACCCAGCTGGGACTGGATTCAGCGGCCTTCTTGCTGTGAGGTAACAGTGCTAACCACTGAGCCTAAGTTAGTGATGCCTTCCCCAATTTTTTTCATTCTGTTTTTGACAATAGAGTAGAATTGCTGAAATAAAACTGTAAAAAAAATGATTTCAAAATGAATTCAAGCATTTTCAAAGACTTGTGTTTGTTTTTAGGCACTTTCAAGGCCTTGAATCCCCATGTCTGAAATTCAAGTACTTTCAAGAAGCATGGGAACCCTAGCTATGCTGTGTGATTTTGACACACTGTTAGAAAAATGTGTCACAGTTGTAGTGTTTTTCAGCCTCTTACCTGTCCGCCACTGTGTGCTCGCTGCTGTACATGTGTCCGTCGTGTTGCTGTCGGGACGGCAGGAGTGTGTGTGAGCGCGACCGGCTGGCGTGAGGCTGCTGGGAAGATGAGAGAGACGCTAGGACGCTAGCAGCCGCTGACGCCGCGCTGCTGGGAGAAATGAAGCGCCGGTTTCTTCCAGGCAGACCCGAGGCCGTCAGGACAGGGTGAGCCAAAACACTGGCTAACAGGTTGTCAGGCTGAACAGAAAACAATGCAGAACAACAGACGTGAGTGTGTGAAAGAATGAGCTGGCAGTGTGCAGATGGCTGAAGTTGGAATTATGGTCTGCGAAATAACCAATCTGGCAGCAAGCGCTGAAACAATGCACAGGCACAAAATGAAATGTCAATATTTCTTGTCTTCTGGCAGCTTTTTTAATATCCTGAATGCCACAGGAAATGTTTTTTTGTTTCATTTTGTTTTGCAGTGGAATGTTTTTTGAGAGTGCTGCGCTCTGTAAATGAAAACTGTACTGCTGCATCTAGACAGGGAAATAGAGATACATGGAAACATTGTTTATCTTATTACATTGTATCGATATAGGGTATATGCAGAAGGACTTTAATTTTTTAGTAACCTAGGTCAAGCACTTCCTGTATACCATTAGAAAATAGTCAAATTTAAGGTCTGTTTTCTTTAAAAATCAACAATCTTCACTGCCTGATTGATATGCAATATAAAGTGTTTCTCAGAATGTACAAAGAAGCACTGCATTACATTTCATTTTTCCATGCCACGTCTTTAAAATATGAACATTTATTTTACCCCTGTATTTCCAAAGGCGTTTTTGCAGTTGCCTGCTGATCTTGACGGGGGATGGGGCATGCACGTAAAAGGCTTTTCCTCTCGTTTGACACTTGAGCAACTAAATGAATGCTGAAGTCTATTTAACTGATTATATTTTCATTACCTTACAACAGTGATGCTGTAAAAGAAACCGTATAAAAATGAAAAATAAATAAATAAATAAATAAATAAGTCACATTAACTGTTCACTGGAAGTGTATTGGTATGGGAAGAAACACAAGCTCTGCATTTACTCCATTCCCAACCCAAAACGTAGAGCTTAATTATTAAATTAAAGATTACAAAAACCTTTGTAAATTAAAAAAAATTAAGCTTTACCTACACATTGTTTATTATATTATATTATATTATATTATATTATATTATATTATATTATATTATATTATATTATATTATATTATAATAATATATTAATATTATCTGTGTTAATAATGTATGTTTTATTAATATTATTATTAGTAGTATTATTATTATTAGTATTATTATTATTATTATTATTTCATTTATAAGTTTGGGGTAATCTTTAAATAATTACTACATTTATTCAGCAAGAACAGATAAAATTGATGACTACAAATGTGTTAAATTTTACTTTTTTCAAAGTAAATGCTGATATAAATAATAAACTATTTAAAATATATATTTTTAAGTACAACAGGATATTTTAAATGGTTTAATCTTACACAATGAAGTTTTACTTTAAAATTGTAGACAAAAAGAAAACTTGCTTTTAAATAAACTATATATCTGTTTTTTCTGTTTAGTGTTTTACAAGTATAATATATATACACACACATATATATATATATATATATATATATATATATATATATATATATATATATATATATATATATATATATATATATATATATATATATTATAGGTGGGCATAGATAATTTTTTAAATCTAGATTAATCTAGATAAAAATGGCTCATTTTAATTCTGCTGAAGGCATTCAGAATATGTGTGCTACCCAAAGTCTTTGAGAACGGGTTTCTCAAGCGAGGTGGCGCATTAGACAAGGGGCTCATCTCCTGTTTCCAAAATGCATCACAAACTGCTTGAGAAACTGTTCTACTATGATAATTGGTGATGAAAATGTATTTGTGTTTACTAACTGTTTATTCAGTTAAACATGAATTGTGAACTGTAGGTCTACATAAGCTCCAAACAGCATATGCATATATTAGTGGCATTATTGAAGTAAACACCGCAATCAAACTATTACCGCCATGTAGGACTTTTTGCCTTATTTTCTTAGAAGATCCACACACAAGGTTGTCAGTACAGCACACACAAACACACATTGCGAAATGCAGAAGTTTTTTACTTTTCATTTGGCGTGCGTTATTGAATTCCATAACACTCTCACCAGTCCTTACTACTTATTTGCGTCTAATACCACAGTTTGTCACAGCGGCATGAATGAAATGTTCATGAGTGAAAGTGAAACTGCCAAACTGTTGTAAAGTCAGGCATCCTGCTGATTTGATTCAGTAGGGCACTTTTTTGTCAGACGGCTCACCGGTAAGGTTTACATCTGCGCTAAAATATCAAGGTGAAAGTCATCATAGCTTGCGTCGAATAGACCCAGCTCCCAACCCAACTTTGAGAATAGATTAACAGCGATTTTTTTTTATAGCATGATAAAAGTCTTGCGTAAACAAAATATTTTTTTCTTTTGGGTGAAATGTTATTTAAGGGGTAACACTTTAAAATAATGGTCCGTTAATCAAACAATTAGTAATACATTAATTACGATATTTATTTGGCTTTGTTAACTTCAGTTAATGTTATTTAAGTTGAATATTGTTAGTTCATATTAACTTACAGTGCATTAAATGTGGATGTTAATAATGCATTATTAAATGTTGAGCCATATGCTTAATAAATGCTTTACAAGCTTATTCTTACTTAATAAATGTTAGTATTTACATTAACTATTATTAACTAATCGACCATTATTATGAAGTGTTACCACTGAATCAATTCTGAATCACAAACCAAAAGCTGCCTGTCTCTCAGTCTATCACTACAGCAGTGAATGTTGTTTTGAAACGGCTAAACTGATTGGATCAGCGAATGAAGTTGGACTTGTTAGACAGCAGTTCTATCGGGATTGTAAATGTGGTGTGATTGTAAGAGCTACTGAACTGACCCCGGTGCCTGACTCATTGGACAGCAGCGAGGAGCAGAGCGGAGCCTCAGACAGCAGCAGTTGTGTTGATGGGCCGGTCTGGGCATCCTGATGCACCTTCTCTTTAAGGTGACTGATGAAGATGGAGCTGTCCTGCGGCGGCTGCCACTGCGGGTTCTTGATGGTGAAGTGCATGAGAGAGAGCTCCGTCTTCCCGTTCTCCGCCTGCTGGTACACCGAGGCCTCCGTCTGCCCTTCAGACATCCACTGAATCACAAAGAGGAGGAGAAAGAAACAACAACACACTGCTTTATTGAGTTTCTACAGTAGCACTATGAAGCAAATAACACATTTTAACAATATTTTATGAAATACTTGACAAAAAATCTTGTTGTCAATCAAGTTTTAGGAACAACAAATAATGACTTGACTTCTAGTTGATCATTTGGTATCAGAAGTGGCTTATATGAAAAGCAACGGCCTCTAGATTACGCTTGTTTTACCCAAATAAAATATGATCATGCCTTGATTTTTAATTATTTAATTAGGACAATCAGGGCTGACTTTTTGAAGTATGAGAAGGAGTGCTATTCTGCTGAAGAATTTGCCCTCTCCTGTGGTTTGTAATGTAATGGGCAGCACCAATGTCTTAACACCTCAGGCTGTTGATGTTGCCATCCACTCTGCAGATCTTTTGCACGCCTTAACACTGATTGTAACCCCAAACCATGGTTTTTCCTTCACCAAACTTGACTGATTTCTTTGAGAATCTTGGATCCATGCGAGTTCCAATAGGTCTTTTGCAGTATTTGTGATGATTGGGATACAGTTCAACAGAAAAATCTACCTTCTGTCACTTTTCCAAATGAGCAACTAGAAGTCAAATTATTTTTTATTGCTCTTAGATTAGACTGGATTCAACTTTGTCATTACACATGTACAAGTACAAGGCAACGAAATGCAACTGGGATCAATGACAACACTTTTGTCAAGTAGTGTAATCGTCATATATAAATATATATATATATATATATATATATATATATATATATATATATATATATATATATATATATATATATATATATATATAGACGTTATGCTTTAATGCAGAAGTGCGCTCGTTTTTGAGATTGTTATAGAACTTCCGAGTCAGTTGCCTGAGGGAGAAATGACTAGAAATAATGAATGGCAGAAAACAGTCAAATTACTTGCTCTACAAACAAGTGCTTGAATGACTATACAGACAAAATAGAATAATATAATAATTCTATATCAGTTTGCAACATCAAGCAGTAAAACCATGCATTTTTAACGTCTAAAAATGAAGGGAAGTGAACGAAACTGGAAGTCTTAAGCCAAAAAAATTCAAATGGCTGTTCCTGCTTGTACAAGAAAAATAATCAACAATTTGTGGTGCATTTAAACAAAACTATATCCATTAAAATAAGAGTTTGGTCACCAAACATCTTTAAAAATAGGATGATAATACATTTAAATTTAAACGAGTTGTTGCTAAACAAATTACAAACTACAACATTTCAAATGAACGTTATATTTTTTATGTTTCATTTATTTATTTATTTTTTTACTGTTTATTACAATTGTATTTATTATATGTATTTAATATTTACCCCCTCATATTCATTTAAGTGTACTAGTTTTGGCTTTGGTACTTAATAATCTAATATATAGGCACAAATATATTATTGTTAAACATCCTATAAAAAAAAAAAAAAAAAAATATATATATATATATATATATATATATATATATATATATATATATATATATATAAATGTATTTAAATCCAGAATGCTTCAGAGTTCTTATGGTTAATGAAACTAAAAACATATTTGTTGTTTTTTTTGTATTTGCATGTACCTGTGGGTTTCCGTGCCTCCTGATGTCCATCTGTGCGAATGAGCAAATGTCCCCGACTCCTGCCACATCCACAGTGAAGTTGCGGAAGAAGTCGATGATCTCCAGAGATTTGCTTCTCAGGGGGAAGATAAGGATAAAGGGGGTAATGATGGGACTGAGCAGCTCCTCCAAGATGAAGACCTGCAGGACACACAGTTTTAAACAGGTGTGAGAAGAAAAAAAATACAGCACAGCATGTTATGTTATCCTCCAAATAAGATGGAAAACCTACCAACCTACCTACCAACGTACCTACCTACCTACCTACCTACCTACCTATCTATCTACCTACCTACCTACCTACCTACCTATCTATCTATCTATCTATCTATCTATCTATCTATCTATCTATCTATCTATCTATCTATCTATCTATCTATCTATCTATCTATCTATCTATCTATCTATCTATCTATCTATCTATCTATGTATAAATTGTTGCCTCGTTTTATTCTTCTATAAGCTAAAATAAATAAGATGTGATACACTATATAATTTACCTTTTTATTTAATTATCAATTTAATAAGATTTGTGTTTATATTATTAGGTAGAATTTATTTAAATGAGTATCATTTATTTCAGAGATGCTCAAAGTAGGACCGGTGTCAACTTTGGGCATCTTTGAAATAAACGATCCCATCTGAGAAGAATTAGAATAAAGGTTCTGGCAAATGCCTTCAACAAAGATTTATTCATTCATTCATTCATTTTCTTGTCGGCTTAGTCTCTTTATTAATCCAGGGTCGCCACAGCGGAATGAACCACCAACTTATCCAGCAAGTTTTTAAGCAGCTGCTGCTCTTCCAGCCGCAACCCATCTCTGGGAAACATCCACACACACACTCATACACTGCAAACTATTTAGCCTACCCAATTCCCCTGTACCGCATGTCTTTGGACTGTGGGGGAAACCGGAGCACCCGGAGGAAACCCACGCAAAGGCAGGGAGAACATGCAAACTCCACACAGAAACGCCAACTGAGCCGAGGTTCGAACCAGCGACCCAGTGACCTTCTTGGCTGTGAGGCGACAGCACTACCTACTGCGCCACTGCCTCAACCTCAACAATGCATGCTGCATGCAAACATACCTGTACACACTCGCATGTACATATAAACTCTATCCTCGCAGAAACACCCACATTAACACACATGCATATAACCTCGCGGCGTGTAAACACATCTACATACACTCGCATATACACACAAACATGACCCATGCATAAACACCTATGACATGCAAACTCCACACAGAAATGCCAACTGACCCAACCGGGGCTCGAACCAGCGACCTTTTTGCTGTGAGGCGACAGCACTACCTACTGTGCCAGTGTGTCACCAATAACTAATTTATAATAATTTATTTTAGATTTGCAATGTTGACAGTAAATAATGTTTTTGGTTAGATACTCGTAGTTCGCTTAAAGTGCAATCTAAAGGCTTAACAAAGTCATTAAGTTAATTAGGCAAGTCGTTTTATAACAGTGGTTTGTTCGGTAGCCAATCAAAAAATAATAATTCCTTAAGGAAGATAATAATATCAACTTTAAAAATAGTTTTAAAAACATTAACAACTGTGTTTACTGCAGCCAAACTAAAAGAAATAAGCCTTTCTCCAGAAGAAAAAATATTAGAGGAAATACTGTGAAAACTTTCTCCGTTAAACATTACTTTAGAAATATTATTAAAAAAAAAAAAGGGAAAAAAAATTACAGGAGGGCAAAAAACTACATTTTATGGATCCCAAATTTTAGCATATATTAATAAAAAAAAAACAATAACAATCAATGGCGAATAAAAGTGATGCCGCTCTGACCGCTTTATACTGGAAAAGCTGTGCCATCTCGTCTCGGGTCTCGCTCTTGTTAGCGCTGCCCTGCCAGTGGTCGGGCATGTAGTGAATGTGTGCCAGGACACACTGAAGCAGCTGTTCAGGACACCACACCATATGCTCATCAGGAATAAAAGACCTGTAGGAAAAGCAGAACACTGTGCTGTGAGTTTAATAAGGTCAGTTCAACACATCGTACAGCACTTCCCTGACCTGAGGCATGCTGGGGGGAAAAAGAGCTGTATTTGCTTTTAGCTCACGTACATTTGGACTAATGTGTACGATGTCAAAGTGCATTTCAGACATCAACCCTGCTCTAAAACATGGCAAAGGGCCTTGTTGTCTACATAGGGAGCATCTTTAGACAACAAAAACTGATTTAAAACAGTCTACATCGACAGGAACAATTAGACATTGAATGAAATGTTTTTATAATAGTGTTGTTATTGTATAGTACAATTACCGGTGTAACGGATCACGGTTGATCTGTGATTCGTACAGATCATAACCTACGGTTCAGTACACACGTGACCCACGGATTAACTTTTTTTTTACTTGTAGATTAATACTAAATTTGTAACGATTGCAGAGAGATCGACTCTAACATGTATGAAAGCATTAAGATTAAAATCACCTTCATATGCATTTAACTTGACGCTCAAAAATGAAAGTTGTATGCAGAAATTACATTCTTTAACCAACAAGTCATCAAAAACATGCCACTGAATAATTCTTCAAAAATGACACATTTAGTAATGAAACATGAAGTTTTATGAGTGAATAACTCAATCATGTATTGAAAATGAGACAAAAATGAATATGGGTTGTACAAATGATAATGTTAGACTTCTACATTTAGCGTTTTCAGCAACAGTAGTAGTAAAAGGGATATTTTATTTTTAATCAGCTGATGATTTCTTCATTTTATTTTGAATAATATTACAGCTTCTAAATTCTGTTTGTAAAAACCAAAAGTTTCTTGCAGTACTGTTTTTGTAATAAATGGAAAGCAAATTACATTTGGCTGCTCCCCTTTTTGGCTGAGCTGAGTCATTTACATTTAACATTTAGTCATTTAGCAGACGCTTTGGATAATTTAGCAGACGCTTTTATCCAAAGCGACTTACAAATGAGGACAAGGAAGCAATGTACACAACTATAAGAGCAACAATGAATAAGTGCTATAGGCAAGTTTCAGGTCTGTAAAGTCTAAGAAGGAAAGTATTAGTAATTTTTTTAGTAATTTTTTTTTGTAATTTTTAGTAAAGTTTTATTAATTTTTTTTTTTTTTGTAGTACAGTTAGTGATATATCCAGAGAGGCAATTGCAGATTAGGAAGTGAAGTGGAGACTAAATAGTTGAGTTTTTAGTCGTTTCTTGAAAACAGCGAGTGACTCTGCCGTTCTGATGCAGTTAGGGAGTTCATTCCACCAACTGGGCAGATTGAGCGTGAGCGTTCGCGAAAGTGATTTCTTCCCTCTTTGGGATGGAACCACGAGGCGACGTTCATTCACAGACCGCAAATTTCTGGAGGGCACATAGATCTGCAGAAGTGAGAGCAGATAAGAAGGAGCAAAGCCAGAAGTCGCTTTGAGAAGTCGAGTCTGATTCGAGACTAAAAAAACATAATGTGATCCGATTGTGGTCTATTACAGTAAAATGCTAATTATTAAACTGAATGAGAGCTTACGAAAAAATAGAGCTTAGATACAAGAAAAACAGTTATGAAATAACTAAATAAAAATGTTTTTTTATTAATAAAACTAAATATACAATAAAAACGAAGAAAGCACACAAAAAAGTGAAACAAATGAAAGAAATTGTAAATAAGGAAAAAATATATATTAAAACTAATTCATATAACTTTGATGTTATACAAGTTTAAATCTGTTTTTACTAGGTATTTTCCATTAAATTTATATTTGAAAATATGCAAAAATTATATTATATAAAAATATACATATTCAGTATATGTTATTAATAAAAAACAACATGAAAAACAAAGTAATAACATATTTAATATATGTCATATTTATTATTTGTTTTATTATTATTATTAATTTCGGGAGTGGCTTTAAGTATAAATCCAGAAAATGAATTTACAGTTAAGGTTAGAATTATTAGCCCTGTTTATTTTTTTTTTTTTTGTAGATTTTTTCAACACACTTCTAAACACAGGGCTCGAAGTTGCGACCATTTTGGTTGCATATGCACCCGAAATTTTATCTATGCAACCTCAAAATATATTTGGAAGCTTTTGTGCGAGTGCATAAACTGTTGTGTGCGACTAGTTTTTACAGCAAAATGTTCACCACATGTGTGGATTCGGGAGACATTCACGCAGAACACATCTTTGCAGTGTTCAGGAATAGTTTAAACAGTTGTCATGTCAACTTGCTGCAATAAACAAGGCCAAGTCCGTAATGCTTGCCCCAACTTCACGCTCTTCTTATTGGCCCACTGCTCTACAACTGAACACGAATGGATTGGTTAAAATAAGCTGTCAATCACTCAGTCAATGCCTTCTGGCTTTGAGAATGAAAATAACACTGACAGATTTTGTTTTAGAAATGATCTAAAGTTTCAAATAATGACACATCTAAGTAGTGATCATGTGCTGAATGTTAATCCACAATCTACACTTTTCGAAGAGTGGATAAAAGACTTCCGTCGGCTTCAAATCCGCTATGAAAAGTCTGAGGGATAGAATTTTCAGGTAACCGTTTGCCACATCTAGCACGAGAGCTTCTGTTTAATCCTTCATATAATCGCCAGATGCTGTCTGCCGTGCAATTGGCAGCTATATGTAAAATTTAACACCACGTACACCATCGCAAACGGGCTTGCACTGAGTAAACTAACATCGCTACTCATAAAAAGACCGGTATTTCTATTAACATGAAGTATGTATATAATAAGGAACAGTATATGTCAAAAGCATCAGTGCAATATCAGATACCACCCGTGAGAACAGCACAGTTATACCGTTAACAGATTCATTCATGTCAAGCAGTGCATGCAGGGTCGGTGAGCATTTAAAGGCTTAACTAGGTTAATTAGGTTAACTAGGCAGGTTAGGGTAATTAGACAAGTTATTGTATAATGATGGTTTGGTCTGAAGACTATCCAGAAAAAAAATACATTTACATTTAGTCACTTAGCCGACGCTTTTATCCAAAGCGACTTACAAATGAGGACAAGGAAGCAATTTACACAAATATAAGAGCAACAATGAATAAGTTTCAGGTGTATAAAGTCTAAGAAGGAAACCATTAGTAATTTTTTTTTGTAGTAAATAGCTTAAAGGGGCTAATAATTTTGAACTTGAAATGTTTTTTTTTCCATTCATTCATTCATTTTCTTGTCGGCTTAGTCCCTTTATTAATCCGGGGTAGCCACAGCGGAATGAACCGCCAACTTATCCAGCAAGTTTTTAACGCAGCGGATGCCCTTCCAGCCGCAACCCATCTTTGGGAAACATCCACACACACACTCATACACTACGGACAATTTAGTCTACCCAATTCATCTGTACCGCATGTCTTTGGACTGTGGGGGAAACCGGAGCACCCGAAGGAAAACCCACGCGAAGGCAGGGAGAACATGCAAACTCCACACAGAAACGGCATCTGAGCCGAGGTTCGAACCAGCGACCTTCTTGCTGTGAGGCGACAGCACTACCTACTGCTCCACTGCCTCGCCCAAAATGTTTTTTTTTTTTTTTTATTAATAACTGCTTTTTATTTTAGCCATAATAAAACAAATAAGACTTTCTCCAGAAAAAAAAGGGGGGGGCTAATAATTCTGACTTCAACTGTGTATATAAAATGTTATTACATAAAATATTATAAAAAATTTTTAAAAATATGACACTTGTAACTGATTTTTTGTCTTATTAAAAACAAAAAGTTGTACTCCTGCTATAGAATTACCAATTAACCATTGTGTACCCTGAAACTTAAAGCCTCATTCCAACAGATTTCTGGCAAAGCTCCTAAACTAATAAAGCTGAGCTCATACCTGGTCACGGTGATGACGACCCCCAGCACAGTGATGGCCGTCAGGATGTGTTGGACGGTGAGCACATCTTCATCGTACACCGTCAGAGCGATGAGCACCGCCAGCACTGAGCCAGAAAAGAAAGCCACATTTTTGGCCAGCACCGCTAACAGAGGAGACACGAAAGCGTTCATGTACTTAGCAGCGGGTTTATACCCACGACCCAGCCTGCCCTGCAGCTCGTGGTCCAGCTCATTGAAATGCCGCAGATAAAGACGTCCAAACAGGGACCATCGATGAGCCCCCAAACTCCCCGGCTCGCGCTTGATCACTTCTGCGTAGCTAAAAAACGCGTATAACACCTGCCAGACTAACACAAATGGGCACAGCAGCAGATTGACCAGTCCAGTCAGCAGAATAACCCGACTGAGCTGCTTGGCCAGATCGTGGCGGTTTGCTGCCCGCTTGTATTTGGGATGCAGGCTCCATTTGTTCTGGAAGAGAGACAACGGGCCCCAGAAGAGGATGAGCTCGAAGTTGTATTTGAGGCCCTGCGTGAGGAAGATGACGTCACCTATGAAGGGCACTCGGAGCCTGACAGGCAGCAGGGATTTGTTGATCATGGCCACTGTGTAGTTCTTGAAGCGCAGGATGCGGTGGTAAATGTCCAGTTCAGAGAGTTCACGCTTCTGGACACACATGGGATGCTCACGCTGGAGGAGGATGAGACGGTTCTGGACTTCCTGCCATGTGAAGTTGCACAACTCATCCTGATTAACAAAAAATAAACAAGAAAAAAACTGGGTTAAATTAAACAGAATAATGAAATAATTTTAGTTTAACTCTGTTTTATTGATGCATATTAGTCAGTAGATCAGTAAGACATCAATTGTTCCAATCTATTAGCTAAAAACTAAATTAGTTGACATTTTCTTGCTTTCCAAACCAAACAGTACCAGTATAGATTCTTGCATCAAAACAATATTTAGGTGAAAAACACAATTTGGTATACACATTTTATTAACTTGTTGAATAATATTTAGTATTAAATTGACAGAGAATTCTGTGAACATCTACTCACACAAAAGAAGATATTTTGAAGAATGCTGGAAACCTGTAAACACTGACTTCCACAGTATTTGTTTTTCGTACAATAAAAGTAAGGCTTTCAGCTTTCTTCAAAATATGTTATTTTGTGTTCAAAAAAAGATAAAATACATAAATAAATAAGTAAACAATGAGTATATTTTCAGTTTTAAGTGAACTATCCCGTTAATATTTAGTCATCTAGGCCCCGCAGAAACTTAGATTTCCACAGATTACTGACCTTGTCATTCCATCCATTTACTTATGTAAATGTATATATATATATATATATACACACAAACACACACAGTTGAAGTCAGAATTATTAGCCTGTGTTTATTTTTTTTGTGTGTTTATTTCTGTTTATTGGAGAGAAGATTACTTCAACACATTTCTAAGCATAAAAGTTTTAATTGCTCATCTCTAATAACTGATTTTATTATCTTTGCCATGATGACAGTAAATAATATTTGACTAGATCATTTTAAGACACTTCTATACAGCTTAAGGTGACATTTAAAGACTTAACTAGGTTAATTAGGTTAACTAGACAGGTTAGGGTAATTAGGCAAGTTATTGTATAACAGTGGTTTGTTCTGTAGACTATCCAAAAAAAAATAGCTCAAAGGAGCTAATAATTTTGTCCTTAAAGTAGTTTTTAATAAATTAAAAACTGTTTTTATTCTAGCCGAAATAAAACAAAAAAGACTTTCTCCAGGAGAAAAAATATTATCAGACATACTGTGAAAATTTCCTTGCTCTGCAAAACATAATTTCGCAAATATATAAAATAGAAAAAAAATTCAAAGAAGTGTTTATAATTCTGACCTCAACTGTATATATTCCGTTTTTTATATTTATTTTCAATTGTTGAAAAAAATTTAACTGTTTAAATGTTTAGCGGATTTGTGGGTACAATAAATATGTTAAATAATATTTTCTCAGTCTTTTAGTGAATAAATTATGTAAAAGACCTACTGTAGCTTTGTTTACCGAACAAGTAGTTTTAATTGACTGTATTTAAAATAAATTTTCATTAGGTTTTTAGCTTCTATTCTCACCTGAAATCATTCAGCAGAAATCTGCAATAAAAGTCTAATAATTACTTGTTTATTACAATAATGACAATTACATTGTAATTCCAATACCTTTATTAGAATCTAAAATATCTAATAAAAGCAAACACCAAAATATTCTTACATACGCTGGACTTATTTTTTCATATTTTTATGATCATTATTTATGTCTCATATTTGAATGAATGATTGAAAATGAGGGTTATTCCACCTAATGATAAGTTCATAATTCTTCTTAAGTTCAAACATTGCTATTGTGTGAAATAAAATGAATGATAATATTTTTATTCCAAGTTTGGAGGTAATGCTACTAGTACTTTACAGAATAAAACAACAAATTACATTTTATTCAAACATGTACATATAAATCCTAAATCCAGAGAAAATAAAAACTGTCAAGTCATCTCTAAATTTCTGTTATATTTCTACAATATTTGAAAAAATTGTATTTGCACAACCCATTGCCATTTTAAGTGGTTTCTGAAAGCAAGTTCTGAATGAAAACAACAACAACAGTATGTACTTTAAACACATGTAATGAACATCTTTTACCATCTGTATTTTCAGTGCTTTGATATAAAACTGCCGGATCTCCCAGTAGCTGAGGACGTTACAGATCACTTTCACCAGCCGGTACACCCAGAAAATGGCTGCCATTATCAAGAGAAAGATGATCCAGCTGTTTCCTTGAATCCTGATTGTGAGAGAAAGATCATCACTATTAGAAAAGCAGGTGATGCTGGGAATGCTCAAGGGCATATGATACTAACAAAAAGAATTAATTAGTATATATCATTTAGTTATTTATTTGATAATTAAACATTTTCATAAGGGTGTTTTTGTGCTGAAAGCTTGGGTGGTTTATCCCTGTCATGGATACATAAATATAACAGGGAAACAGCCAGTAGGTGGCGACAAATCCCTGTTTTAATTGGTGTTTTCATTTAAAAACAAATTGAAAAATCTGAATCCAATCTGTCTGAATTGTAACCCCTTGTTTGTTGTGCTGCTTTTGATATTTACCTTTGTGATCAAGCTCACATGCTGATATTTGGGAAAACAGCACTTGTGATATTACTTAACTATATTACATATAAAAAAAACAAGTATATTTTTAGCTTGATGATGGTATTGACTGAGAATGCTTTTTGGACTCTCAAGATGTTAGTTTTCTGCACAGTGAGTGAGAGTCGATAAAATCAGGTAGAACTATAAATAGGCGTAAAAATATATATAGAAGGACCAGATTTTCTTAGAAACTTTATTTATGAAAATAGCAGCCGTCCAAATAGCCCAATAAATAAATACATGGCAACTCAAAACAGCATAGAAACCACATAGCAACAGCCTGCTGAGCAGAGAGATTTGCATGCACACAGAATGCATTTAATTTAGTGCTGTCAAACGATTAATCGCATACAAAAAAAGTTTGTATTTACATAACGTGTGTATACTCATTCATTCATTCATTCATTTTCTTTTCGGCTTAATCCCTTTATTAATCAGGGGTCGCCACAGTCGAATGATTCAACTGTATACTTACTGTGTATAAATAAATAAAGCATACAAAATTACAAAACCAAAAAAAAAAATTATAATAATTTGTTTAGATTGCAACTATGCAGTTTATTTATAAGAATAGTGTCTATTTTAAATATTTATAATTTCGGAGATCGGACCTGTCATACTGAGCAGAGCAAAGAGTTGCACCACAAGATGGCGACAGAGACTGCATAATAAGTGCTTAGGGGAGAAATTACATATTTCAAACTACAGCTGATTAAATTATTATAAAACAAGTGACATTCTAGGTCGATCTCTCCCATTTGTTTGTTGAAGTGTTGTACTTGTACCACAGTAATCTGCTAGTGTTTGTTTTGCTTTTTCGGGGTTAATCATTGTGAACTCCCAATTGCAACAGAGAAGTACTAAGAAATCTCTGTAGACTGATGGCATTTCCTGCCATTCAGCCTTATAATCTTAAAAGGCGAGTAAAATAATCTGTTTTGTCATCATTTTAGACATGATGCTGGAGAATCATTCAAATGCTAGATCTAAATTGACACTGGTGAATTATTGACGGTTTCTGTTGTTCTGACTTTAGCTGCAGATGTGAATGAATGGCAGAAGAAAGTAGTTCCTAATAAAAAAAAGGATTTTGCAGAATTTTGTTTTTTTTTATATACATGATTATGGCGTCAACTGTTGTATAAATGCAATATTACACTCATAGCAGTGCGATATGACTATCGTCACTGGTCGGACACTAAGACGTTCTGCCTGCAACCTCGTGCCAACGCACGCCTCTCACCAATGCTAATATATCGTACTGCTATGCTGTGTGTGTGTGTGTGTGTGTGTGTGTGTGAGAATACAAGCTTTTGTTTAATCTTTTGACAACCTAATTTATTTATTTATTTATTTATTTATTTTATTTTTTGAAAAAAAATTCAAATGTTTGATGTTGACATGAAGTATTTTTCTTTCATTTTTATTAACATAAAAATGACAGTAAATATTCTTGTAATGTCACAAATAAGTTTGAATAAATGCTATTTCTTTATTCTTTCTACTAAGTAAAAAAATGGCAAAAAATGTACTACAATTTCCTAAAAAAATAAACCTTTTTAAACATTGATAACAACAATAAAAATAAGAAACGCACATTACTCATCAGATCAGTGTATTAGAATGGCTTCTGTTGAATCATGCAACACTTCAAAAAATCAACATTACAATAATTTGATGAGGTGGCGCAGTAGGTAGTGCTGTTGCCTCACACAAAGAAGGTCGCTGGTTCGAGTCTCAACTGGGTCAGTTAGCGTTTCTGTGTGGAGTTTGCATGTTTTCCTTGCGTTCGCGTGGGTTTCCTCCGGGTGCTCCGGTTTCCCCCACAGTCCAAAGACATGCGGCACAGGTGAATTGGCTGGCTAAATTGTCGGTATTGAATAAGTGTGAATGAGTGTGTGTGGATGTTTCCCAGAGATGGGTTGCAGCTAGATGGGTATCCAGCTGATCCAGGTGATGTTTAAACACTGGTGTAGCTCATTTATAAAAATGGCCGACAGAATGTTTACCAAGTCTTAATTACTGAATGAAAGCACAAGCTGTTCCTGAATGAATCTCATTTCTCCTGAAGTGAGTCAACTGTGATATTAATATGTTTATGTTGTGTATCTGAATCTGTCAACAACATTTCCTCACTATTAAAACATAAACTGTCCATACATAAAAACCTGCAAAAAAAAAATCTAAGTTGCTAACATCACTCTGTGTCTATTTAAAACCTACGAGTGCTGCGTAATACACAGTTTCGGTTATCATCTACAGACACAGAAATAGACCAGCGGGTCCTTGCTTCCAGCAGGTGCTTGTTTACAGTCTGTTTATTTTGGAGCCTCTGTCTGAGAAATAAGAAACGAATCACGTTGAGCTTTTGAACGTCATATGACGCAAATTTCACTGTAAAGCTGAATTGAGTCCCAGTGTGATGCAATATTTGCCATACTTGAAAACAGCGTTCTCAGCCAGCGCTTCTGGGCAAGTTTGCATTCTGGGAATGACTGAAATCAAGCTTGACAGAACATTCAGATGGCAACAACAAACTAACTTACAGCTTTGAAATCATGCTGGATTAAGATACGATCCAAGCCTCAAGTAAAATAAAGCCTGAGTGGTGCAGCGTGATTAAAAATATTAATTGCAATGTCTAGATATTTTATTGTAATATCAGAAAACTGCCTGTCACAACGCATGATATAATGAACTTATTTGATTTTCCTTAATATAATATTTTAAATATTGGTTTTAGCCCTGATCTCAGCTCATTTAATAATGACAAATTTGTAAACTCTAAACTACAACTTAGTTTGCATAAAGGCCGAATTTAAATTAGTTATGAGTTACGTTCGAATTATATCTATGCTATTATAGTATGCATACAAATTGTGATAATTTAACTCTTTATTTTCATCTTAATTTGAAACATCCTAATTTATAATATATATTTTATAAATGTTTTCATTTTAAATGTCATTATTTAATAATAGTTATTACTTATTTACATTTGTGAATATTACTAATAATTTTAGCTTTGTAAGTGATTTTTTTCTTAGTTATTATAATTATATATGTTGTTTTTTAAATATAATATTTGAAATATTGGTTTTAGCCCTGTCCATAGATCATTCGTTGATGATAAAATTGTAAACTCGTTACTAAAAATTTGTTTGCATAAAGGCCGAAATTAAATTAGTCATGAGTTACGTTGACATTATTTCTATGCTATTATAGTGTGTATTTAAATTCTAATAATTTAAGTTTTTTTTTATTTTAATCCTTTTAATTTATTATGTACATATCCTAAACTAAATAATGTCATTATTTATTAAAAATTTTCACATTTGTGAATATTACTATTAATTTTAGTTTTGCAAAACATTGATTTTTATTCTTAGCTATGATTATAGATTTTTTCACTTTCAATTTTAGATTAATAAAGGGACTAAGCTGAATAGAAAATGAATGAATGAATGAATTTTAATAAAACATTTAAAATTGTTATGTGATTTTGATAAAGTTGTTAGTTGTTATATCTATTTAGCTTTTATTGAATTTTCTTTAGTCATTTAGGTGTCAATTTAACCTTATTTTACAAGTAAAATATAAACAAAATGTTTTAATTTTAAGTTTAATAATCAATAATTTAATAATTAGAGAGTTATATAATTAAATAATTTAGTTATTAAATTAAAAATTATTGTTTTACTTCTAGTTAAAGATAAGAACACTGGAATGATCAAGGCTTTTATTTTGTTAAATAAAGTTAATGTAATCGTTACATTTTAATATTAACTTTATTTTAAAACAATATTAATAATTGTAATTTTAGTTAAAGACAAATTATTATTTATCTATTTAAATTATATGTTGTGAAAATAAAATAAAACAAAGTCAAGTAAAATTTAATTAAAATAAAGACAAAGTACTTGTATCACCTGCTATTGATATATCTTTGTTATATGATGTACCTTTATACTGTATGTTTATGTACATGCATTTATTTATATATTTGTTATTAATTTTGAAATTTGTTTAATTATCTATTTTTTACATTTATTGTATGTTTGGTATTGATTTCTTTAGAAAAGTTAAAAGCTAAAATCAATAAAGACAGTGTTAAAAAAAAAGTAAAGTAAATCAGCATAACTAAAGGAGTTCATTACACAAAAGAACGCTCAGTGCTTGTTCCAGTGTAATGTGGACAAACTGACCTCTCAGTGCATTGCTCACTAGGTAAAATAGCATCAGGAAGGGTGACTTTGCTCCTGTCCAGAGGCCCGAGGCTCTGACCCGTGTGATTGACGGCTCGATTGGCAAAGAGAACATCATATTCCACACAGTTGAAGAGAAAAGTTGTAAACGTGACCACAAACAGGAATTGCCTGAATATGGGAATGCAAAAACAGACATGATTAGTTCGTAAGTGCTATGCATACAAACCTACCCTAAAGAATGAACGCTTCAGGCAACAACAAAAAAAGAGAATATAACTTACACAAGTTCAAAAAACTCTGATAACACCATGCAGGCGAATCCGTTCTTCTGATGGAAGTGATAGATGTGAGCGTGTTAAGAGTAAACAGTTCAATCAACTTTAAAGAAGCACAGCTTTGTTTAGTCAGTAATGAATGAAGAGCGTAACATTGCCCTTTGATGAATAGAGACAGTGTGTTTTCTCCATGAAAAAGAGAAATGACACAGTTTTGAGCATTACACAACTCCTGACTGTTCTGAGGAAAATGCATTTGAAAAAAATTATTAGCAATTTTCTGGTTTAGTGTATGAAATGTATGTGCGTCAGACATTTTAGAGTCTGCATTGAATTTGCAAACGAGTGGTTATGTACCTAGAAAGCATATTACATGCAAGTAGCTAACGTTTTAAATAATAAAATAAATGTAAATATTATCACAAATAGGCGACATGGTGGCTTAGTGGTTAGCACTATCCCCTCACAGCAAGAAGGTCGCTGGATTGAGTCTCTGCTGGGTCAATTGGCATTTCTGTATTGAGTTTGCATGTTCTCCTGGGTTTCCTCCTGGTGCTCCGGTTTCCCCTCACAGTCCAGATAAACTAAATTGGCCATAGCGTATGTGTGTAAATGAGTGTAATTGGGTGTTTCCCAGTACTAGGTTGCAGCTGGAAAAGCATCCGCTGTGTAAAACATTGGCTGGATAAGTTGGCGGTTCATTCTGCTGTGGCGAACCTTGATGAATAAAAGCACCAAGACGAAGGAAACTTAATGAATGATCACAAATGACAAAATAAAATGTCAAATTTAGCCAACACACTGTTTCTGACCCGTTCTTATTAAAATTATTTTTGAGGTATAAAGTAAAAAGATTTAAAAAGGCCTTTAATTAATATTTCGGGACTTTACTGGGAGACTTTAAATTTTTTTTTGGAATATGCCTGAAAAAAAGTGTTTGTATAATTTTTCTTTCAAGCATATTACTAATAATTATATATTTATTTATTATATTTTTTCATGGATATTAAGAACAAGAATCATTTATATACACACACATAAATATATATATATAATATATTTATTTTTTTCTTTATCTATTTTTTTTTTCGTATTTAAACTAATGTTGCACTGACTGGAATTTAATTTTAATCTTCTGTAAAATCATTGTTGTTATTTTTTGTTTAAAAATAATATCAAAAAGGACACAATGTAAAATATGTATTACAGCAATTTAAAAAAAAAAACATATAAAATGCTGAAGCACACTTTTGTTTTGATCCCCAAAAACCCTTTTCTTTTTTGACAAATTATATTGCACAAGATTTTGTTTTTTGTTTTTCAAAGGATATTCTTGTGAAGAAATTGTCGAGGTTCTTGATATGGTGCCATGGGTCTAAAAAGCAACAAAGACAATGTTAATCAGAAACTATGATTTATATAGGAAAAGATGTACACTGTTCTTTTCATACGCTACATCTATGGAAAGTACTAGTACTACAAAATCTTTGAATTTACAATTTAAACATGATTCTTGTTTCACTCTGTAAACCACTAATGAAATTTCAGCCACAATTTACAATTCACTAAGGCTTAATTAAAAACCAAATCCATGTTTGTTGATATTAGTTAATGCGCTGTGGGTTAATTCGAATAATAAATTCATTACAGAGTATTATTTCATGTTTGTTACCATATACAGTGGGTACGAAAAGTACTCAGACTACCTTAAATTTTTCACTTTGTTATATTGCTGCCATTTGCTAAAATCGTTTATGTTAATTTTTTCCCCTCAATGTACACACAGCACCCCATACTGAAAGAAAAACACAGAATTGTTAACATTTTTTCAGATTTATTAAATAAGAAAAACTAAAATATCACATGGTCCTAAGTATTCAGACCCTTTGCTTTGACATATTTAACTAATCATCTCTGAGATGGTTCTACACCTTCATTTGAGTCCAGCTGTGTTTGATTATACTGATTTGAGTAATCAATATACTGGTAATGACTAGGAAAGCCACACACCTGTCTATATAAGACCTTGCGCCTCACAATGCATGTCAAAGCAAATGAGAATCATGAGGTCAGAGACAGAATTGTGGCAAGATCTGGCCAAGGGTACAACAAAAATTCTGTTGCACTTAAGGCTGTGGCTGAGCTCCAGAGATGCAGTCAGGAGATGGGAGAAAGTTGTAGAAAGTCAGCCCTCCACCAGTCAGGACTTTCTGGCAGAGTGGCTCAATGGAAGCCTCTCCACAGTGCAAGAAACATAAGCCCACCTGAAGGACTCCAAGATGGTGAGAACTAAGATTCTCTGGTCTGATGAGACCAAGATGGAACTTTTTGGGCTTAATCCTAAACCGTATGTGTGGAGATAAAACAGGCACTGCTCATCGCCTGTCCAATACAGTCCCAGAGTCTCCAGAGTGCTCAAGACCTCAGACTGGGTCGAAGGTTTACCTTCCAACAAGGTAATGACCCTAAGCACACCGCTAAAATAAAGGAGTGGCTTCACAACAACTGTGACTGTTCTTGAATGGCCCAGCCAGAGCCCTGATGTAAACCCAATTAAGCATCTCTGGAGAGACCTAAAAGTGGCTGTCCACCAATGTTTACCATCCAACCTGACAGAACTGGAGAGGATCTGCAAAGAGGAATGGCAGAGGAACCCCAAATCCAGGTGTGAAAAACTTGTTGCATCTTTCCCAAAAAGACTTATGGCTGTATTAAATAAAAAAAAAGTGTTTCTATTAAATACTGAGCAAAGGGTCTGAATACTTGGGACCTTGTGATATTTCAGTTTTTCTCTTTTAATAAATTTGCAAACATGTCAACAAATTTTTTTTTTTTTTGTCAATTTGGGGTGTTGTGTGTACATTAAATGGAAAAAAAAACTTAATTTTAGGAAATAGCTGCAATATAAGACAGCTTGAATACTTTCCGTACCCACTGTGTGGTATGTATATTTTCCATAGCTAGAGGATGTAAAAGCAAACCATAATGACCTCCTCTTCCCTCTGGCACGTGGATGAGTAAATCTTCCTCTCCTGGAGGCGAGTCTTCATCATAATCGTGAATCCGCTGATACTCCTGGTATGTCTCAAAACCAGCCATCGTGTTTTACATTCTACCTCTCTAATATGTTCACCACAGATCCTGAAAAACAGATTTACTGTAACATTTAAAGCTCAAATACGACAATTGAACCACATTACACCACATGCAAATAAACTAGATCAACTGACCGACTTGACTAATCACACAAGACTGTTTTAGTGTATTTTCTGATCAAATCACACAATCATACGGCCAGTTTATGAACTGTTAAATCAAGGACAAGCGTGATTATTGATTACTAAGAGACAAAGACGCATGTTATAATCACAAATTACGACGACGTGTAAATATTAACGTTATTAATATAAACCTAACATACTACTTATAAATCATTTTTACGAACTGTCTGCAAACAGGAGCGGTTTAGATGACTGTTACACATTAACCTCACCCTGAAAAAACTGCTGAGTATATGCTAATATCGCTAATAATCTTCTAGTTGAAATTTCGGTATTGAAAATATTCATATAACAAAAGAGACTAGATTATAACACGCAAAATGAGCCTCACCATCCGCGTACAGATGGTCCTCGCCTTTGCTCTTCACAACAAAAACAGATATGACAACAAACATCGCCTGTCGTCACTTTGGTTTCTAGAGCGTCACTTCCGAGAGACTTTTATTATATGTATGTTGATTTAAAAAAATGTGTTGTAACACGCAATATAAAATAACTTTCTGCAAAAAAAAAAATTAACGTTAAAATTAAATATTGATGACTGAAATGTATGCGAGTTTTGTCATTTAGATATTGAAACAATTAACACGTGTTTTTCCAATGTAATTTGGTTTGGATGCAACAGAATATATCTGTAAAACTTTTCTTCTTGAAATTGACTTAATACTTAAAGAAAAAAAAATCTTATATAATGCGTTTGTTGATATTATAAAAATATTATATTCATGAATGTACATTTTTCAAAATTCCCTTAAGACTAGTGGAGGTTGAAGAAGAATTTGTGATATATTTGAAGATGATGATATTTGAAGAACTTAAACTCTCCTGCTAACGTTACTTAATTTTCTTCATTTAATTTTATCTGTTAATTTTTGTTATTACCTTAGGTAATTAACCAATAATAATTATCCTAATTTATTTGATTTTTAATTGAATGTCTTTACTGTCATTTTTGTGATGATAAATGCGTTCTGTATGAGTACTGTCCTTGTACTCAGCAATACATTAATATAAGAAAAACATTAAATTGTATCAAACGATGCTTTTAAAGAAACAATATATAATTAAAAAAATATAGGCCTGTGAATATTTGCTATATATTATTTTTATTTAGAATCAATAATAAAATATGAATTAAACTAAATTTCAGGAATTTAGTTTTTTTAGCTATGTACAAGATTCAAAAAAAAAAAAAGCGTAGTAATTTGTACTAAAAATAATTTATTTTCATAATACAATCTGCGTAATTTCTGCGAAAATAAAAAACATAATAAAAACGAACGTACTTTTACTGAGCTGTGACGTGTGGGGGCACGTTTGTATTGCGTAAACATGGCGGCGTACATGATAATCCTTGAATGCATTTAGTCTGGAGAACAATCTTTCTTGTTTTCATCACTCTGTCGTTTCTGAACACCTCTGAAACATGTTTCATTTTGCACGTTGCAGTCGATTGACTCGCGGAACTGTCACTTCAGATCGACTTCTGAGCTCCCACAAAACAAGAGATTTCCTCTTCCAACACCTCAATAGGTACATTTAGTATCGTTCTATATGTGTTATTCTGGCATTAAATTTACAGTCGAAACATTTCCACCTTGGACTGGTTTGAGGTGTTAAGATTTGATTTGTGTCTGCATATAAATCTAATCTTGTATATGTAGTCAAGTAAGGAAGTTTTTTTTATGCATGTAAAATGTGAGTTATGACTTATTAATGATTGTGTGTATATATATATATATATATATATATATATATATATATATATATATATATGGATGTGACATTTGCAGTAAAAACTCAACACATAAATTGACAGAGAGTATATGTTAACATTATATTGAAAAATTTAATTATATTTTCTAAAGCAACTAGCCACAGAGTTATGGGAGCAGAAAAATATCAATCTGTAAACGTGTTTTGTACTTTAAATGAGGAAAATAAGCATGCGTTATGGATGTGACAAAAAAAGTCTGCGAGTTTACAGTATACAACACACTTTGTAGAAATTATGTGAATTAAACTGCACAACCCAAAAGAAATAATGCTAATCAAAAGGATTAGAGTCGGCTCTCTATAAAACAAAATTGCTTGGTTTTATTTTATTTAATATTTTCACATTTCTGAGGAAAAAGTGTCGTTATGGATGTGACATCTCTCTGTTATGGATGTGACGCATGTGAAATTACCATTTGTGTGACTTTGGTAAATCAAATAGAATAGTTTGAAAACATTGACAGATGCATTTTTGAGTATTTTTAAAGTACTGTAAAATACTTGCTTACACAAAAAACCCAGAAATGGTTTCCGTATTTTGGTAAAAACGAAAAAAATTTTCGTGGCAAGGTTGACATTTGCACGGAATTGCTCATATATATATATATATATATATATATATATATATATATATATATATATGTGTGTGTGTGTGTGTGTGTGTGTGTGTGTGTGTGTGTGTGTGTGTGTGTGTGTGTAATTTTATTTATTTTTTTATTTAAACTGCTTTTATTCTAGCCAAAATAAAACAAATAAGACTTTCTCCAGAAGAAAAATATTATATGAAATACTGTGAACAATTCCTTGCTCTGTTAAACATCATTTGGAAAATAAGAAAAATAAAAAATCACAGTAGTGACATCACAGGACTAATAATTTTGACTTCAACTGTATATATTAAACTATAAAGAATATTTCACAACAGTATTGTGATCATTCAGTAATATCATTGTGATCATTCAGTAATACCATCTAACACTGTATTTTTTCTTTATCTCGTGTATTACAGGCGTGGAAACCACTCAGCACCATGGAGCAGCTCTCAAATCCCATCAACCCAGTTGACAGTCGGCGTTCCTGTGCTCCGCGTATGGAGACAAGCTCAAAAACTCCTGCGTCTGACATCCAGACAGCAGCCCAGACCACCAAGCATTGCTCTCAAATTCATCCTCGGACCTGCTGCTTTGACAGTGACGGCACGTTTGCTCGGACCTTCAGCTCACTGTGAAGCCGATGTGAATAATAATAAAGTCCCGCTGGAGGTTCAGGTGAAAGAAAAGATTCCGGAGTTCAGCTGGGCTGTCCTGTGGGAGTTTGTTCGGCCACAGCTTTTTGCTTTAATGGGAGCCATTCTGGTAAGTAAAATAATTGCCCTTCTGCCAATTGTTTTTTTCTTTTTCAAATATTTCCCAAATGATGTTTAACAGGAAGGAATTAAAAGCAAGGAATTTAACAGCAAGAAATTTTTCACAGTATTTCCTATAATATTTTTTTTTCTTCTGGAGAAAGTCTTTTTTGTTTTATTTTGGCTAGAATAAAAGCTGTTTTGATTCTTTAAAAGTGTTTTTCAGTCACTAATAAACTTTTCAATTCCTTTTCAGTTCCTTTTAACGCATCAATAATGTCATTTAATTCAAACATAATCAGTTAATTAGACTAATTTAGTTGTTTAAGTGTAGAAAGGCATCGTAAGGAGAGCACAGAAACTCCATTGAAAATACTGTGGTAAAACAAATTTCTGTATTTTAAAGCCACCGAAACTTTTCAGCCACCGATAAACTTCTGATGAAAGGTTTTTGTTAATATTTTCAGTATCACAAGGTTACTTTTACAGCATCAATGTATTTTAATTAAATATAATCTATTAAATAGACTAAAACTACATGAAAGTGCTATTAGGAGCAGAAGGCGAGCACTAAAACTCCATTGAAAATACTGTGGTAAAAAAAAAATTCTGTATTTTAAAGACATGGTGCAGAATAATGTAATTTAGTGCAGTGCTTCTTGTCTGGTGAGACCCACCTTATATTGTATCTCAATCAGATCTTAAACGCTGCTATTTTATAATGGCATGACTGATTTACTGGACCGCTTGAGCTGGTTTATTCTAAATTAAAAGTCCCTGTGCATAAATCTTTCGCTATATTTTATTTGTTATCCATATTTGCTAAAATAATTGTGTTTTTTTTTTTTTTTACTTATTAGATAGTTTGGTTTATAAGAGTATACATTTTTAGTCTATATCGGTTTCTCCAGGATTTTGCAGAGACAATTTAAAAATATTCATTTACAGCCTAAAATGACTTTGCGAAAGCTTTTCTAAAAAATGTGTGGTATTATTTGCTTCAATTATTGTGTTATGCTGTGAAAATACACACATCTTTTTAAATGGATTTTTTCCATCTCCTATGGGCTGTGATAAGATGTAATATTGTTTTGTAATATTACATAAGCAAGAGTGCACTTTTTTATGAATATCAGCAAAGCCAATATTGATTTTCTACAACATTTCAGCAAATTAAGTTCAGTGGTTAGTACTGTTGCCTTACAGCAAGAAGGTCTCTGGTTTGAGTCCCGGCTGGGTCAGTTGGCATTTTCTGTGTGGAGTTTGCATGTTCTCTCGTGGGTTTCCTCCGGTTGCTCCAGTTTCCCCCACAGTCTAAAGACATGCGCTCTAGGTGAATTTGCTGTAGTGTATGTGTGTGAATGAGTGGATAGTGGCTGGAAGGGCATCTGCTGCATAAAACACATGCTGGAATAGTTGGCGGGTCATTCTGCTGTGGCTACTTCTGAAATAGAGACTAAGCCAAAGGAAAATGAAGGAATGAATTGAGCAAATTAATATAAAGTTATGTTTTAGACACAAAATAGTTTTTTTCTCTTTTGCCAATGAAAATAGTTAGAAACAAATCTCACCTCAAAGCAAAAGTAAACATATTTATAAAAATATTAATTATGAAAAAAGAAATCGGATTGCATGCCACAATTTTAATCAAATTTTCCAGCCTAAAATGACAGATTTTTTGAAGGCACTTCTCAAAACTCACATTATTTATATAAATTGTTGTGTTTTGCTTTAAAAATACACAAAAATCTTGTCAAATGTATTTATTTTTTGATCTCAAGAACTATTAGACTCTCAAAATCTTGAAAGGCCTATTTAATAGTCTGCTGTGTCTTCTTTCAGCTTGCGTTTGGAGCAGCAGCTCTTAACATTCAGATTCCTCTAATGTTGGGGGATCTGGTGAACGTTGTTGCCCGGCACATGAGAGAACAAGCAGGTCATTACATGAGAGATATTCAAGCTCCCGCTGTCAAGCTGCTCGGACTGTATGCTCTACAGGTACATGTTTTTTTTTTTTTTTGTCCAAGTATTGATTTAAAGGGCATCTATTTTACACCTTTTACAAGATGTAAGATAAACCTTTGGTGTCTCCAAAATGTGTCTGTAAAGTTTCAGCTCAAAATACCCATCAGATATAAGAATATGCACCAGAATATGCTCATTTTGGTGTCTGAATACTGTACACTGTAGCTTTTTTTGTAGCCTGTGGCTTTAAATCCAAATGAAATGCTTCACCCCGCCCACCGCTCCCACGTGCATGCCTGCTTCTCATGTGTTACGTCAGATAAACAGCAGTCAGTGACAGAGACAGACGAGGATGAAGCTGAAATAAGGTCACTAGTCAAAAATACCAAGTTTATTTGATATATTTGTGTGGAGTCTATTCAAGCCTTTCTGAAATGATGAGTCTCACACAAATGCCATTTGCAACACACACACACACACACACACACACATATTATCGTTTACTGACACCATGCAGCCGAGGTGGTGCGTCCGTTTTTAAACTTTTAAAACTAGCAGAGAGTTGTAACAAATATTTTAATCCCAGTTTATTTGCAAAAAAGTTCTTTAGACGTGTATTCATGTTATTATAAAAACATGGCCCCTGTTAATCAATTCGGTGGGCCGGGAAAACCACAGTCCTACATCACGTTGCAGTGGGCCTCAAAATCACTGGGATATGGATCATATTTTAACATCAGGAAGAGACTTGTTGGGTTTATATCACTCCAATATGACTGTGGCCACACTATATCTACAGACAGTTCTGTCCAAACAGCTTACAACAGTTGATTTTCATCATAGCTGCCCTTTAAATATATTAAGCAGCACTGGTTTCAATGTTGATGATGATAACAATACTATGTTTTGCTAAAGGGATATTTCACTCCAAAATTATTTAGTTTTTCATTGATTTTTGGTTGATTCATGATTAATGTAGTGGCTGTCTATAGCCCCTTTCAAAAAATAGCCCCTTTCTGAAAATTTCCAGTACGACTTTACCTGTAAATTCATAAAAGCTCTGTACACACAGACACGGACGTTCCGGAATTTTTCCAGAAAGGATCATTCACACATCCATTCCGAAATACATTAACCAGAAATGACATTTTAATGGCTGTGATTGTATTTGTAAACATAGAAGGGGGTCAGGTTTTTGTTGATGGCTTCGCTTTTATTTATTTTAAGCTTTACTATTCATGCAGCTGCTTTATCCCAGAGACACCCAAAGGCAGAAGCGTGAAGTATAAGTATTGTAAACAACTTTGATGATAACATGTGGAGGAACACTTTCACATGTTGAGATGTACGTGTGTGTGTGCCAGCGCTCATCGAAGCACTTCACGTGCACATGCGTCAAGCAACTGAAGCAGAGCTTGAAGGTAAACAAACAGAGACTTATTATAAGCATTTTATCGATAATTTTTTGGCATTAAGAAGGACATATAAACGTTGTCTGACTAACATCTAGCAGCTAAATGTGTCTTGAAAAATATTCAATTTATTTTCATAAACATTGCGGATGTGAATGCACCCGAATGTTCTGATTGGCTAAAGTAGACGTCTCACATCAGCGAGTTCTAAATGTGGACGCGCTCTTTCCAGCAGTCTTCCTCCTGCGTTCACACAGCGCAGCATTCCGGCAAATTACCGGTAATGTTACAACTTCTCTTTCCGGAAAATTGCCGGAACGAATTTACCTGTATTTTCAAAAAGGGCCTGTTCACACTTACAGACCTTTCTGAAAAATTGCTGGTAATTTTCTGAAAAGGTCTGTATGTGTGAAAGAGGCTAATTATTATTTTTTTTATATAGATTAAAAATAAACGCATACAACAAAAACAAATACCAGATACATCAGCACTTAATAGTTTGGAAAGTTTTCTTGCTAACACAACAAATGCTGTTCATTTTACATCTAAATTTTATTCTTTTCTATACTCCAATATCTCTGGACTTATGAACACTGTGGTCAATAAATGGGTGGAAGACCTGTGTAATATTTATATAGATGACAACTGGCAAGAGGATTTGAGGCGTATTAGATCCACTTTAATTTGTAATCGACTTAGAGAGACTCAATATAAGATTTTACATAGGCTGCATATAACGCCCGTTTTATTGAATAAAATGGATCCCTCTATACCAGCTCTTTGCAGCTCTTTGTGTTAAGTGTCATACTGAGCTTGGGACATACTTTCATTGCTTCTGGAAGTGCAGACTCATTTCAAGCTTCTGGAACTTTGTTTGCGTATGAAATCAGCACAATTTGTAAGATCAAATGAAAAAGAAGATCTCTGTCTTTTTCTTTTAGGACTCCCTTCTAAAACACAAGCAATGTCATTGACCCTTTGACACAAAAGGTTATAAATTGTTAGATAAACTGCTACTTGTGGCAAGAAAATGCATCGTTATTAGATGGATAAAAAAACACTCCCCCCACTGTGAAACAATGGTACAGAGAGATTTTTGCAGTTTTGCCCCACGAGAGGCTTGCAGCTGTGCTTAATGACAACATACAGAGCTTTCAAAATATATGGTCTCGTTTTATAGATCACCTGCCCTCACATGTGAGAGAAATGGTTTTGTGTGTCAATTAGGTTTTTTGTGTGTGTGTGTGTGTGTGTGTGTGTGTGTGTGTGTGTGTGTGTGTGTGTGTGTGTGTGTGTGTGTGTGTGTGTGTGTGTGTGTGTGTGTGTGTGTGTGTGTGTGTGTGTGTGTGTGTGTGTGTGTGTGTGTGTGTGTGTGTGTGTGTGTGTGTGTGTGTGTGTGTGTGTGTGTGTGTGTGTGTGTGTGTGTGTGTGTGTGTGTGTGTGTGTGTGTGTGTGTGTGTGTGTGTGGAGGAGGGTTGTCGGAGGCTCAGGGAATGGTCTTTTATTGTTTGTTTGTTACTTTGTTGTTGTTGTTTTTTTTATTTTGTTCTGTTCTAATGTTCTTTTTTTCAAATGACATGTTTATATTATAGGAATGTGCTGTGATGAGGAAAATATATATTTACACTGCAAAAAAATGCTTTTTTTACTTAGATTTTTTTTTTCTTGTTTCTAGTCCAAATATCTAAAAATTCCTTAATCAAGAAGAATTTTCAAGACAAGCTAAACATATTGTCTTGTTTTAGGAAATAATATGCCAATATTAAGTGAGTTTTTCCTTAAAACAAGCTAAATAACCTACCAATGGGGTAAGCAAAATAATCGTGCGTCAAAAGAAAAAACAAGATTAATTTGCTTACCCAATTGGCAGATTATTTTGCTTGTTTTAGGGGAAAACTCAATATTTCAATATAAAACTTTATATTGGCATATTATTTCTCAAAACAAGACGGCATGTTTTGCTTGTCTAGAATATGCTTCTTGATATAAGAAATTTTAGATATTTAGACTAGAAACAAACAATCTAAGCAAGAAAAGCATTTTTGCAGTGTAGTTTTATGTGCCTTTCCAGAGACTATGTGACTATTGGTCGCCAATATTAGTACTGTAGATGGTATGATGTTTCCCGTTTTTATTTTTATTTTTATTTTTTATTTTTTTTCTCCCTTGCCTCCAACTATCTGTTGGCTTATTATTAAGGATTACTATAATTTCTACAACCTATTGCACATTTTTTGTAAAACTTGCCTTTGACTATGTCTGTAAAAGCACATTGTATAATTATTTTGATAACCTTAAAAAAAGTTACAAAAATAATAATAATAATAAAAATAAACGCATACAAACAAACCAATAGCCACTTGACTGACATTGTATGAATCACCCTGCAAAAAAATGTACTGAATTATTATAAAACACTGAAGACTTATATAGTATTATTACTTATATAGTAATAATGCTGAAAATTCTGCAATCACAGGAATAAATGACATTTGCAAAAATGCATTTAAATCAAAAACACTTATGTAGGAATGGGTTTTAACCACAGCCTTTCGGACTGTAGTTCTGCCGAGTGACTAAAAAGTAATCAGTATGACGGCAAAAAACTGTACATTCTAATCACACCAGTCTACTGCAATCAAAAACAGAAATAAGAGCAGTAATAATAACTTAAAATGTGGGAGAGCATTGATAATATGTGATTGTATTGTATTGCAATATGGAACAAATAAATGTTGATATTAAATCAAAAGTAATTCACAAATGCTTGAAAATGAGATGATTTAATGACAATAATTCTCTATGGTTACAACTGAATTACAAAATAACTGTATAAAATGATAAAATAGGAAATGGTAAAACATATGATATAAATTGTACCCGCTTAAATGTAAAATTAAAGTTACTAGAGGTAGAAGAAGAGACACGGGGGAGGGAGAGAGAGACAAAGAGCGCAGGCCCAGAAGATAGCCTGATTGCAGTAAAGTCAGAGAAGAAAGGCTCCAGAGGAGGAGAGGAGCAGAGCAGGAAAGCGCAGAGATGGAAAAGAGGCCAGGAAAAAGAAACCGAGCAGTTTTACACCTATTTTGTATCTTTCTTGACCATGAGACTTAGGCCGTACTCACACTAGGTACAGTTGCCTCGAACCGGGCCAAAGCACGCTTGTCTCCCTCGACAGCCCGCACTCACACCACAAACGGGCCTCGGCACGCTTGCGTCATCGCTGCTGCGCTGTTCAGTGAGAATCGCTTTCTCACTCAGCAGCACAGTGGAGATTTCTCTAGTTATATCGTTTCAGTCGTTTGTTATCCAGTAACAAACTATGGCAGTTTGCGTTCACTAAACAGTAAGAATGGTTAATAAATCCATATGAAACAGCCCCTTAAAAGTCACGTCTCGCTTTCAGTTTTGGGCTTTGGCGCGTTTTGCACTCACACACAAGCGTACCGTGCCAAAGCCATAGTGAATCGCGCTCAGGCACACCCTCCAACCGGGTCAGGGCCGGCCAAGTGAACCGTGCTTGAGCCCGATTCAGCGCACTCACACTTCTCAAACGATCTGGGAAACGGGCCTGGGCACGGTACGGATGGCATAGTGTGAGTAGGCCCTTTCAAACTGACCAATCAACATGTGACCTTATCGTAAAACCTCAAGTCCACATACCCTGATCTTATCAGTATCTGCCTTTGGAGTCAGTATGGGCCTTCTTGAGTCAAAAAGACATGTTTTGTCATAGAAAACAATTGCATATGATAATTTAGCCTCTTACGCATATGTCAAATAAAAAGAGGGATTTCACTACATCACTGTTTATATGTATTTTAATCAAGTAAATTCAGCCTTTGTTAACATAGTGTCTTTCATACACTTGAAAAAAAATTACTCACCCTGAATGTTTAAAATAAATATATATATAAAAGCTTTTTATATTTTTTATTTTCATCTTTCAGGGTCTGTTGACCAGTGGCTACATCATTCTTCTGTCTAGAGTTGGAGAAAGAGTGGCTGCAGACATGAGGACGACTCTCTTCACATCCTTACTTCGGTTTGTACTACTATTTTTAGGAAATAAAAGCTACATTTGTTAAAGAGCATGTCAGAAATCCTGATATTTTGGCTAATTGTCGGCCTAAATGTCCCTCTACAGACAAGACATAGCATTTTTTGATGCAAACAAGACTGGTCAGCTGGTCAATCGCTTGACATCGGACATCCAGGAGTTTAAATCTTCTTTTAAGCTGGTTATTTCTCAGGTAAGACATTTCAGGCATCAGTTTGCATGCTTTGTTTTGTGGCTATGCGTATGTGTGTATGACGTATATATGTTTTTCATCAGTATTAATGTGATGAAGTTTTTTCTTTAGTAGACAATGAAAGGCTTTTAGCTCAAATTGTGGTCGTTAGTGATACATAAAATGAAAACTAACATCACTTTGAGAGTAAAGAAAGGCAAAACTAAATGAATACCAATAACTCCTGACAATAAACTGAGGTTTTGTGAAGCAAAATCCTATGTGGAAGAAACTGAGCATTATTTAAAACATTAATCCACAGCCTAATTAATTTTCCATGACTTCAACTTATCATCAGGAGCCAAGAAGTATTAATTTTGTGTTGCCTGTACATGCATGTGTTTTTTTTTTATTCTCCAAGTGCCAGAAGCTGCTGACTTTCTTACACAAGTAGAAAACCCCTTTGATTAATCAAGAAGGAAAAGCTTACTCATTTAAAGAGCTAGTTCTAGCTGAAATAAAACAAATAAGACTTTGAAATACTTTGAAATTCTTCTTAATCTGATAAATATTTGAGAAAGAATAAATGTTGCACAGTGGGGCTTATCATTTTGCTTTCAACAGTACTTGTGAAGCACCACACGCTAGAATAAATGGCTCTAATGGGATTAATCTTGACCTTAAAGGTGCAGTATGGTAGTCTGACTCCCAGTGGTTGAACTTGGTATTGCACTCCTGGATCAAAACAAACGCAAGCACAGGTTGCCAGATTGAGGCAAGTGGTGCTCGCTGCAGAGCCATTTGAGGAGAGCTGAGCTCCAGCGAGGGGGAGCTTAAGCTTGAGCTCCACCTTTTTTGCACTTCTTCTACGAGAGATGTCACTGGGGGTAGGGTTAGGGGTGGGGTTGCTGTACGCATTAAAACAGCTTACAGGAGGAGGAGCGACAGCTCATGCTCCCCCTCGCTGGAGCTCAGCTCTCCTCAAATGGCTCTGCAGCGAGCACCCTCTCGATTGAGGACCAACAGTGTGCCTGACTATCGAGCCTATTTAGGGCTGATTTAAGTTGTGTTCTACGTAAATAAAGCAACGACACACGATAGAAGGAATATTTTGCATATTAAAAAAAAGATTTTGTTCTAACCAACACCTGAAATTTAAGTATTAGAAACGGCTTCTATTTCTTGCTGCTGAACAACAAAAAAAACTGACAGTTTACCTCAGGAACACCTCATGTGCTTTATTCAGTGCTAAATGCTAACAATGTGAATTTGAATGACATTTTACATGTCATTTATTGCCATATACTGTAAGCAGCAGCAGATAGTTCACCTCAGATCTTGAAAATAAAAAATAAAATAAACTGTGTGAAATTGAACTTTAAAACTGTGACTGCATTCTAGCCAACACATATCAGTGATTCAGCATCTATATTCAATAATGTTAAAGAGGTTTAATATGTATTAATTAGATTATAAACCTTACCATTTTGTTGTAGTGCAACAAGTGTACTATTCTGTGCTTCTGAAAGGCTGTATTTAAATTTCTGTTGTTTCGTCTGGTGCAAACAGCCAAATTGCTTATCACTGTAAATCTCCTCTATTAGCGTGTTGTTTGGACTCAGGGTTACAATGTAATGTGCTAACCCAATGTTTATATTCGCAATATTTATATTATTTGCTAATTAATAGCCTCATGTGGAACTCTGAATCTGCATCTCATTTTGGAGTCTGCTATTGTCCACCAGAGGTCGCATTTCGGTCACAGACACATGTTTTTAGAGCCTTTCTGACTGACTACATGAATAAAATATGCTGTTTTCCACCAAGGCAACCCGGGGTGCTGAAATATAATTGGCTAAACTGGCATTGGGCAGTCTAAAAGAACCAAAACAAACATAGTGTTCCGGCATGGAAAACTCATTTTCAAAGCAGAATATCTGACTTTAACAAGAATGTTTTCTTAGCATGTTTCTTAAATATCTGCACACATATTATGGCATTTACATGCTTTGGAAGAGTCAAATACTTACATACAGCACCTTTAATGCTGTTTTTCAGGGTTTGCGCAGTGCCACACAGACAGTGGGCTGTTTTGTCTCGCTGTACTTCATCTCTCCCAAACTCACTGGTCTGACCGTGGTGGTTCTGCCATGTCTGGTTGGGGCTGGAGCTCTCATCGGCTCTTTTCTTCGTAAACTCTCCAGGAAAGCACAGGAGCAGGTAACAAACCCTGAGAAAAGACACTACTTTTATTCCTATTTGTACGAAAAGTGTCTTTCTTTTTTCTCTTACAGGTTGCTAAAGCTACAGGAGTGGCCGATGAGGCTCTTGGTAACGTGCGGACAGTGAGAGCGTTTGCTATGGAGGACCGAGAACTAGAGTAAGAGGACATTTTTTTTTTGTGTGTGTTGACTTTGAGGGAAATATCTGCTTTAGAGTACCAAAAAAAAACAGCTTTTGTCACTAAAAATGCATCAAATGCAATCAATTTAAACCAAACTTTAAATTAAAATTAAAAAAAATAATTTGGTGCATCAAACTAAACATACAAAAGATGATGATATTTTCAGGAAATTAAAAATAATCAGAACATTCATGCTTAACAGTTCTGCTGTCCTCCTCCTCCTCCCTCAGGATGTATGCTGCTGAGGTCCAGAAATCAGCTGCCATGAATGAAACACTGGGCACAGGCATTGCTGTATTTCAGGGCTTGTCTAATATTGTCCTCAACTGTGAGTAATGATGCAATTTTACTGATTGACATTTAAGTTAAGTCGTGACGTATGGAAATACGGGTCCAAGCCTCGACTCATTTGAATTGAAAATATTTGTTTATATCCACTTTTAAGACCTATTGTATCACACATTAAAGTGGATTTTAGATAAAGTCATGGTGTACAAGTCACTGGACATACTGCATTACATTACTCCAATATTTTAACAATTAATAAAAAATTGATCACTTTCTGGCCATCTGATATTATGCATTGATCTATACACTGGGGAAAATCAGTTTTGAACACGTCATCATTTTTCTCAAACATATTTCTTAAGGTGTCGTTGACTTGAAATTTTTCTGTGGATGTTGACAACAACCAAAGAAATCCATAAGTGAAAAGAAAGCAAATCTAATTAGTTTACAAATGGAGTTGTCTGTAATAAAATTAAATAATGCAGGGAAAAGTATTGAACACATGAAGGAAGGTGTAGAAAGGCGGGGAAAGCCCAGACAGCAGCTGAAATCTGTCAGTAGTTCTTCAGCAGTCTTCTGCCCTTCATCATTGTAAATAAATATCAGCTGCTTCAGTCCAACATCTACATTAGCAGGAGGATGAAGATGAAACCAGGGTGGACATTTCAGCAAGACAATGATCCAAAACACAGCCAAGGAAGCTCTCAAATGCTTTCAGAGAAAGAAAATCAAGCTATAGAATGGCCCAGCCATTCACCTGACTTGAATCCAATAGAAAATACAAAATAAAGATTTACAGTTTTGATAGACGAGACCCGCAGAACCATCAAGATTTTTTGTTTTATTTTATGTTTGTATTTTTACCACAATCTGATTTAATTTCAAGTCCACAGCTCATTTAGAAATGTTATTCCCAGGAAATCCATGACGTGTTCAATACTTATTTTCCCTGCTGTATATTGCGATTGTGATTTTCGAAAGTATTACAGCACTTTATAAACGTTTATTATTACCATTTGATGAGCCTCCCCATACAGTTTAATAGAGCGCTTGGACTCGGTAGCCGCTTTGCATGACATCACACTCAACAATGTTTACTTTGTGTGCTTATCCTTTTGTTATGTACTTTATTTTGTTCTGCAACAGGTATTGTTCTGGGCACCATTTTTGCCGGTGGGTCTTTGATGGCCCGTGATGACCTGTCACCCGGCGATCTGATGTCATTTTTGGTCGCCTCGCAAACAGTGCAGAGGTGAGAATGAAACGAGGAAACTTAAAGGGATAGCTCACCCCAAAAAATAAAATGCACTTTAATTTGGTGGTCAAACTTTAATGAGTTTCTTTCTTCTGTTTAACACAAAAGAAGATATTTTGAAGAATGTTAGAAACCTGTAACCATTGATTTCCGTGGTAGAAAAAGGACATACTATTGAAGTCAGTGGTTACAGGTTTTCAGCGTTATTCAAAATATCTTCTTTTGTGTTTATTAGAAGAAAGAAACTCGTAGAGAGAAAGAGGAAGAGTAAATAGTGACAGAATTTTTATTTTTGGGTGAACTATCCCTTTAATTGAAACATTTTCCTGCATAAACATCCTACTGAACCTGCAGAAAAGTCTTGCTGAAAACATGATAAGTAATAGAATCACTTCACATTTTCCTCTCTAGATCTCTTGCCAGCATTTCAATTCTGTTTGGACAGGTGAGTGAAGCATTTTTCCCCGTATGTATGTCCATATGAATACCACTTAAATATTCTCAGTGTCTCCAGATTTATATTGATGTGTTTGTGTAAAATTTTTGTTTTATTCTGTGAACACATTTAAAATGAAATGTAAAATGTTTAGAGCAATATATAAATATTTAGATGCAGTAGCAGTGTTTTATAAAATCGATATTTGGTTATCAGATATTCTGACCAATTGATGTTTTCTGAAAAATAAAGAAGTTCTGAATGACATTGTTGTTCTTTGAAAATTTGTAGAAATGTTATTATACCATATACAGTTGAAGTCAGAATTATTAACCCCCCCTTTGATTTTATTTTCTTTTTTAAATATTTCCCAAATGATGTTTAACAGAGCAAGGAAATTTTCACAGTATGTCTGAAAATATTTTTTCTTCTGAAGAAAGTCTTATTTGTTTTATTTCGGCTAGAATAAAAGCAGTTTTCAATTTTTTTAAACACCATTTTAAGGTCAATAATATTAGCCCCTTTCAGCTCTATATTTTTTTAGTAGTCTACAGAACAAACCATCTTTGTTCAATAACTTTACTAATTATTCTAACCTGCCTAGTTAACCTAACTAACCTAGTTAAGCCTTTAAATGTCACTTTAAGCTGTATAGAAGTGTCTTGAAAAATATATATAGTCAAATATTATTTACTTTTTATTATTTATCATCATGGCAAAGATAAAATAAATCAGTTATTAGAAATGAGTTATTAAAACTATTATGTTTAGAAATGTGTTGAAAAAGTCTTCTCTCCGTTAAACAGAAATTAGGGGGCTAATAATTCAGGGGGGCTAATAATTTTGACTTCAATTTTTATATATATATATATATATATATATATATATATATATATATATATATATATATTCCTTAAAAGTTTTTAATATTTAGATTAGTATTATATAGATTAATATTTAAAAGCTTGTATATTTGTAAAGCTATACTCTGCATTACATAATTTTTGCATCAAATTGTTAAAAACAATTATCGCTTATGCAAAGTGTTCTCTGCTTTTTCTCTCTCCTGGCTTATTTTTTCCTTTTCCGAAAGTCTTGATAACATTGTTATTTTAGCAAAGAGGATTGTAAAAAATCTATTTCTTGTCATCTCACATTCACTGCACTCTAAGTTTACCAACTATGACGACTTCTGCTGCTGAGAAACCCGAAAATAAAAAAGAGTCCTTAAACTGAGTTGTTGCTAGATAAGGATACTGTTGCAGTCGGAAGTTAACAAGAATTATTTATATTTTTATTAAATTACCCATTAATTGTATTGTATTAACGTCTAACCCTTACCCTACCCCAACCCTAACACAGTAATGTAAAAAAAGTAATTATGTCGGCGCCAGTGGTGTAGTGGTTAGTGTGTCGACACAATAACTCTGGTGCTCACGGCGACCCGAGTTCGATTCCCGCCTCGCAGTCCTATGCTGATCCTTCCCCTTTCTCTGCTTCCCACGCTTTCCTGTCAATACTCTCTACTTTCCTGTCCAATAAAGGTGAAAAACCGGCCAAAAATGATTGATTAAAAAAAAATTGTCATTTTACAGAGTATTATTTATAGCATTTAATAAATTACCTAATAAATTGTATTTTATTAACGTCTACCCAACCCTAAACCCAACCATCACAGTAATGTAAAAATATTAATTATTGTTGTACAGTGTCACAGAAATGATGCTATATTGTGCGTATCCGCAGCTGTATCCCATCTAGACTTAAACCCTAATTGATTGATAAACTGTGAATACTGTCATCAATCTGTATTCAGTATAACCTGATGTTTGGTGTTTTCTGGTGTCAGATGGTTCGTGGGATGAGTGCCGGGGCTCGAGTGTTTGAGTATTTGGCTCTGGACCCCTCTGTTCCGCTCACTGGAGGAGGACGGATCCCTCTGGACTCTCTGATGGGCAGAGTTGACTTTATGAATATCAGCTTCAGGTATTTGTCTCTGCAAACAGAGCTGTGTTTGCTCTAAAACGCTGATTCTGGGTTATGTGATGTTTATTTCTGCTTGCTCCTCAGTTACCCAACAAGACCAGGAAACCAGATCCTCAAACACTTCAGCTTGACTCTGCCTCCCTGCAAAACTGTGGCTATTGTTGGAGAGTCAGGAGGAGGTTGTCTGTCTGTCTCTCTGTCTATCTATCTGTCTCTCTGTCTATCTATCTATCTATCTATCTATCTATCTATCTATCTATCTATCTATCTATCTATCTATCTATCTATCTATCTATCTATCTATCTATCTATCTATCTATCTATCTATCTATCTATCTATCTATCTATCTATCTATCTGTCCATCTATCCATCAATCCATAACATTCTATTCATCCATTTATCAATCCATCCATCCGTTTTTCCATCTGTCCGTCCATATGTCTGTCTATCTGACTATCGCTATCTTGTTCCATCCATCCATCCATCACATTCTATCCATCCATCTAATTATCTATTTGTCCGTTCTTCTGTATCTATCTGTCTATCTATCTATCTGTCTATCTATCTATCTATCCATCCATCCATCCGTTCATCCATCCTTTCATCCATCTATCACATTCTATTCGTTCATCCATCCTTCCATCCATCTATAACATTCTATTCATCCATTTATCAATCCATCCATCCGTTTTTCCATCTGTCTATCCATATGTCTGTCTGTCTGACTATCTATCGCTATCTTGTTCCATCCATCTATCCATCCGTCACATTCTATACATCCATCTATCCATCCATTCATCACATTCTATACATCCATCTATCCATCCATCCATCACATTCTATCGTCCATCTATTCATCTGTTTGTCTGTTCGTCCATCTCTCCATCTATCTATTTTTCTATCTATTTCATCATTCTATCTATTGTTCTGTCTATCTATCATTATATCAGTTTATTTTTTGATCTAATGTTGTTGTAAAATATCGAATGTGTCTGTCTCTCTGTCTATCTATTCATCTATCTATATCAACACCAACACCCCCCTCACTCTTCACTTTTGTTCGTGACCCCAAACCCCCAACCCCCGCTCTTCACTTTCATCCACAACAAACAAACTTCTCATGTGGCCTGTATCAGCCAGCGGCGCCCCTGCAACCATCCATCATCAGTTGACTATCTATCTGTCTATCTGTCTGTCTATCTGTCTGTCTGTCTGTCTGTCTGTCTGTCTGTCACTCACTCTATCGTTCTTTTATTTTTTGATTTGATGTTGTAAAATATCTTTTTATTTTATTTCTGTTTTATATACTCGTATTCCGTCCGTCCATCCATCATTATTTTGTTTATTTTTTTGCTTGATCTATCTGTTTACTGTCACACAATCAATCACAAATGAATATAACCTTAGACGTATGATCATATTAGTAATTTCTTCCCTCTATGTATCCAGGTAAGTCCACAGTGGCCGCTTTACTGGAGCGCTTTTATGACCCCAGCAGTGGAGTGGTGATGCTGGATGGGCTGGACATCAGAACACTGGACCCGTCCTGGTTAAGAGGACATGTCATCGGGTTTATCAGTCAGGTAAATATACTTCTCTATTTCTACTCTATATACTCTCTGTCTCTCTCTCTCTCAATTGAATCTTAATAAATATTTCATCATCTCTGTATACATGTGTATGAAATATACCATGAATGTGATTCTGTGTTGTCTTGATTGCAGGAGCCTGTACTGTTTGGTACCTCAGTGATGGAGAATATCAGGTTTGGAAAGCCCAGTGCCACAGACGCTGAGGTGGTGTCTGCCGCAAAACAAGCCAATGCTCATAATTTCATCACAGGATTCGCTGACGGATATAACACAGTGGTTGGTAAGCACTGTAAAAGAAAAATCAGGAAATGAAAAGATTATCATAACTTTTTTTTTTTCTTAAAGGGACAGTTCACCCAAAAATGTTGTACCATGCCTGCAGCAGGTGCAATGATATTACACAGTGTCTGAAAATAATCCTCAACTAGGTAACAGTGCTGCATAATATCATTGGTGCCATGGTACGACAGCAAATCCATCCATTCATCTATCTATTGATCTGTCCATCCATCTGTCGTTCTGTCTATCCACCTATTTATTGTTCTGTTCATCATTCTTTCCATCCATCTATTATTCTATCCATCTATATATTGTTCCAACTGTCCCTTGTTCTATTCATCTTTCTATCCATCCATCTGTCTGTCTGTCTGTCTATCATGTCCTGTGTGTCTGGTAATTTGTCAGTCAGTCTGTCTGTCTGTCTGTATGTCTGTCTGTCTATCTGTCTGTCAATCATGTCCTGTGTGTCTGGTTATTTGTCTGTCTGTCTGTCTGTCTGTATGTCTGTCTGTCAATCATGTCCTGTGTGTCTGGTTATTTTTCAGTCAGTCTGTTTGTCTGTCTCTGTCTGGCTGTCTGTCTGTCATGTCCTGTGTGTCTGGTTATTTGTCAGTCTGTCTGTATCTGTCTGTCTGTCTGTCATGTCCTGTGTGTCTGGTTATTTGTCAGTCAGTCTGTATGTTTGTCTATCTATCTCTCTTTGTCTGGCTGGCTGTCTGTCTATCTATCTCTCTCTTTGTCTGTCTGTCTATCTATTCATCTGTCCATCCGTCAGTCTGTCCATCCATCCGTCTATTATTTTCTATCAATCCATCCGTCCATCCATTTGTCTTTTTTCTTATTTGGAGTGAGATGCTAATGGTCTAATCTAATTCTATGATCTATGCTAAGTTAAGCTAAAATTGCTAAGCTAAAACCCCAGAGAATAGAGAATGGCTGAATTGATTAAAAAAAATGATAAAACTCAGCTGTTTAACTCTAGGGGAGCTGTCAAATGAGCCTATTTTATGAAAAAAAAGTTTTAATTTCAACATGTTTTTCCATTGAACGTGGTCATCTTTCCAGGTGAGCGTGGAGTGACTCTATCAGGAGGGCAGAAGCAGCGGATAGCGATCGCACGAGCACTGGTCAAAAACCCCAGCATTTTAATCCTGGACGAGGCCACGAGTGCGCTGGACGCAGAGTCTGAGCGTGTGGTTCAGGAGGCGTTGGACAGAGCCACGACAGGACGCACTGTTCTGATCATCGCCCACCGGCTCAGCACTATACAAGCAGCCGATCTCATCTGCGTCATGAGCAACGGACGCATCGTTGAGGTCAGGAAACACTCTACTAATAGACAAAGGGAATGTGTGGTTACAAAGCAATGTATTCTCGGAATTTGTGGAACCTGAATCAAATTGCTTTCTATAGGTTTATTGTATCATATACAGTCAAAATTATGATTTTTTTTTTCTTTTCAAATATTTCCCAAATTATGTTTAACAGAGCATTACATTTTTCACAGTATTAGCTATAATGTTTTTTTTTTTCTGGAGAAAGTCTTATTTGTTTTATTTTGGCTAGAATAAATGCAGTTTTTATTATTTTTAAAAATCATTTTAAGATATGATTTTATTATTAGCCCCCTTAAGCAGTTTTTTTCTCGATAGTCTACAGAACAAAGCATCGTTATACAATGACTTACCTAATTACCCTAAATTGCCTAATTAAACCATTTAACCTTGTTAAGCCTTCAAATGTCACATTAAGCTGAATACTTTGCGTTTGTAACCTGTTTTTCAAAAAGCACTACTATAAAATAGTCAGCTTTTTCTGTGGTGATTTGCATTGGTTTGCATTGTGAGCTTCTGAGCATGTCCGAAAACATGGTGGAACAATTTTGGAGTCAGTATAATTTTTTTAATGTTTTAAAATAAGCTAATTACACAGTAAAATAGAGGTAAAAAAAATTGTGAAATGTTATTGCAATATAAAATATCAGTTTTCTAATTTGAAAGTAGTTTAAATTTAATTTATTTCTGTGATTTTTAAAGCTGAATTTTTAATTTATTGTTTTTGTGTTTTTAAAGGCTGGAACACATCTGGAATTACTGAGCAAAGGAGGATTGTATGCAGAACTCATAAAGAGACAACGATCTAATGGACATAAATAAAATACTGTACTTAGTATATGTCACTACAAGTTATTTTGAACACAGAAATTCATTTGGTGCTCTGTCATATTGTAGCATATTGAATTTTTTTTAAAAGAAAGTTCTGTGTGTTTAGTTTTATCATCATTGTAAAATCAGTGTTGGTAAACAGTTTTTAAATAGTGTTTTTATTTCCCTAAACTCCAGACTGAAAGTATTTGAACCTTTTCTTTTTTAAATGAAAAGATTTTAGTGAGATGAAATGTACATTTTATTTTGAAAAATGTATCTGTTAATATCATTGTGTTGATAATCTTGTTTTCCTTGAAAATTAAGGTATAATAAAATTAAATATATTCTTCTGCATTCACATTGGTTACCATTTCCATTTTTAAATTACACACAAGTAATTAGAGATATTAAATATTTTATTTAGAATGCTTTTTTTAATTACTGTTGATATTGTTATACTAACGTGTTTAATTATTTAAATTAAATTAACAATAAAGAAGAGCATAGATTTGATCAGCTTTAGCATCGATTTTTACTAATTAACATTTCTCTTTTTTTTTTGTTATTTAGAGGTTTAGATTTAAATATTTTAATACTGAAGTATTTACTTATTTAATTTATTGTAGCATTGAGTAAGAGCATAGGTTAGATACGTTTTATTAGCATATATTCTTTTACTAATTGACATTTCTTCCTAAATTTTTTTGTCTAGTTTTTCGAAATATTATACATTTTTAGACAACAGAATACCACCATTTTAACAATGTTAGATCTTATGCGACACAGTGTTGTAAACGCGCTAGTAAATGTCAAAAATGTTGACACTTTATTGTAACATTTGTTTTAAGAGACATGATTATGAAAATAACATCATGATAAAAGATAAAAATTAATTTGGGTGTTATCGGAAAGTAAAAAGAACATTTTAAAGGAGTTAATACTTCGACCAGAAGTATTTGCACACAGACTTTTATTTCCAGCCAGCCAGCCCCAGGGCTTCCAGTGAGCTGTCTTTCCATTATAACTATCGCCACGTTTTTTATCTGATTTCTTTAAAAATCTTTTTTTTTTTACTGCCTGGTTGAGATAAAAAGTGGGTCTCAGACCAGACAAGAAGCACTGAATCAATTCAATTTTCCTCTGCCATGTCTTTTAAATAAAACTGTTTATTTTACCTCAGTATTTTTCAATTGAGTTTCAGCGCTCACCTGCTAATCCTGATTGTGCTAGCGGTTATATAGTCTTATCTTGTTTTACACTTGAACAACTAAATGAAAGCTTAAGTCTATTTAACTGAATGTATTTTAATGACATTGCAACATATATGCTGTAAAAGGAACCGTATGGCATTAAAAATAGTCATATAAAGCTTTCACCGGAAGTTTATGATTGGCTGCAGCTAAACCCGATCTGGTACTTTTATTTTGAAGCGCGTCTCAGCGGGTCGCCATCTTGTAGCTCTGCTCTCTTCATGTTGCGTACTACGCCCCTTGTTGATAAAAAACGACATTAATCAGCGGTACAATTAAACCCCTGCTTATTAATTCGTAGAAAAAACGAGCAGCCAGGACGTTTTAATAACTGGCTGAAACCATGCAAAAGTATGAGAAGCTGGAGAAGATAGGAGAGGGTGAGTAAAGCACTGTCTGGCCTGAATGTCTGAAGCTAACGATAAATTGGAGATTTATTTATACACCACTAACAATAACGAAGGTTTGTTGTCATAAGACGTCAACCGTCTGTCAATCTGCAAAGCATTTGTGCCTTTATGTGCTTGTGTACTGAAGCCTAAAAGTCTTAATCTGTGGAGATCGAGCTCATTTTGATGCAGCTGGCTTTGAATCGGATAAATCAGCACACCTTTCACACCTGCTAAATGACATTATCGCTGTTATTGAGAGAAATAGAGCTGGTAAAGTGATGATTTGTTATCCCGTTGATTGATATTTCATTTTAGCAACATTAACAGGGTTTTCTTTGATCCAGCAAATGCTGGTAGCCATGATGAAACGTAAAGTGTGTTTTCCTCTAGGGGGCGCGCGAGGGCTTAAAATAGGCTTTTCTCCTTTTGAGTTGTATTTACATCATAAAACAATATTTAGATTTTTTTTGTGAAGAGTCCTGTAATGAAAAGTTACCAATAGAAATATATGAATAAATATGGGTCAAATATTTCAATTAAATAAAACCAACCATTCAATCATATACGACAGTGATTGGTCTGCACTGATATTTGATGAGAAGGGTAATATATACCACGTGGTTCAAAAGGTTAAAAGTTACAATTATTTTAATAATTCTTTATAATAATTTCTACACAATTTAAATGACAGTTTTTATCAGGTTGCGAATCACAGGGAAGTTTGGGGAGATAGACCCCCCTAATTGACCACTGAAGAAGGTCAAAACAAGATGTATAGGGGGATCAGTTCTTTAACACTGAGAAATATTTCACTCTAATCTGTATTTTAAATAATAATGTTAATAATTAAAATAATAGATAATATAAATATAGATTTGACCACCCCTATAATGGTTCAAACCATTGTTAATGCATAATTGCGCCAATCAATTGCATCTATTTAAGAAGAAAGTCTTAAAGCGGCAGATCTAGAGCACCAATAGACATCATGTTCACCACACTTTGTTTTCTCATAAAAAAGATGTTGTATCTATATTTAGCCTGAAAATAAAATCAAATTCGATGCATTGTTTGTAGTTTAACCTTCAGTAACATCTGAAACAGCTAATCAGAGAATACTGTCGATCAGAATACACTAAATATCCCTCAAAACGCTGAAAGCTTAAATGCATTTTATCAATAAGCTAGATGTAATTAAAAATATTTTTTATTTATGTATTTGACATGGACATCACAATTACACTGGACAACCAAATGCATTTGTTTAAGTGTTTTAGCAAACTTGCTAATTCTCAACACCTGTCCACAGGAGGCTTAAAATTGACAAAATAGAAATATAATAAAACATACATAACATTACATTTCTTTACATAAAATTACTGCAGGAAAAAGCAAAGGCGACATGATCCAACTAACTAACGATAGACTATTTGTGCAAACACTGCTGTTTTGTTTTTATCCACTTTTTAAGAGCACTACTAAAAATATTTAGATTACTTTCTGCTTTAAAACTAACCGGTAAATCATAATATATTAACATTATTATTATTAGCATACATAAATTACTGAAGCGTGTATTACACAAACTAACAACTGACAAGCAGTTGAGCCTCCTGGTCGTCAATGTATAATTTGCACAGTTCTTTATCCCCCTAAACCACGCATTTGTTTTATTTTTATTTAACAGTTGTTCTGCGATAAATGTAAAATATGGTGATTATTATGATCATATATTTGTCATCTATATACATATTAGAAGGACATTTTTAATTTTGTAGAGAGTTGTGTGATAAAAAGTTACTAATAGAATTATATGAGTTAATATGGGTCACATTCAATCGAATAATACTAACCAATCAATCATAAAACGACAGTGATTGGTCTGCACTGATATTTGATGAAAGGGGTAACATACCATGTGGTTCACAAGGTTGAAAGTTACAATTATTTTTATAATTCTTTAGCATAATTTCTACTCAATTTAAATGAGTTTTTATCAGTGTGCAAATTACAGGAGAGTTTGGGGCGTTTGATGTGATTGGTAACGTGTACCGCCATTATTTAGTTTTTTTTTTACATAATTAACATCAAATTGAAATGGCAGTACAGGGTTCAACGCTATAGATTTTTTCTACAGGTCCGATCGGGCCAGTGGTTCAGATTTTTACTTGCCCTGGCAAAATTTTCACTGGCCCCACCAAAAAAAGGGAAGTTAATAGCTATTTTTTGCCACGTTTTAAATAATGTGTCAAAAAAAAAGTCTGTGAATCTACAATTTTAATACTTAAAATAAATTGTAAATAAAAGTGTTATGCAAACAAAAAGAGCAGTACAGAAAATGTTAACAAAAGGTGGCCGACTTGTCAAACTGGCGGCAAACTGTGCAAAACATCACTTCATTTTTATTTTGTCGTGTTCGTCACACGTAAATGTCTACTTCCAAGACTTTAGAAACAGACATTTTCTTTTAGCCTTATAATTTGATGTTGCCGCCATGTTGCCGTTTCTTCGCTGTACTGGTTTTTAACAGGTTACAGAAACAAAATATCATGGTCAATCAGATAAGAGGAACCGGAAAGCAATATGGTGTTTATGACATCACAGAGAAGGTAGTGTTTAAAAACCTAAAAGCACAAAATTAAAATGCACATGATTTACATAGTCGCAGACAAATTAAATGTTAGTGACATCCGGTCTACTGTCCCAAGTGTCTCTCAAGCTGGCCCTGGGCCACCGGGCATGTCCTTATTGTTGAGCCTTGCAGTATTTATCTACTAAAGCACTTTTTTTGTTTTATTCTGTTGTACTCTGTCTTCAGGTACATATGGTACCGTTTTCAAGGCTAAAAACAGAGAAACGCACGAAATTGTGGCCCTCAAACGAGTCCGACTGGATGATGATGATGAGGTAAAGATGACGACGCTGCTGCTGGAATGACAATAATAATAATAATAGTAGTTATAATAAAAGTAATATAATTCTCCTTTCTGCTAAAGGGCGTACCAAGTTCAGCTTTACGAGAAATTTGCCTCCTGAAAGAACTGAAGCATAAAAACATTGTAAGGTATGTTTGTTTAGTTGTTATTAATAGTACGTTTGAACTAACGATGTCCATTGAACTGACAATTATATTTCCAATATTGTAAATATTATATTATTGTAGATGTGGCACCATTGGTTGTAATATGCATTCATCGGCCACTTTATTAGGTACACCTGTTCAACTGCATCTATTCTGCCTTGTATCAACGGCTCAGGAGGATGGTGGTGGTGTAATGGTGTGAGGGATATTTTCTTGGCACACTTTGAGCCCATTAGTACCAGTTGAGCATCTTGTCAAGCCACAGTCTATCTGAGTATTGTTGCTGACCATGTCCATCGCTTTATGACCGGGGTGGGCAAACTCGGTCCTGGAGGGCCAGTGTCCTGCACAGTTTAGCTCCAACTCTAATCAAACACACCTGCTTATAGATTTCTATGGATCATGAAGACACTGATTAGCATGTTCAGGTGTTTTTGATTAGTGTTGGAGCTAAACTATGCAGGACACCGGCCCTCCAGGATCAAGTTTGCCCACCCCTGCTTTATGACCACAGTGTACACATCTTCTGATGGCTTCTGATTCCCTTTATGTCATAAAGCGCAAATCAACTCCGACTGGTTTCTTGAACATGACAATGAGTTCACTGTTCTCAAATGGCTCCCACAGTCACCAGAACTCTATCCAATAGAGCACCTTTTGGGATGTGATAGAACGGGAGATTCGCATCATGGATGTGCAGCCGATGCTATCATGTCAGCATGGACCAAAATCTCTGAGGAATATTTCCAGTATTTTGTTAAATCTATGCCATGAAATTAAGGCAGTTCTGAAGGCAAAATCGGGTCCAACCCGGTACTAGTAAGGTGTACCTATTAAAGTGTCCAGTGAGTGTTGATTGGAATTATTTAAAAACGTTTATTGTTATCAGTAAATGGGGATATATGTTTTGTATTGACTTTTAAAAAATATTTTCGGTTTTGATCATAATTTTCTTATTGATATAAATAAATAAGGATGTCACAAATTTTTTTGTAGCATATGAATTTGACCTTTTAAGTTGCTTTTTAAAAAAAAAAAAAAAAAACATTTTAAAATAACTCTTAATCTTGATAAATAATAAAATAAAAACGCTGCATAAACTACACTATTTGTTCCTGCAGGTTACATGACGTCCTTCACAGTGATAAGAAACTCACATTAGTGTTTGAATACTGTGATCAGGTAAGACCGTCATCATAACTGCTTTATTTTTATTACTATCATCATTTATTTTTTCTTTTTGTAACATCTGTTTTTGTCTATTAAACAGGATTTGAAGAAATACTTTGACAGCTGTAATGGTGACTTGGATCCAGAGATTGTCAAGGTTTGATTTTATTTATTTTTTAAATCTATAAATCCCTGAATTCATTTATGTATTCATTTGTTTGTTGTTTGTAATTGTATATGTATTATTGAAAGGTTCTTGCCATGAAAATAGCCTTGTTTGCTGACATGGCATTAAATAAAAAATACATTACATTACATGAATCCCTTAAAGTAATACAGTGCGTCTGGAAAGTATTCATAACATGATTCAATTAATTTATTTCCTCAATTTTACAGACAATACCCCATAATGACAATGTGAAAAAATATTTTTTGGAAATTAATTAATTTATTAAAATTTATTAAAAATAAAAAAATGCTGAAAAATCACATTTACATCAGTATTCACAGCCTTTGCTCAATACTTTGTTGATGGCAGCAATTACAGCCTCAAGTCGTTTTGAATATGATGCCACAAGCTTGGCACACCTGTCTTTGGGAAATTTTGCCCATTCCTCTTTGCAGTACCTCTCGAGCTCTATCAGGTTGGATGGGAAACGACATTGTACAGCCATTTTCAGATCTCTCCAGAGATGTTCAATAGGATTTAGATCTGGGGTCTGGCTGGGCCACTCAAGGACATTCACTGAGTTGTTGTGAAGCCACTCCATTGATATTTTGGTTATTAATCACCTTCCTGACTAAGGTCCTTCTCCCCCAATCACTCAGCTTAGATGGCCGGCCAGCTCCAGGAAGTCCTGGTGGTTTCAAACATCTTCCACCTACATATGATGGAGGCCACTGTGCTCATTGGAACGTTCAAAGCAGCAGAAATCTTTCTGTAACCTTCCTCAGCCTTGTGCCTCGAGACAATCCTGTTCCCATTTCCCAATTCCTTTGTCTTTATGCTTGGTTTGTGCTTTGACATGCACATTTGTCAACCCTGGGACCTTATATAGACAGGTGTATTCCTTTTCAGATTATGTCCAATCAACTGAATTTAGCACAGGTGAACTCCAATTAAGCTGCTGAAACATCTCAAGAATGATCAGTGGAAGCAGAATGTACCTGAGCTCAATTTAGAGCTTCATGGCAAAGGATGTTAATACTTCTGTACATGTAATTTTTATTTGTTATAAATTTGCAACAATTTCAAAAACTCTTTTTTTCACATTGTCAGTATGAGATATTGTGTGTAGAATTTTGAGGAAATTAACTCACTTTGGAATAAGTCTGTAACATAAAATGTGGAAAAAGTGAAGCACTATGAATACTTTCCGGATGTACTGCATATCAGAGGGGAGATTTTTTTAATATTTGAAGCATCAGATAATACAGCATTTATTATTTTTGTCCTCGCAGTCTTTTATGTACCAGTTGTTGAAGGGTCTCGCCTTCTGCCACAGCAGAAATGTTCTCCACCGTGACCTTAAACCACAAAACCTGCTCATCAACAGAGTGAGTAAATAAAAAATAAAAAAAACATCCCTAAGATTCAACTCTTCGACACTCATCTTTATTATTCATGCTTTGTGTCATGAGATGCGATTGGTTTGTGTTATATATGATTATAAATAGAGCTCTCAAATAATATTGACACTTTGGTAAACGTGAGCAAAAAAGGCTGTAAAAAAGATGTCTTTTTATTATTTCCAGAACTGCAGAAGTTAGCTGGGTGTAAAGGTTGGGAAGTCTCCATAACTCGAATATGATGTCACTGACTTATTTTAAAGTGTTTCAAGAAAAAAAAGCATGTTCTCTACTCTCATACAAAAACAAACTCAAGCCTCTCCGTTTTTGTTTGTGTTAATATTTTAAGGAAAAAGGCAAAAGGTCCAAAACTATATATTTTTTCCAATAACAATATTATTTTGCTCATATCTACCAAAGTTGCCTATTCGTGTAGGAAGTGTTTCGCAAGTTACTTAAAAAAAAACTTAAAATACAAATTAAATTAATAAAATTGTATTTAAATTACTTCATATTCTTATTACTTTGCTTCATTACTCAAGTCATTTAATTACTTGACTACATATGATTACTTGGGTTCAGAAAATCTCAAAGCTTAAAAAGTGTAAGTTAAACTCTCAAATCTTTTAAGTCAAATGGAGCATTTTTAGCTTTATTTTAAAAAAATCTTAAAGTTTTTAGTTTTTATTTATTCATTTATTTTTAATTGACAAGAATGTTCAATCTTTTTTGGACAAATTTGCTGAAAGCCGATGATCCCCTTCAAATGTTGACTATTGTAAATACACACACTATATATACACACACTATATATACATACACTGTCCCGACTGGGTGTCCATTCTTCGTACGTGGATCACTGAGTTAGCTGGATTTGGATATTGACGATTTTACAGACCTGTAAACTGTGTTTGTAATTGTACCTTTTTTGTTTTGCTTTTGTCTTTTGTCATGTCTTTATGGGACCCTCTTGAAAATAAGATTAGTTTCATCTTATCCTTTAAATAAATTGAAATGGTTAACTTTCAATGTACCATATTTATAGTTAAACTGTAATTAATTTACCTAAAATGATAAGTAATCTGTTAAAGTAACTTTGTAACTATTTAATCCCAGCACTGAGTGTGTAAGGCACCATAATCAAGTTGGAATTGTTTTATTTCTGCTTGTGCTACTAAAAGCGCTTTCTCTTTAATTCTGTATTTTTGTGTTGTCTTCAGAACGGGGAACTGAAGTTGGCTGATTTCGGCTTGGCCAGAGCGTTTGGGATCCCTGTACGCTGTTATTCTGCTGAGGTCAGAGACGCCACTTTTCTTTATATTGTTGGTTTTATTTCCAGGTCTACATGAAATCAAAATGTACAATGTTTGTTTTGCTAGCGCACTTTCTTGTTCTTTGGGTGAACAATTAATCAGTGTAAGTAATTCGTTAAACAAATAAGTTTGTTTTGGTCTTCAATCTTCAATCAAAGTCTGAGCAATTGTTTCTGCATTTGGATTGGCTCCTTTTCTGTTGACATCAGTTTGACGGCTTCAGCCACAATATTCTTTACCACGCCCCTTTTACTTTTAGTGGCTTTGAGGAAATTATGCAAAATAAGGAAGCCCCGCCCCCTAATGATTATTCAGTTTCAGAGAGAAGTACATCAGCATTACTCTAATAAAAGTCTCAGTAACTTCCGGTTCGTGTAGACTATAGCAGTTTTAATCTTTTTGTTGGTTTTGTTCAGGTGGTGACGTTGTGGTACAGGCCTCCGGATGTACTGTTTGGTGCTAAACTCTACTCTACCTCTATCGACATGTGGTCTGCAGGCTGTATATTTGCAGGTACAACAAAACACTATTTTATTGTCTTGTAATATTGATAATAACTATAGTATATAAAGTATTATTATAATTTTTTTGTAGAACTGGCAAATGCAGGACGGCCTTTATTTCCTGGTAACGATGTGGACGATCAGCTAAAGAGGATCTTTCGATATCCTTTACATCCAGACGATCCTTTTAAGATTAATATGGATAAAACAGTACTACTGTTATTTATCTATAATTGTTATTAACAAAGTTTTTTTGGTGGTTATATGTGTAGTAATTCCATTGGGGGTTTTGCTGTGTGTATATATGAACAAGGGTAAAATAAGTCATGTTTTTTTTCTGTTGACATGAAATTGTATGAAACAGTAAACTAATAACACACAAGTTTCACTTTATGAAACAAATTATTAAAATAAATGGACTTTTCCTTAATATTCAATTTATATATATTATATATAATATATATTATATATATTATATATAATATATATTATATATATTATATATAATATATATAATATTATATATATATAATATATGTTATATATATATATATATATATATATATATATATATTATATTTATTAATATATATATATATATATATATATATATATATATTAATAAAAAAAAAAATATATATATATATATATTACCTCAAGTTAATATCTCAGGTTTCTACTATTATTTCAACTTAATAATAATAATAAATTATTTATTTATTTTAAGTGATTCAAATGCAATACATTTCAGTTAGTTACCAAGGCAACTGTTCTCACTTTTGGGTTAAATTAGCATTTTCTTCATAATTCCTCTGCCAAGTAATATAATTAAGTTGCCAAGCTTGTTGCTAAAAGTAGGCAGATTAATAAAGGGTGAGTGGTGGTAGTTTTTATAATAATAACCTGTGTGATTAACTTTAACATTCTGCCACATTGCTGGGAACGCCAACAGAAGAACAGTGGCAGACTATGAATAAACTTCCAGATTATAAGGTACATCACTCACCTGTCTGAAAAATAAACAGCGCACAGTAACAAGGGGAATGTGTGCACAGAAATGAGCAATTTGAGAAATACAGTGGTCTCTCGCGGTTCACCTTTCACAGCCTTGCAGATTTTCTCTGTATAATTAGACACTTTTTTTACAGCGCATTGTGTTCTACGTCCTGATTAGCACATTGTGTTCTGCGTCCTGATTGGCTGTAGACCATCTCCTCCGTGCCGTCTCCTGTACAGTACAAAATGCGTTCAGCTTGCTAAAATTAACATAAATCAAGCAGTGTGACTCTGAAGTATGTTTGCAAGTTTTCTCTCTACAAATCCCTGCACCGTCAAAGGCACCTGCGGAAGTACCCAAAAGGCTGAAGTAGATGCTAACTTATCGCACAAAAAGTTGGACTTCTAGACATGATAAAGACAAGTTTCGTAGCTGTAGGACACCATTACGGAATAAATAAATCTTCGGCTCTTTACATAAAAAAGGACGGAAATAACATAAAGATGACAGCAGCTATAAGCTTCAACAAAGTTACAATAAGGGTTGTAACTGTCTGCAACAAGACCATCGTAAGCATGGAGTCTGCTTTGGATTAGATTAGATTAGATTAGATTAGATTCAACTTTATTGTCATTACACATGTACAAGTACAATGCAACGAAATGCAGTTTAGGTCTAACCAGCAGTGCAACAGCAGCAAGTGCAGGATACAGGTATATATATTTAGCTTTGAGTATCAGTGATTGCAGGAAAAATGTTGATGCCTGTCTGAGAAAAGCCTATAAAGTGTGCAGTGAGGGGTTCTACAGCCTTAAAACATCTATTCATTCATTAATTTTCCTTCGGCTTAGTCCCTTTATAGCATATGAATTACACAGTGAATGCCCATCCAGCTGCAACACATTACTGGGAAACATCCATACACACATTTTTACACACATACACTACGGCCAATTTAGTTTATTCAATTCAGCTATAGCATATGTCTTTGGACTGAGGGTGATACCGGAGCACCCAGAGAAAACCCATGCCAACACGTGGAGAACATGCAAACTTCACACAGATATGCCAACTGACCCAGCTGTGACTCGAACCAGCAACCTTCTTGCTGTGAGGCGACAGTGCTAACCACTGAGTCACCGTGTCGCCCTTAAAACATCTATAATAATTGTAAAAAAATAAAGCTGACTACTTTACGGATTTCAGGTTATTTTAAGAACGTAGCTCCTGTGATTAACGAGGGACCACTGTACTCAGTAATTGGCTGCATATATTTTTAATTTATTTATATATTGTTTTAAATATTTATTTGATATTTCAATAGCCGTACCCGATGTATCCAGCTACTACATCACTTGTGAACGTCGTGCCGAAACTCAGCAGCACCGGCAGAGATTTACTACAGGTATATTATTTGCATTATCATAACAATCGCAGCTGAAATCAAAATGATTAGCTCTCCTGTGATTTAATTATTTTGCTTTTTAGGTATATATTTCCCAAGTGCTTTTTAACAGAGCAAGGACATTTTCACAGTAATTCCTATAATATTTTTTCTTCTGTAGAAAGCCTTTTTGCCCTGAAATAAAAGCAGTTTTAAATTTTTTAAAACCAATTTTAAGGTCAATATTATTACCCCCCTTAACATTTTGTTTATTTTAGTTGTCCACACAGAACAAACACCTGTTGTCCAATAACTTGCCCAATTACCATACATTGCAAAATTGTAATGTAATGTGTATTTATATAGTGCATTTATTGTGTATGGCCATACACACAATGTGCTTTACAATCATGAGGGGGGGTCTCCCCACACCACTACCAGTGTGCAGCATCCACTTTGATGATGTGACAGCAGCCACAGGACAACGGCGCCAGTGCGCTCACCACACACCAGCTATAGTTGTAGTGGAGAGACAGTGATCCAGCCAATTTCTTGGATGGGGATGATCAGTAAGGGCCGATGGAGGGACTTTGGTCAGGACACCGGGTATACACCACTACGCTTTACGAGAAGTGCCATGGGATTTTTAACAAGAGTCAGGACCTCAGTTTAACAACGGTGCATACTGACAGTATAATGTCCCCTTCACTATACTGGGGCATTGGGACTCAACACAGACTGCAGGTTGAGCTCCCGCTGCTGACCTCATTAACACCACTTCCAACTGCAACCTAGATTTCCCATGTGGTCTCTCATCCAGGTATTGACCAGGCTCAGCCCTGCTTGGCTTCAGTGCGTAACTGGTCTTGGGCTACAGGTAGATATGGCTGTGGCATTAACATTATTAACCTAATTAGGTCTTCAAATAGTGTCCTGCAAAATATAATGTACTGTCATCATGGCAAAGACAAATAAATAAGTTGGAAATTAGTTGTTCCTAAATTGGAGATGAGTCATTAAAACTATTATGTTTAGAAACGTTGGACCAGTGCTGGGGTCAAGTCGGAGAACTCACTCTTTTCCACCGGGCTCTGGACTGGTTGGGGAAATTTTAAATTAAACGGGAAAAAAAATCAATAACAATTGGCAACATTGCAACATACAGAACCTGGGTAGTTTAAAATAATATAAATAAATAAATAAATATATATATATATATATATATATATATATATATATATATATATATATTTGATATATATTTGATATATATATATATCATTTTTATTTTTTTAATGTTGAAAAAAAACTATTTTAAAGCACTTGTGAAATATTTCAATAATAATTGCAGTTTTATATTAATTTTTGATTAACTGTATTTCATGATTGATGGTTTTGCTAAATGTTACTATTTTGTGACTTTTTGTTTTTATTTTTTTCTAGAATCTTCTGAAATGTAATCCAGTACAGCGAATCTCAGCAGAAGAAGCTCTACAGCACCCTTACTTTGCTGATTTCTGCCCACCATAAAAAAACAAAAACAAAAACTGCTCTCCAAATCATCATGTAGGAACACAGACGGGCCAGTTTTACCTCCTCAAACCCCCCTCAGCTTCTGCTTTCACCATAGGATAATAGAGGGACCACCAGACACTCCTCCATTAGTGATTATGGTTATGATTTGATCATACAGACATGATTATAATAGTGACTCTCTCTAATGCAGAGTGTGCTGCTGTTATTCGGCACAAATCTCCAAAAAGACCTTTATGTTGTTACTATGGTCTTAAAGGGATAGTTCATCAAAAATCAATTTGACATATTTCTTCATTAACAAAATGTGTGTTTTTAGCTGAAACACTGGTCATTGGGTGATTTATAAAATGCAAGTCAACAGCACTTTGGGAGTCAAAAAAAACACATACAGGCAAAATTAAAGGGATAGTTCACCCAAAACTGAAAATGCGTTATTCACTCTCTATTCAAAACCTTCATTCTGTTGAACATAAAAGAAGACATTTCGAAGAATGCTGGAAACCTGTAATCATTGACTTCCATAGCATTTGTTTTTCCTGCTATGGGTATCAATAGTACATCAGAAACGTGTTCAACATAATGAAGAAACACATAAAGGTTTGGAGTAAACAGTGAGAATTTGTTTTTGACTGAACTGTGCCTTTAATGATTGGAATAGTTGATTCCATGAGCATTATGAACTTCATTGTGTTTTATAAGACCTCAATTTATTGTCCAGAGCTGAATATATATGTATTTTGATTAGCCTGTATGTTATTTATTTATGTATTTATTTTTGACTCCATATCTTACTTGCAGTTTTATGAATCAACAAGGATCACAGTTTAAACCATAAGTCTTTTAATGTGTCACTGAATTAAAAGAAAGCGACCGTCTTTGATGACCCGAGGGTATTAAATCAACAGCAAAGTTTCATTTTTAATGGAATTATCGGAAAAAGTTCATCCAGACAAACAAAATTAGAGAATCGCATAACGTCAGACCATCTAAAGGGACAGTTCACCCAAAAATGAAAAATTCCTCGTAATTCCTCAAGTGCTTCTAAAGTTTTTTGAGTTTCTTCTGTTGAACAAAAATGCTGATGTTTTGAAGAATGTTGGAAAAAGCATCTCTAGTAGCAACGAAAAATACTCAATGGCTGTTTTTCACGTTCTTCAGTACATTTTCATTTATGTTCAATAAGAAAGCAACTCAAACAGGCTTTAAACAAGTGAAAGATTAAATGATCATTTTATTTTTTGCGTGAACTATCCATATAAACATTGATCATAGTCACATATATAGGTGAACTGTTATGTAAATTAAAAATGTTGATAATTTCTTCTAGCCTGCAAACCTTCAATCCTGGCCCTACATGATTCATTTAGTTGCCAAATGTTCTTCATTGGTCTCTGAAGGTTTACAAAACGCTGCGGTGGGGACTACAAAAAGCAGCAATTTCTTTATCTTATTATTATTTTTTTTTGTCTACGATCAAATGAGCATTATAATTGAATGAGGTACAGCGCACATCATTGATTTAGCACACGTTACGATATACAGTATATAAAGAAAAACCACCATAGAATTTTGTGTTGTACACAGTAATGGTAAAAAAAGTCTAGGTTGTGCGATTTTTCTATGAGCGAGATTTTAGCATTCATTTTAAACAACACTGTTATCGTTTTCCTATTCTTCATTTAAAGAAACGCTGCACCTTATTTTTTTTAAGTTAAACAGTTGAATTTGACTATATTTTTAAAAATGTATTCAGTTGATCTTTGTGTTTGGTGGGAACACTTTTAGCTAAGCTTAACATAAGTCATTGAATCAGATTAGACCATTAGCATCTCCCTCAAAAAAAAAAAAAAAAGTTGAGTTTTGATTATTTTCTTATTTAAAGAGTGACTCCATTTTAACCAATTTTTAAATATTCATTCATCAGATCTTCAGGTCCGGTGGGAGCACCGTTAGCTTAGCTTAGCATAAATCATTGAATCGGATTAGACCATTAACATCACGCTCAAAAATAATAAAGTTGAGTCTTAATAATTCTCCATTTTACAGCTTGACTCTTCTTTAGTTACATTGTGTACTAAGACTGCTGAAAATAGAATGTTCTATTTTCTGAGTCATAATCAAGGAACCTTTTTTAGGCACTGCGTAAGATCACTGCGCTTGTTTTAGCCATGATACAGCAACAAAGTTCCTTGCTTATTACGCCAGAATGACAGTAAAGTTCCAAGACAGCTGTTCATTTACTGCCAGTCTGACTACGCAATGTAACTACAGAAAAGTCAAGCTTCAAATTGGTAAAATATTTAAACTTTTTGTTTTATTGAGATGCTAATGGTCTAATCCGATTTAATGATCTATGCTAAGCTAAGCTAAAAGTGCTCGTAGACTCTGAGATACACTGAATGAATTGAAAATGGTGAAATTCAACTGTATAACTGTAGGGAGGTAATAAAATGAGCCTTTCCTTAAAAATTCGAAAATGGAGTGTTTTAATTTTGTTGTACATTCAGTAAAGATTAAAAAAAAAGTATGTTGTGCAACTACTTTTTTAGGAACAAGATTTTAGCATTCATTTTAAACAACACCATTAGCGTTTTCTTATTCTTCATTTAAAGGAACACTCACTTCTTTTTTCTTTTTTTTTTTTAATGGGCTCATTTTACAACTCCTGGAGTTAAAGTTAAGTTTCCCCATGTTTTAAAATCCATTCATCAGATCTCTGGGTCTGGTGGGAACACTTTTAGGTTAGCATAAACCATTGAATCAGATTAGACCATTAGCATCTCGCTCATCAAAAAAAAAAAAGTTGAGTCTTGATCATTTTATTTAATGCTTAATTCTTCTGTAGTTACGTTGTGAATGACGACAGACAGAAAATGAAATGTTGCATAATCAGGGAACCTTTTCAGGCATTGCATAATATCATTGCGCCCTGCTACAGCCATGAAATGGCAGAAAAGTTTTGTGATCATTACGCCAGAATATAGTTCCTAGCTAACTTTTCCTTTTCCGTCAGTCTGAATACACAATGAAACTTCAGAAGAGTCAAGGTTTAAATGAGAAAAATATCAGAAATTTTATTTATTTTTTTAGAGGCTAATGGTCTAATCCGATTCAATGATTTATGCTAAGCTAAGCTAAAAGTGCTCCCGCCAGACTCTTGAGACTAGCTGAATGAATTCAAAAATGGTCAAACTCAACTGTATAGCTTTAGGAGTGTCATAAAATGAGCTTATTTCCATAACAAAAACATGGAATGTTCCTTTAGAAAGACCTTTTTTGTTCAGTGGACCACAAGAATTGCCTTCAAGACTCTGAGCAATAGCTGTGTGCAAAGAACAATGCCTCATATTTCTGCGCATGCCAGTGTTATCGTTACACTTTGTGTGTTTTGTCGGGCCAAACAAAAATGATTTACATGCATTTTAGGTCAAATGGCCCGGAAGTCTGTGAAATATGGTAAAACTGAAACTTCCCCTTATTTCTGCTTCACATTCTCATCAGCTGTAGTAGATGTGCACCATTAGAGAACATCATCCATATCAACTTCCAGGCCTTTTATGGTGATTTTATGTTATTGATTCGAACAAGTAGGCTTAATATATTTATCTGAGAACGGTTAAGATTGCATTTTTTATTATTATTGTTATTATTAAACACTGTTTATTTATTCATATAGTAATATGTGATAAATTGATATTGAAATGAGGTGGTTTGGAGACTCGGGAAGGGACCATTTATGACATGAGAAACTGAGCAAATGTGTGAAGTGTTTTTGTTTTCATTATGATGATTATACGATTTGTTATGGAGACATAAACGCAGGATATTAGCGACAGTTAAAAAAGCTGTGCTGCTTATATTTCTTTCAAGATATCAGGAATGTAGCAGAGCTCTGTTCGCAACTCTTTATCAAGACATCAAATTTTTTTTTTTTTCCACAGTGGATTTGTCAAATTTGAAGAACAATGCAACAAGTTAATAAATATGTTTTCTGTAAACAAAAGTGTGTGTGTGTGTGTGTGTGTGTGTGTGAGTTTGTGCATTAGGCAACAGGATCATTCTGAAAATGTAGCCCTATCTACATTTCTGAGGTCATGAATTATGTAGCCAGAGCTACATATGGCTGCTTTACATATTTGAAACGAACGCTAGGCGGCGGTATGATGCAGTTCCTTTTCTTGCTTACCTGCTGACCACTTACCTTTGTATTGACGACTTTCCCCGTTACCAGTTTGTTTGGTAGCTCGTCATGTACGTCGGCGGACTTGAGACGCAGAGCAGAGTTGACCACGACAACGGGGTTCGAGTCCGGGGAAGAACCGGAAAAGCAGGTAAGACAAAAACAGAAGCCAAAATATAAACAAGTAAAATGACAGGGTGAGGATGTGGTTAAATCTGAAAACGTGGTAAAAGGAGAGGGCTTTTTTATTTTTAGGATTGCTTTTTTTAAACATTGTGATTGTCTTCAGGGATGTAGATAGGAGGGTCAGTTGGTGCTTTTTAAAACAATTGGTTGGGTTTAGGGAAGGGGGAGAGCGGGTCAATCATTTAGTCGTTTGATAGCAGCCTCTAGTGGATTTCAGCAAGAACAGCAGGCGCGAATGCCACTAACAAGAAAAAATTTGAGATCTCAAAAAGCATACACAGCTGCCCCCTGGTGGATGGGCGAAAACAAAAACGGCAAAAAAAAAAATTTAGCTCCTGGGACATATTTTGCCCTCTCCAGAAATGTATATAGGGGTACGGAATCAGAATGAGCCTGGGTTGGTATATGCACAATATGGGCTCCAGTAGATATAATGTTTGAGTTTCTTTCCTGTTTTTTTAAGGATATTGGTAATTACTGACTTCCATTGTTTTTGTTTTCTGTACGTCAATAGCTACCTCTTAATGAAACCCTTCCAAATATCTTCTGGTGTGTTTGACAGAACTCATAAAGTACTCATAGAATTTAAAAGTACTTGAAGGGAGAGTAAATAATAATATTGGGGGAACTATTCCTACTACTGATTTCTGCTGGCAAGTAATAGAAACTATCATAGTATTGGTATGCTATGGAATGTTACTGTGGGTCTCTACTGGTAACTTTCTCTCTTATTGGTGCTATTTGAAAACCAATACATTAGAACCCATTCAAATGTACTGGTTTAAATTGTAGCATTTTCTGGTGTTGTGGACGCTTCACTCAAAAAATGTATTTTATTTTTTTTTGCTGCTTGTTCAGACTAATTTACAATGAGTTAAAAAACACAATTCTTGAAGTTTTTTGGGACAACTTAATTGATTCAATTAATTCAATCAACTTAAAATTTTAAAAACCATAAGATTAACTTAATTTGAATTGGGACAACATGAAGGGATTGTGTGGAAACCAGCATGTTTTTTACAATGTTCTGTGGTGGTTTCTATTTTGTATTTAATGGTATCTATGATCTATGAATTTCATTTTTTTTTCCAGCAGGGATCAGTGTTAAGCTAGTTAAGAAAGTAATCAATTACATCATTAAAATGACATTTATAATTACATTGTAAGAAAAGTAACTTAAGTAATTTAATTGCCAGAAACTGGACTTAAAATTCAAACATATTGCAATACAGACAATAGAAATTAATGAATTCTTTAAATCTGAATTTTCTAACATAAGTAATTCCTTAAACCTTTTTTTTAAATTTACACAATTAATTTTTTCCATAGATTTTATCAATCAAAACCAAAATCTTTTAAATGAATGACTTTATATTTCATACATATTGATGTAAATTTAACTGTTTCTTAGCTGTCGGACAAATAAAACCTTCTTTATTTGAAAGGTTGAGTTAATATGCAAACTATCTGAATAACAAAGTATATACAGTTGAAGTTAGAATTATTAGCCCCCCTTTGAATTATTTTTTCTTTTTTTATATATATTTCCTAAATGATGTTTAACAGAGCAATGACATTTTCACAATATGTCTGATAATATTTTTTTCTTCTGGAGAAAGTCTTATTTGTTTTATTTCAGCTAGAATAAAAGCAGTTTTCAATTTTTTAAACACAATTTTAAGGTCAAAATTATAAGCCCCACTAAGATATATTTGTTTTCGGTCTACAGAACAAACCATCATTATACAATAACTTGCCCAATTACCCTAACCTGTCTTGTTAACCTAGTTAAGCCTTTAAAGCGTCACTTTAAGCTGTGTAGAAGTGTCTTGAAAAATATCTAGTCAAACTTTATTTACTGTCATCATGGCAAAGAGAAAATAAATCAGTTATTAGAGATGAGTTATTAAAACTATTATGTTTAGAAATGTGTTGAAAAAATCTCTGTTAAACACAAATTGGAAAAAAAGAAAATAAACGTGGTGCTAATAAGTCAGACTTCAACTGTATGTATATATATTCTGCTTCTCTTAATTAACATGTCATAAACTAATTTCTCTATATTTTTTTTCTTAAGCTTATGCAAATATATTGACAACTGTTCAACTTTAAACAGTTTTTATCTTTAATCTGTTCAAAATAGAAGTATTTTGCCAAATATATTTGACGCTGCATCTCTAAATTAATTTAGAAGAACCTGAGGGATGATTAAATGATCACAGAATTTTCAGTCTTGGGTGAACTGTCTCTTTAAGCCGGACTCGTTGATTTTGTTGACCTGCTAGTGGCGCTGGAGATGAGCTTGATCTGCTTTCTAGCAATTACGCCCATCACACAGATGCGTCTTATTTTTGACCCAACTTTAAATAGAGTTTCAGCTTCACATTCAATATGAATGAAGAGCGATGTGATTAGTGTGTACTAGAAAGTGTGCATGATGCTAAAAGCTGAGTACATTTAAAAATCAATGCATGCTATTGAGCTG